GCCTCTCTGCCTCTCTGCCTCTCTGCCTCTCTGCCTCTCTGCCTCTCTGCCTCTCTGCCTCTCTGCCTCTCTGCCTCTATGCGCTTTCCACTTCCACTCTCACACAACTCTCACCTCTCAGACATCAGACAGCAGCCTCGACGTTCTCACCTCTCACCACCCAAACCGGATCGGCCATGAACGATCCTTCCACCAGCGTCTGAATCTCAATGTTCCGCCAGCCGCTCCACCACAGATAATCCCCAACCATATTGAGTCTTTCGTCCTCGTCGACCTTCAGCCATCTGCCAACCACTTTGGTGGGAAAGCACCGGTTGGAGATGATGAGATGCACCTTTCCTCCCGGATGCGTCTGTCGTCGGATACTCTGCAGGACTTCAACGGGCTTGGTCAAGTAGTCGATGGATACCACGCATGTCGATGCGTCCAATTTGCCCTCGGCCAGCGGGCCAGGTAAGTGGACCTCTGGATCCTCGTTGAGATCTTGCACAGACCAGTATTTCAATACAGGATTCTTGGCCAGCTCAGCGCGATTCATACCCATCCCTAGCACCTCGACTTCTCCTGACGATGCTGCCTTGGCCACCTCTGCCGGGTAATGTGAGATCCAGCTGGAACAAAAATCCAAGACTCGGCCTTTGTGGGGCAAGACCTGCCCATAATAGTTCCGCACGTTGTTGATGGCATTACCGTCAATATGTGTCACAAACCGTGGAGCAGCATAGAAATGCGAATCATTCCCTGCCTCCGTGGGCGCGAGGTCTTCTGGGGAATACGGAAAGGGTCCGTCTGGCTTAGGGGGCACGTAGCGCCTCGGGGCCATCGGGCTCGAATTCATCCTTTTCGTGGCTGCAATTACTCCTGAAAAAAGAGATATCGACCGGAGTCCGATTCCGATGGCGACAGAGGGCATTCCAACTGAGCTGATGATAAATGCAGAGCTTCCAGGGCGATGGAGTGGTTCTGCCCAGCGGGCCAGATATTATAATCGGCGCTTCAGCTTGTGAAGGCGCTAATAAATGACGTCTTTGACTGCGACCAACCCAGAAACGGAACATTGTTTGGGGCGGACACAGCTGCACCGAGAGTGAGACATCAAGGACAAGTCTCCGCGGTGGATTAATATTGCTGAGATGATCACTGACTATGTCCCAGCGTCACTGCCCTTGGCCATCTTCGACGGTCAGAACGGTACATCCCCTGCAGCATCAGGTTTGTCAGTATTAGGCACGGTCAACACGGTCGACGCGGTGCTGTCGCGAACTTACGCGTTCTGGGGCTCCTGATAAAGAGTCAGATTGCCGCCTGTATGCATCTCACCACTGACGCCATGAGAGAGTGTTCTCGGATACAAGATCCCGCTCACAACATCCCTGCCAAAGACCTCAATCTCGGGCAATGTTTTACGAGGCTCGGAGGCTTCAAGGACCCTGCATTGTTGGCTGGCGTCATGGCAATACAACGGAGTGAGGTGCCGGCCACTGAAGACTCTTGGATAGACCCGGCACGCCTAGCTCTTGAATGACCAGATATTATATTGAGAAGACATGATACGACTTGTTATCATTCACTTCTCGCTTGCTCTATCTGCTCTCACCATCACTCCAAATAGCAGTAGCCAGTTCTCGAAAGTGACAATCAATTAAACAATTACCTGTGCCACACAAGCTTGCTGGTTTCCATTTCGCTTGCCCGCGGAAGATCATCATGATAGAAGGCCAGTCGAGAATCGTAATAAGCGGTGCCGGTCAAGGTACAGCCTACCTGAATTATCCTTCACGTTTTGCATCGAAACAAGCTCACTTCTACCTAGGCATTGGAAGAGCTATAGCTCGTCATTTCGCATCTCGGGGCCACAAGATCTTCATCCTTGATCTCAACGAGGATAATGTCCGACACACAGCGGAGGAGCACTTGAAAGAACACTCGGACCGCGTCGGTTGGTCTCGATGTAACCTGCGCAGTGTTGAAGACATCCGCTCCACTGTCCGGAAAGCCGCAAAGTTTCTCGACAATCGCATCGACTATTTGATCAACAATGCCGGCATCTCATACCCCTACTGGCCGGACGGGAAGACCATGGCTGACGAGTCAGTCCTGGACAAGTGGCAGGCGTATGTGGAGACCAACCTCACGGGTCCCTTCGTCATGTCTCAGGCATGCATGCCTTTTATGAAGGTCGATCGACAAGAAGATAAGGAGAAACTTCCTGGGTCCAAGGTTGGGACGGCAGGGCCTTGTATCATCCATGTCAGCAGTTTTCGCGCCATGATTTCGGACCCCAATCAGGAGGGCTATGCTTCGACAAAAGGTATTAACTTGGAGCCAACCATTATCCCCATCGAGCAATGAAATAAATGAAATAACTGACTGTCTATATAGCCGGGTTGCTCGGACTCACTCAGAGTATGGCAGTCTCCCTCCAGTCATTCGGCATCCGGGTCAACATGCTATCCCCAGGGCGAATCAAGGTAACCCATGAGAATCCCTCTGCTGATGAACAAGGAGAGGATTGGTCCGTGGATGAAGACGATGTCAACGTGCACCCTGCCAACCGAGCTGGTTTGCCCGAAGATATTACTGAGGCGTGTGAATACCTGCTGGGTGCAGGTTTTGTGACGGGTCAAAATCTGGTTGTCGACGGCGGAGTGAGCAAGGTGAAGGGCAAGGCGTAAAGATCCTGCAGGATGGCACTGCCAGTAAGCATCATTGCAGTGATTAGAGCGAATATCCTTTGGATGCTTCTGCAGTAGATGGGCGTTGCGGGGGTAGAACCCTCAATCTATTGTCGCAGTCTTGCTACTTACTAACCCCCCTGGACATTGTGCCAAGCAGACATGGATATAAGCCCGTGGAGTCGACTCGGACGGAGTCGGTATCAAAAGTAGCCGAGCTCACAGGCAGAATATCAGGCGCTTACTCAAGCAGCAGATCGAGACCATTCGGTGCCACTACGTCGTCCCCAATCCTCCCCATTATTCCACCAGTCCGCTACTCACTATTCCCCGGATTGTCGTATTCGGTTCCCCCTCATCGGTGACCGAGTTATTCTATTGGCGACTCCATATATCTGCTGACCTCATCGCCAGAGGCAATACCAGGAGGGTTCCGTGGTCAAGAAGTCGCCCAGAAAGGATCACCCTATATAAAGCAGAATTGGGGATTGTAAGATGAGCAAAGCTGGACTCAGCATCGATGCTCGTTCGATCCTGTTCTGCTTTGACAACATCTGTCTCTCCATTGACCAAAATCCGTCGCACCTGCCCGATATCTGCATTGCGTCAATTCCAGCATCTCCGAATACCAATTCGACGGACTATGGCCACGGCGTCTCACATCGAGCTGAATCCTGCGAGCGCAGGTGTCTACCATGTTCCGGATATAACGACTGAGTCTGGCAAGATTGGAAGCCAGCTTCTTCAGGAAAACCACGACGAGTTCCATATCTACTTTAATAACAGCGGCTTCCATAACCATATTGCTCATCATCTGTTAAGCATTTACGCCCTAGGAGCCACTCCGGAACAGATCCAGCAGGCTTTCGACATCAACAAGTCCTATCAAAGACCTCAATTCCCGGTGGATAAACAAGATGTCGAAGCACTGGCAGATCGCGACAAGTTCAGAGAATTCTTGGGCAAGGAGCGATATTTCCATGACTTTGAAATCTTCTTTCAAAACGAAATTGAGGAAAAGGGCTGGGAGAAAGTTCTAAATGAGCACCTATTTGCGCGGAATGAGCATGCTGAGAGTCTGCTTGACAGAATGTTTGCTGGTGAGGTGATCTAGGCTTAGATCTCCGGTTGATACTGACGAACAGCAGGCTTCTTACATCCATTTATCCATCTCGGGTTTGGCGTCGAGTTCAAGCAACCAGCCATCATCGCCGAAGCCCTCGCCCAAGCGGCAATACACGATGGGTGGACAGGAAAATTCCTCCACGCCGCCGAAGATGCCGCTAAAGGCAATACTACATCCGAAAGTCTGGTAAAGCTCATCCACGAGGCGCGTGCAAATGACAAGCTCCGCACATCTGCTCACTGGAAGGACGGCAACAAAGTGCGCGATGGTGTTTTCGTCCGCGCTCCAGATGAAATGATATCACTAGCATCTCAATGGCATGTCAAGCCTGACGAGCTGGAGCAGAAAACAGCCGAGATGATCAATGCTGGCATTTATTTCACAGGCGCAGCACAGAAGCCAACCAAGCAGATCAAGTTCGACTTCTTCTACATGCACTGTGTCAACTGCTCCATCTTTTTCTCTGCATTCCTCAAGGAGCCATGGTTGAGAGTGGAGGACAAGTGCAGGCTGCTGGAATGGAAAGGGCGAATGGATCTTGCTTTGTATGTGTCACGAGGATGTCCAGAGCTGCTGATAGATGAAATCAAGAACTACCAGCCCAAGAACTCAAGCGACGGATGGCCCGAAATCATCCGTCGGGTGGACAAGTTCCCTGATGATGGACATGCCAGCAAACTTGTCCGGGCGATTGCAAACGGCGAGCAAGTGTGCTGGCAGTACGAAGCCCAGGCGGACGATGCATTCCCCATTAAAGGCGACATGTTCTTGAAGCTGGGCCACATGGCAATCGACTCGGTGGAAAGCAGTGATCCCAACTGGGTGAGATCTGCCGGCTTTGAAGAGGCGTGGGAGAATATTCCAGGACGGGCAAAATTGTGAACTATCGCTGTATGTAATACCCAAATATGATGAGAATGTAAAAGGATCGACTTGTAGGTGATTAACATTGTTCTCTTTCTGTTCGATAATGTGAAGCGCGTCTTCGATGCCCCTTGGACGGCGGACGGCGAGAGAGCCCACTTGGGAGCCATGAGAGGGCACATGGCACTCGACACCCAGCTCAGGAGTCAGGACGAGGGTGATGGTGATGCCGCCCTGTGCTCAACCCCCGACTCGCGCGAGCCGGCGAGGCTCTGGGGAAAACAGGTGGAATAAGTGGCACCGCGAATAGTGACCAGAGTTCACAGTCCAGGCATTCTTCCCATTTCGCTCAAAGCTTTTAGTGCAGAAGTTTCATCTTTCAGACCCCTCTCTGGCTGTCTGTCTCCCGGGCTCTTTCGATGGGAACATTGCTCTGCGTCGTCTTTGCCGCGCCGTCCTTGTCCTCGAAACTCTGAGCTGCTGCCCCGAGACCGACGAGCAGACCAGTCAAGGAAGCAGCGACGGGTGCCAGTTTCGACGCCCGTTCGAAGACGTTTTCCCTACCCAGTCCCGAGCACGGCGAGTGTCAAGTATCATCTGCCTCGTATGTAAAACAAAGTGTGGCGTACTGGGTACCTCGTGCATAGTTGTGGCTGTGAGGCCTGTGGCTGCGGGTTGTTCGATTCACCTCTTCTTTTCCCGCCAATCACTGCACACCCCGCAGGTCGTGGTGATACTGATGATAGTGGTGACACTGGTGGCCCTTGGTTCAATTTCCCCGCGGCAAGCAACCACCAAGCATCATCCTCATCCTCATCCTCGTCCTCATCGTGCCACTCCAGGCACCAACCACTCCTTCTGTTTCATCCACCGTCTTCCTTCCTCTGTTCTTATTTCTTGTTGCTGTTTCATATCTTCTTGTCGCAGGTTTGACTCTCCTCAGCCCCAGTCACATACAAGATGCCAGAGGACAAAAAGCCCCCAGACAACGCCATTCCCCCTCCTCCCATGGATCCCTTCCCCACTTATCAGACTCCCTATCCTCGCGCCAACAAAGACGACGAGAACCCATTCATCCTATTCCGCCGCTTTGCTGACGAGCAGTTCTCGTCATTCTTCTCAGGATTTCCCCATTTCTTCGGCCTCTCCTCCGGCCGCAGTGACCGCTGGAAGAAAGAAGTCGACGACCTCATGCGCCAGAGACAGGAGTGGGAGGAAGGTTTTCGGAAGCAGGTGGAGCAGGAGTGGGAGGAGATGAGACAGCAGCTGGAAAAGTCCAAGATGGAAGCCTGGAAGTCGATGGAAGATGCGTGGATACAACACTCGAATGAGAGCAGGAGTGAGGCGAAGGATGCACCCTGGTGGACTCGAGGCAGGGCTGCCCGTTGTCCTGCTCTGAACGGCCAAGAGCCACAGAAGAATGCCAGCAAGTGTCCAGCCCTCTACGATGAAGCGGGACAACCAAGAACAGAACTGGATGCTTACAATGCGTTGCCCTGGAAAGAGAATGACAGACAAGTCCAGGTGGCTGAGGCATCAGCAGAACAACCGACCGAGAAGAAGCCTTTCAGGTCATGGTTCTCCGCTCTTGGCTGGGATGGCAGGCAGAGAGAGAAACATTCAAGAAACAACAGCAGCAACACTGTCGTGACCGAAGATCGTGCTCCTCTAAGCGAGGAAGCTGTCCCTCCGCCTTCTACTTATTCCTTCTGGGCAGCCCGCCGCATGCAACCATTCAACAATTCGGACGAGACAATCCCTTGGCTTCTGCTCAGCCCTTACTCTCCCATCTATCTCTGCAATCCTGCACAACCGCGACTTTTCAAGGTCAAGATCCAAGACTCGGAAGGCGTTCCCTTCCAGATCTCTGACGCCACGTTCTTCGAGAGACTGTATACGAACATAGACGAGAAGATGGCGAGACGTAGGCCCTGGGCAGATGCATTCGAGGATTTGCTGAGTCTTGAGCAGACAGGAAAGATGGTTGAGAGGGACAACTGGAATACCTGGAGAACCCCCAACACTTGGATACACGACATGGTGAGCCGGGGCAGCTTTGGGCCTTGGTGGGGCTTTAACGAACAGGGCTTGCTGGTGAAACGGGCTCACGGCCAACGTATTCCAATGACGGCAGAATCTTCGTTGAAATCCGAACACCGGTGTGCCAGATGGCGCCAGAACCACCAATGTCGACGCAACAAATCCGCTGAAGATGCAGACGCAGGGGAGGACCAATGCACCCACATAAGACTCAGAGGAATGCTAGCTCACTCCCCAGACATCAACAGCTCCGATGCGATTGCTCCGGACCATGACGAAGCGGCTACAGAGGGAGGTGATGCAGACGATTCAAAAGATTCAACTACTCTGTACACGACAACGCCTTCATCGTCCTACTCCTACGGCTCCCCCTCCACCAGCAATGACAATGACCAGGATGCTGCCAAGTCTGTGGTCTCGACCCTTACGACGCTTCGCACACGTACGTTACCCGATGGCTCCATCGAGTCGAAACTTGTCTTGAAATCGCGCTTCGCAGACGGGTCAGAAGAGGTTCAAGATTTTGGGACGGTAAATTGTGCCAACCCGTACGCCTTGACCAAGACAGAGGATAAGGAGACACAAACCTGGCCTCATTCGGAGCACGCTCAATTGCCAAAGGGCGAAGATGCAAAGGGAAGCCGGCCGGATGCGTTCGACATGTATGGAGACCAACTCCGGCTGCTTGAGGAGCAGCAAACGAAGAAGGATGAGTACCAGCGGCAGCGGCAGCAGGAGCAGGAGTCAGAAGGGCCAAAGCGGTTCCCTCGAAGGATTCCAATTTCGACAGACGAGCCGGAGGCCAAGTCGGAGCACGAGCAGCAGCCCCTGCCAACGCAGCAGCAGCAGCAACAACAACAACAACAACAACAGCAAGAGAATGACATTAACGGTGAGCGACCCAGACGGAGTGGCGGTGGATGGTTTTGGAACTAATTGAGTCGCGACAATTAAATCGGGCATCGAAGTTAAGGATACCGGTCCGACCAAGACACCAAGTCGGCACATTCTCTCCTTCTCAACCTCATGTGCAGATTGCACCTTTCGCCTCTGACAACCTTTATATGTACTGGCTTTCTCCTGCTTACTGGCCCCGGGAGCGTTGGCCACCGTCAAACGAAGACTAGGTTCGCCAAAGACACTCCACACAGATTGCGACTATTGGCTTCTTCATCCGGTACGCGGTTCTAGTTCAAGACGCCCATTTTTCTTCGACGAACAGTATAGGGTTTTGACATTGACATTGATCCTGATATTGGTATTGGTACGAATGGATGACTGAAATGGGATGTATGTAAATAATTCTACTCCTCTCTATCTTAGTTGGCTCGTATCCATCACTATCACCACCACCATCCTTCTCTTTTTCTCTTTCGTCGTATTATACATCGTAGGGCCGCAGTCTCGTAGCGTCTGAGCAGCCAATACTTGATTTGACGTGTGTGAGTGTAAGTGAGGTACGTGAATTGAGACACGACCGCCATGTGCCATTAGCTATGCTACGCTACCTTGTCATGTCATGCCATGCGGTGCGATGTGGTGCTATGCACGTACATACAATGTGGATGAGGTAACGAGAATAGAAACAGGCACAGGAACAGCAACGGACAGCCTTCATTTCACATGCGAACTCCGCATTGCAGCGCGGCGGACTGCAGCACGGGTCTCGCATCGACCGTGATCAATCACAACCAGACACGACGCTGTGGGTGCCAGAACACAACTAACTAACTAACTCGCTCGCTCGCTCGCTCGCTTGCTCATGCAACGTTCAGAATGCAGAAAATGGATAGTAGGATCGAGGGGGGGAAAATCACAAAAACTCCGTGGGACATCAATCACCTCAAGTCATGCCGCTGTTCCAATACTGGTCTCGTTGAGCATTGCCTCATCAAGCCCCGGTTCATCACATCATTCTCGCATTGCATCGCGCTCCAAGTACGCAGGTGGTTTTACCGTGTCCCCAACTCAAACAATGGGCTGTCATGTCTCATCAATCAGAGCTGCCTGTTTCATTGCTGTTTCAACGCTCTCACCTCTTTTCTGGTTTCATGCGGTTTCTTTTCCAGTCTTTCAGAAAACATCATCTGGCCATTCCCAGTTCTCCTTCTGAATACTCTGCATCTGCATCCTCGCAACGTGATCGTTGACTTCCATTTTCCCAATGTCTGCGTCTCCGTTTCCAGGTTTCATTTCTGAAACAGACTTTGGGCCGAAGATATCATTCGTGGTGCACTGATTTGCCTCCCGAGTCTGGCCTGCTCCATTTTCTTCGTCTTCTTCGAGAATGACAGAGAAATGACGTGGGAAACTTTCGCCTCTGACAATGGACGAACGCCGGCTCTGCTTTCTTGGATCGTGCTTCGGTTGGCCATTGACGTCTGATGTTGAAATTGCAACTAAATTGCCATCTCCCTTGCTCCTAACCTGCGGCTGATTTGTGGTGTTGCTCAACGTCTTCAAGGCTGCACGCTCCGGAAACGGTGGGACGGGCGGGACTTCTGCTCCGGACTGTTTCCGGCTCTGCTTCTTGGCAGACCGCTTTGGTGGAGAGGCGTCATCTTCGCGAGCTGTTCCGGGAGTCTGAGGATGTTGTGTGTGAGAGGACGATGTTGGCTGAGGAGTATTAGCCCTTAAACGAACCTCTTCTTGCTTCTGTCTTAACAAAGCTCGCAGCTGTTGATTCTCCTTCTCCAATTCCCGGCGGGTTGGACGTTTCTGATGATCGAGGTCGATGGGACCGTCAGTCCACTCAGAATCAGCCGCGACGGTTTTAGATGAAGTCTGACTTGGAAATTTGCGGCTGTTTGGTGGTGGCTTGCTCTTGGATCGGACACGAGCCGTTGCTACAGTTTCTTCTGAGATCTCGTCGCCTGTTGTCGCAGCTAGGCCCACGTTGGATTTTCTTCTCTTCATGCCAAATTGTTGAGCATATGCCTCTTCTGCGCGTCTCTTCCTGTCATTGAGCAGGTCTAGATCGGTATTATGACTCGATGCTGAAGGTTTCTTTTCTGGACTGTCGGACCAGTCTGCTGTCTTCTTCTTGTCACCATGGAGGTTCCACAGCGAAATGCTTTTCCGGAGACCGTTCTTCTTCTTGGAAATTCGTTCCCCTTCAACTCTTGTTGTATTCTCTTTGGCCCTAGCCTTGGCCCCAAAATTGAAAAGACGTTGTTTGAGGGTCGGGGCAATCGCCGCTTCCGGTTTGAACTCGTCCACGTCAATGAACGAGCGTTGTGGCGATGCTCGCGAGTTGGGATCATCATCTGATTCAGTTCCGGAGCAGCTAGTGAGTGAAATGTGCTCGTGCCATGTAGAAGACACCCCAGCAGACCTGGTGTTCATGCTGCCCTCTGCAAATTTGGAGGCCCGTGCAGGCAGATCGTCTTCCTTATTGGGGTTGGCGTCAGCATTTTCAATTGGAAAACTCGATTGCTCTTGTGTTGGACCTCGACTGGTCTTTGGCCTCTCGTTGACGTCCACTGGATGGGACAAGGGGGCAAAAGGACGTGGCTCTCTCAGTTGTTTGCTCGGTTGAAGCATTCGGCTGTCTCCCTCATGCGGTTGCAGGAAGAGGACATCGTCGGTCAAGGGAGTAGTTGTCTTGGGTGTGTATGGCCTACTCCAGGCTTCCCGCTCTTCTGTGACGAAGTACGGCTCATCTTTAGCGCTGTCGAATGTCTTCAAGGTCAAATCGGTGTCTCTCCAGGTTGGGCTCGACCGAAGAGGATTTTTGGGAGAGGGACTTTCGCGATATGAGACACGTAAACTAGAGACATGTTGTAACTCTGATGATCTCTTGGGGCTCGTTGGCGCGTTTCGAGAGGGTAAAGTACTATCATTCAACGTCCGAACATGTGCCTGGAACCTCTGTTGAGGCGATAGCGGAGGAGACAAGGCCGAAGCTGGGCAATGGTGGCACGAAGCGGACGTGACGGGCGCAGACGTCGGGGCTCGGGAGGGAGCCATCATCGACTGTGTTTGGGACAAGAGGTGGGCGAATTCTTGACGATTCATGATGATGCCAATATTGATTATGCCATTACAATTATTGCTAATGCTGTAAAGAACATGCAAAGCGGATGAGCAGTTCGCTGAACTGTATACAAGTAGAGAAGATAGCGGTTGCGTGGTAAAGCGAAAGTTGACGGATTTGTTTACGGTCACCAGCATAACACCACATGCAGCAAGGGGGAGGGGGTCCCGGCCGGGAAATTGGTGGGGGGGGGGGGGGGGCAGTGATTGGCACTGACAGGCGCCGAGGCGAAGCACTTAGTACGCAGCTGTCAGACCCGACTCCTTGAGGATCGACCGCCCGCGTCCGAGTCCATCAAGCTATACCTAGTATTACGACACCTAAAAGTTTGGCTTCGGTGGGAACGGCTTGGACTGTTTTCGGCAGGTACGGGGTACCTAGGTACTTATAAGCCTGACAGATTAGGGCATCTTCAGCTCTTATTCGCCCCAGTCATAGGCAATGCACCGCAGAATTCAGCTACCTCACCCCCTCCTCCGCTCTTGTGGGGGCTACCTTAACCTGGCCGCGCTATGAGAAAGGCCCGGTGCCCCCTTTTCCCCCTCCCACTTACTTGATCACACTGCATCTACGAGGTACAAGGGCTAGCAGGCACTCCATACTTCTCCCATATGGCCAGCATAAATTAATCACCCATGGGTTTCGGGGATGATCCATGTGCGCCTCGCCCGCCTTACCTACATCTCTCTCAATCCTCAACCGCGACTCGACTCATGCTTACTGAATATTTATTGGCATCTCCAACCCACGGGATTGACGACCTAAACAGCACTACCCTACACTCTCAAGAATGCGACACTATTTGCCCGGATGCTGGCATGGGAGAGCCCGTGCTCAGTCAAGCACCTCTTAAACCTCCTCGCATGCCTGCGCTCACTATCGCAAGATGAGACTCATCCCACACCTTGATCGAGACCTGTTTGACTCCTTGCGCCCATTCATCACTTGATCTTTTGGTAGCAATGGTTGGTGTGCCGGGGAAGAGTAAGGGCTGCAGTACCTGTCGCCGTCGCAAAAAGGGTGTAAGTACTGCGACAGAGCCACCCTCCATGACACTCGCTCAGTTCGTTGCTCTAGTGCGATCAGAAGCGTCCAGTTTGTGGTCAATGTCTCACAAGTGGCAACATTTGCGGAGGCTATGATCGTGAGCGGACCTTTATCCTTCATCCCGCCAGCGAAAAGGTCCAACACGCCATCTTTATCCGTCATACCAAACCCCCCATCCTCCCTCTCCCAGGTTCCATCAACCGGGGAGCCGTTGAGTCGCAATGCAAGAGTCTGTTTTGGGACCTCTACATGCCCCAAGGGGAGGCAGCCTGCCGAGATGACTTCATCATCCGTTGTGGCCAACCCATGAATTGGACAGAAGTCATCCAAAGTGTCTCGAAACAGGATACCTCCCTGGCAGACGCCTTTTCAGCTTTGAGCATTTCAAGAGTCGGCCAAGGCCACAGGGATGTCCGCCTTGTTCATGAAAGTGCAAAATTGTATGGAAAGGCACTCAGGGAGCTGCAGCTCGCTCTCTTCGATCCCCAACGAATGTATTCCGATCATGTCCTCATGGCGTGTATGCTGTTGGGGCTCTATGAAGTCTTCGAGGGTCCAGCATTCAATTCGCGAAGTTGGATGGCACATGCTACAGGAGCGGCTCGACTGATCCAACTTCGTGGCCCCAAGCGGCATCAGACTTGGCTTACCCATCACCCTTTCCTGGCCGCCAGGATCCCCACAATATACGCTGCCATTCTACAGAGAAAAGCAACATACTTGGCGACGGAAGAATGGCGAACGGTGCCCTGGGAATTCCAGCACAGGACATATTTTGATAGGATGGTCGATCTCGGTACTCTCATCCCAGGTATCTTGGAGCGATTTGACATTCTCCGGGAGTGTGATTCCGACATAGCTTCGGAACTCGCCCAGCTCCTGGATGAATGCAGAGATTTGCAGACAAAAATGAACAAATGGAGAGATGGCACAAAGAAAGGAGCTACGCCACGCGTTGTCGAGCATGACCCACTCGATCAGTCTAGTTATCCTTTCACCACCGACCTGTGGTTCGAGAACCATTTATTCGTCCATGCGCGGCTGGTTTATCACACCTGTTCGCTTGCGCTGAGCGAAGTGGGAAATGAAGTCCTGCAAGCTCTCAATCTCCGAGACCAAAAAATATTGTATTCGATCGACCGTGCATCATTGAAAGAGCTGTTTGATGCGGAAGGCCAAGCAGCCAACGTTTGCCGATGTGTTTCCTATTGCTTACAATCAGAAATGGGAGCTTGGGGTGCCAACATTGTCAATTTTCCTGCAAACCTAGCATTCGCGTACTATCAAAGAACAGGTCACACCGCCGCCACCGAGTGGCTGGAAAAAGCTTTCCGGGGCGCAAAATTGAGAGGACTGCACGTCAACAACGTCTTCGACGTGCTTCTACCGAGCTTTCGAGATGGAGATGATCGCATGCGGTTTTCCAAGAGAGAATCAAGTACGGAATCATCATCGGAGAGCAGTGTACACTCGCCAGCTTCGAACCATAGTATCGCAAGCCACACCTTCTCCAATCATAGTGTGTCGAGTGATGCGACAACTATATTTGTCTATGAAGATCCCTCGAAGGACTACGACACAAACTATGAACCAGATTGAGACGCAACAATCGCCTGTTTATTACAAGACGTGAAGATTGATTGGGTCGTGGACCTTCTGGGAAGTTGCTGGGTCTATCGATATGAGAGAAAGACAATTTCCTAGTAACAGCAAGTTGGAAGATTAATCGACCTCTGTAACATAGCCACAAGCCATGAAAGAAGAATGGCTGGGATTGCCGTTTTGACGCAACCTTTTCGGCAGCAGCTGCCTGTGCGAGCAGAGAAATCGACAACTGTCCTGCTTAATGCCTCTCTTATCTTTGGACAAGACTCTCGTCTCGTGGGGTTGCAACCACAGGCGAAGCTGCGCCAGGCTTCAGATTTTCCCCCGAAAAGAGTCGTGGTTTCATTAGAGCCTCTCATACCACGGCTATTCTCCATTTCCTGTGTCTAAGCAGGTTCATTGGCGCTCCCAATGATGATTACAGATGCTCGGTCAAAGCACGAGGGCTGAGGCTTACGGCTTCCTCACTGCGGCTGAAAATCAAAATCCTGAAAAACGATCCGACAGCATATCTCCACAAATGTGTGCTTCGGTGTTCGGGAGCTGGGATCCTTCGCGCTTCCCGGATCCGGCAGCAAGCACATCGTCCACTCAATGGTCAACAGAAGTTCTTCTCACATGAGAAATTCCGTCTCCAGTTAATCGCCAGGATTAGCAGATGAGGGAAAAGGTTTCGCTCAGTTTCCTTTTTTTTTTTTTTCTCTCAAGGCCAGTCACAGCTCGTTTACATACTGCGCCGATGCAAGTTATTCCAAATCATGGTCTCGGCGGGATGGGAGCGCCCGTGCCTTAGAGGAGGCTGGCTGTTAAATCTGGATATGTGGCTGCAATGACTAATCTCTCCCCGTCATGGGTCGATTGGCCTCAGACTCCGACGGTATTGAGCGCCGATAATAGCTGGCCTTGGCATCGACATGAGGCCGCGACTTTGCCGCTTATGCGCTTTACTCAGAAATTATGTGACTGGCTCACGTTCATCATCGTGGATTCCTTAGCCTGACCGGTACCTGCTGGTCTGCAATGGCAGCCTCTGGTCACGTCTGCCCAAAAAAGAGTGGTCTTTAAACTGGCCGCTCTTGGGAAGAAGCTAGTAGCTTTTTACTGATACTATACTTTCCACAGAAGCAATACCCAGTATACAATTGAAACCCCCCAAAAAATAGTTGATTGTTCCGCATCGGGGAATTGAACCCCGGGCTCTGAGGAATTTTAGTATCCACATAGTAGAGATCATACTTGAGTGCGACTTACGCCGGGTATGATGGTTTTCAGTGAAAACCGGCTATGTTACCATTACACCAATGCGGAGGGTGATTGTTGGAGCCTGCTCTACACAATTTATGATGTTTGATCTTCTTGGTGTGTGCGCAATGCCGACAAGACGCCAGCGATGGGTCTAGCGCCTTGGCACCCGGCTTAGCCTCGATCCCCGTCTTAGAGAAGCTTCGCGGCGCAGTTGGGCGCAGCAAGGGCGCAGCAAACTGCATCGAGACGTTACTTTGGCTTGCCGGCTTTTTACCTTTGGAGAACACAATGAGTATTAAATAGATGCTCGCTTCCCCCTCAACACTTCAGAAACACAATACGGAGCACGAGGTACGGGGTACTTACACGAACGTCATGTCGAAGGGAGGCCAGGAGGGCCCCTCTGGATCTTTGTATTCGCTGCCGTGCCAGTTCGTGAATAGATTGACGACATTGTTATTGTCATCTCGTACGGGCTGAAAGAGCGTGCTTTGAGAAGCCAGTGGCTAGGTGACGGTTTGCAATCGCGGGACGCGGCGCCAAGATAGTCCCTAGTAGGCATTTCCCAGGGCCTGCCAAGGGCGGTTTACCATTTTGAAGTATCCCAAATGCCCGAAGAGTGAGCTTGCGGGGAGTCGGGGATAACAAGGGATACTGATAAAGGGACGGCCGAATGGGAGCTATTGGTGCGGCTCAATTTCCTCTTACCTGCATTCCCCCGTACTGGTCCTGACACTGCTCTGTCTGAAAAGCTTCAGGATAAGTGTCTCTAGGTTGCTTGAATACAGGAGTCTGTATCTATATATATATATATATGTGTGTGTGTGTGTGTGTGTGTGTGTGGAGTCGTGAGTCGAAAGTCGTACCAGCTTTGTGTGCTTTCCACCCCCTCATCCAAACCCAATATTTCATGTCTTTTGCCTGGATACTAGCCCTCAAGCACTTCGATACGCCCTTCTCGTGGCTCATTGGGGCTATTGCTCCTTCTAGATCCCGTCGCTTCGGGCCGTCTTATGCCCTCCTCATGCCGCGCCTTATCGGCTTGCTCGTAGCGTGAGCCAGCAGGGACAGAGAGCGGCAGATTGATTGACCGTGACTGCATGATGATCTTCTTGAGCCCAGCCACAAAGTCGCTTTGATTCTTGGACTTTTCAGCCAGCTTTTCCTGCGCGATTTCGTTGCGAAGTGCTGCGATCTTCTTCGCCTCTCTCTCCTTAATCTCCGTATCGATGGCTTCATCCCGGGCTTCTTTCCTTGCTATTAGTTTGAGCAACATTTGTGAAAGGTCGTCAATGCCCTGGATGTCAATCCTGTTGCATTCCTCGCGATCAAAATCGGCCGATGGGGAGTTTCTGGGATGTTGGGGCACCGTAACATGCTCGGCGTTTCTCGACAGGAATGAGAATCCGGTACTGGGCGCGGGTTGACCAGTCTGAAGACTCGGTTCATTGCCCTTCGCAGGCTGTGGCCGGTAAGGCCGACTCTGTTCGTAGGCGTCGACTCCTCCATGTATCTCGTAATAATGCTTCCATCGATCCTCCGCTGACAACTTTCTGTGCGAGAGGCTCTTGATTGCTCTAGATTGGCTGCCTGTTGCATCGTTCTTGTTGGAGTCCCTCAGAGCGTGACGAGTGACAGCGGCGATGCAGGGATTGTGCCATGATTGACACTTCGCATCCTGACACGTCTCCGGATTCGCGGCGAAGTATGGACAGCGAAATTCGAGCCCTCTTCGTTTCTTGGACATTTGCCTATTGTCATCTTTCCCGGAGTCTTCCATACCGTGTTCCCTTGCCCCCTGCACCGCATCTATCGAGTCAGCGCTCATTCGTTTTGGAGACTTGAGGGCATCCGTGACAGAAGCACTAACAAAGCGCGCTGCTGGCTGCGTAGGCTCCTCTGCCGCCGGTCCTTCATGACTGAGCGAGATCTCTGTTTCAGTCGTCATGGTCATATTGGCGTCGTCCATGACGCTTAATCCTTCCCAGGAGCTGGCAAGAAGTGTGACTACTGGATAGATGGTGACGTCCAAGAATCCGTGTAGTTAGCACGACCGAAACAACATCCTCAAGGATCGACTTCGGCACGACATTTATAGAGACCCTGCGGCGAGTGGACTTGCATTCTAGATGGGCCATATTGAAGAGTGAAGCAATTATCGGCTAATCTGGAGAGAAATCATTGAGGCAATGGAGCATGGCAGTCATACTTCCTGAAGTCAAGGGTGGCTGTGCCTCGTGGACCGTGATCATGTGCTCTGGGTCACTCACTTTTTCCATTTAGAGCTGGGCTGCGGTACGACTTAACTCGAAACTTGGAAGGTGCAATGTCTGACCACAAGCCCCGAGCAATGGTATTTGCATTGAGCTCGGGGGCCAAAAAAGAAATACATTGCAGAAGCTGTCGTCCATTCATTTCCCTCCAACTCATTCTACCCCTTGAAAGATGCTACAATTGGTTGAATGCTTGAATTCTTTATCCAAGGGGAGGCCGCTTCATTGTTGCCCTAGCCTTGCCTAGCCCTTACCCGGGAGGGAAGGTTATCCGATCACATGACTGTCAATGGGCATCTTGGCATTGCTCACCTACAATGTGGCTATCAACAGCTAAGATTTCCTCTCTCAATCAAATCAAATGTTCAGGCCTTTTCCCCTACATTCATAGGCACGAGTGCAGGCGCCATGACTCAAATTCGCCGGAGGAAAGAACCACCCAGCGCTTTCCCGTGACTGCGGATGTGCCGTATTGGCATCCAACCACTTGCAGACACGACTGGTGCCCAATATGAGGCTAGTCGGCGCTCGCCGCCTCACTTGAAAAGAAAACTGCAAAGTTGCAAAGTCGCAGGCACCTGACTGAAATTTCAAACTTGCTACGGGAATTTCGGCTCGCTTCGCTGTTCGTCGCCTCCTTTTCAGCCTTGCCGTCAGTGGTCCATCAAGTTACACAGCAATGCAGAGATGCAATTCGAAGCCACCTCGTGTCTACCTGGCGTTGAATGCCCATCCATCCTTTGCAAATTCTGGGAGCAGATTTTGGTATGCTTCAACGCTGTATGGGAACACTTCATAATTGTTGCTTTTCATGAGGCAGTCTGGGCATCATGAATCTATTCCATTTGCTGCCTGAATTGTCGAATAATGCGATGTTCTGCATTGTGGTCTCCCGTGCTTTATTTTATTCTTGCTGATGGCTCCAGATTGGGCTAGCGGGACGGAACGGATATATAATGAGTGCTACATTCCCTCACGAAATGTAAAATAGCGAGCGGAGTTGAGGCGTTTGCTAAAATTTTACACAGTCATTCATCAACAAAGTTGTCGGATCGGCAGGTACGTGTATGCATTGTCCAGTATCATTTCGGCCATGCGCTCCTTCATGATTTTATATTTTTCAGCCTTGCTGGTAATCTTCACCCTTCTCTTGACCTTTGGTTTTGCTTTTTTTTCTCCTTACTCGACCTGCTTACCCTTCGCAGCGTGGCTCCGATCCTACAACTAGAGTCCCTTTGGACTCGCCAGACTCGCCAGACATTCGCTCACCAGGAATAATATACCAACATCCGGACTGCCAAAGGACTTCGACCCTCGGGATGTGACAAAGGTTGAACCATTGAATAAGACGTCTCGGAAATCCCACACCATGTCCACCCCAAGGACAGGTACTGAGCACGTACCCGCCCCCCAAGCGAACACAGGGTCAGATGCCCCGAAGCGACTGCGTTGTCCTGAATACGACGCTGATCCAATCTCACCTACCACACCGGAGAAGTGCAGGGTCTGGGTTGGCTCTGGCATCGCTGCCGTTACGAGGCATTTGAGGGTTCACCATGGCGAGTGCCATGAGTTGATTGATAGCCTTAGCTCTTCTAAGCTCCAGTCAGATGATCGGTACCAAAGATATCGTTCCTTTTACATTGATCTCCAGGGACGTGAACAACGCGAAATCAAGCATGCCACAGGCGGATCCGTCGGTTCAAAACCACCTGGCATCAAGGTGGAAAGCCAAACCCTCTTTAATAGATCGGCACAATACAAGCATCAACCAGGCCTACAATCTCATCAGCCAGGAAGTTTACCTCCACAAACAATTTCCTGTGGGCTCATGGTTGATCACTCCCACTCCGGATCTGCAGTGTATTCTAGGATTCCTTCCTCGTTGAACTCCGACGGAGCATATAGACACGTTCCAGGGACGAATGGTCAATTTTCCGTGCCAGTGAATGACCCAAGCTTTGCTCCTGGACTCAGTGACCATGCCAGCGCCCCCTGCAACTTAGGATCGAACGAGTCTACAGCCATGCCTAGCACCACGCCAAAATACCAGCCTGAGGGATGGCCAGACCAGCCGGAAGGGATATCATACTCAGCCACATATTTACCTTTTGACATGGAGCAGCCTTCAGAAGTGTACGGCTGGGGCAACCCGTACCACGTCCAAGGCTTGGGTCAGCCAATTTCGGACTTTTACCAGGCAACAACAAATACTACATCAGCACAAGCCATGGGGCAAAATATGATGCGGAAGCCTAATGCTGTAACGATTCAACATGGCGGACAGCCTTCAAGCAGCACCGCCCGCAAATGCTCCTTGCAAACACCAGAGCATTCCAAACCTTGTTTTTGTCAGTGTCACCGCGAAGAATATCAAAGTGTCTCCTGCTATATTTGTCAGGTTCATCAGGAAAAGACATATTGCGACTGCGAGGGAAGAGAAATTTGTTGCAAGTGTCACTCATCAATTCTGCCGATTGGACCACCAATTCAGCGATCTGGTTCTTAAGGTGCTGGTGAAGGGAATGCATTCTGACACGGAACTCTTCGGATATCCTCGGAGCTTAAGCAACCATCCCCGATGCTGTGGATGATCCCGATTCTTCCGTACCAGCGTGAGCACAAGGCCCACCCCCATCTGAGAGTGATCGTCTATATGCTGGAGAAGCTGGAAGAAGTCAAGAATTACCTACGAACGAAGTTGGCAAGGATCGCGAACAATCAGACGCCGTTATCGCGAGGAGGAATAAGAGCCGTATTGCGAGGAGGAACAAAAAACTGGACCAAGACAACAACCCGCCCAGATTAGCGGGATGCCATGCTCGGACACGCATTCAGACAGATAGAACAGGCGCTAAGGAGGAACACAACAACTCGGAAAACTCTGTGCGTTATTGGCGGGGAGGTCAAGGTTGAAGATCTTCTCCTGTATATGGTCTTTGATAGAGTGTTGAATCTGGCATGGGGTATCCGAAGACTGAGCGGAGATGTTGGCGTTCTGGATGCATTTCTTTTTTCCTTTTTTCAACTTATTGCAAAAGGGTGGCAAATCATCTGTGTACCTTGTATGGGGATTTATATACATTGGCGGTTGACTCGGAAAGAAAGCAAGGCAAGGCAGACTGTAAAACATATGTAGCGGGTTCTCACTTCGCAAGCACCTTCCAGTTCCGTAGACCAGTGCGGCAGATCCACGTCCGGAAATTATGATATGTATACATAATGGGTATCTATCTATCAAAATATCTACTAGTCATCTATCTATCTAGTCGGTTAGCCGCAACTTCTGCAACCCCCCTCCTGTTTAATTACTGAAGGCTGTCGCCATTTTTGGGGGAGACAGGGAGGCTTCTAGAATGAGCTGTGCAGGAGATCAATTGACCAGTGACGAGTGTCAATTGCGGAGCACCCACAGTTTCCGGAGGCTCAGATAACCGACGGCGATGCTCACCGCACTCGCGAGCATGCAAGAGCCCGTAAAAAGGACGAGTGCTTCATACTTGCCCACGCCATAGCGTCCAACATTGATATGTTTGAACAGCATGTTCGCGCTGATAGGGCCGGCCAGGACATTTCCGATTCCCTTGCCGAAGTTGAACAGGCCAAACACCGCAAAGGCCGAAGTCGCGTCGGCGGTGACGCCCATTCCCATCCGGGCCCACAAGGCCGTGTAGCCGGCTCCAAAGAAGCCGTAGATCAGTCCGAACGCGGACAGCATTGCGAAGGTCCGGGCCAGGCCCCAGAGAGCGAATACCGCAGCTGCGGGGACGAGGGTCGATGCAAAACATAGGACCGTGACTGAGAGTCTCCGATCTGAGAGGTATCCGAAGCTGAATTGACCCAGGACCTGTGAGACGCACATGATTGCCAAAAGTAAGGAGCCCTGTCTCGAGCTCAGACCGATGGTCGAGGCATACGAAGGGATATAAAGCGAAGGAAAAAAGTAGCCCAGTCCCTGCATGAGATTTGAGGCCGTGTAGATCCAGAAGAGTGGTGTCTTGAGAAACGCCCAATTAGTCCTCGGCGTGAAGCTTTGCGCTGACGCAGGGAGCCGTCCTTTTAGTAAGGGGATCAACGGCCCCGTCGACACGACCAGGCCCAGTGCGACGATTCTCAATGTGGTCGGATACCCATACTTGTTGAGAAGCGCCTCGAGGGACAACGGCATGACAATGCCCGAGAACCCGGACGCGCTGCATAGAATGCCGTACGCCATGCCCCTTCGTGTGATCCAGTACTCGTTGACCATGCTGATGATGGGGTAATAGAAGATGATGAAGCCGATGCCATACATGACACCTTGAGTGAAGACGAGACTGCCGACGCTGCGGGCGAAAGACCCGCTCAGTATTCCCACGATACATAAAGTCCCTGCCCTGCATGTCAGCTGAGCACGGACCAGTTTTTGGATAATAGTTCTCCATACACCCGAACCATATCATCTGCCCGCGATACTTCGCGAAACGTCTCAGTACTGGAATGATTAATGGAGCGCCCATGTAGGACATGCTAGAAGCGATGGTTCCGATGACCGAGATGTACCGCTGGTTAATGAATTCAGGTAACTGCGAGTAATAATTTTGGAAAACCCCAAAGGACAGCGGGAAGCCTTCACCGTGTCAGTGGGCAAAGCGTAGAAGCACCAACCAGGTGTATACGAGCATGTCTATTGCCAGTACTTACCCCAAAGCAGCGCCTCAAAGACGTATGCTGCGAGAAGCAGTTTCCAGGCCGCACGACCCCCGTCAACGGGATTCAACGAGTCACCGTTCGGCTCTGCATTGCTTTCGCCGCTCTCTGCCTGTTCCCCTTCTCGAGGCGTGCTTTGAGGATCTAAAGCTAATTCGACATTGTTGTTCATACTGAAAGACCACGCCAAGGAGAATATCAAGCTGTAAAGACTGTTTAGAATATCAATTATCAACTTGTGTGATACGGAGAAAAGGTATTCACAATTTCAAATGATGGTGAATGCCGAGGCTTGCTGGCTTGGCGCTTCAATGCATGATAGACTATATATACATACATATGTACTGTACCTCGTGGGTACCGAGTTGATAAAGAGTTGATAAGGAGTTGCTCCGACTGCAGGTGGATATGATCCACCACTAACCCCCCGGTGACGTCTGTGGTCCTTGTGCGAGGTTTCCAGAGGATACAGTAGGTTCACGGTGCAAATTGGCCAAGGTGATAGCTAGTTGTTTTTCACATTCGCGACGTGATAACGTGCATTCCTCATTCACGTCTATGGCACCGACAATAACCGTGACATTCCTTTCAAGATAAAACGTTTGGTAGGCTTATCCCATCGTCCTTTGAGGACCAGTGGAGCATTTGCCTGGGCTAGAAGAACGATTAGGTTTTCGTCGGAAAGCCACTGCCCACACGGAGCCTGACACGCTCTGCAGTTTGTTTGTCATCGAAATCGTTGTGTCCCAGATGTTAAGGAATTAAGAGATGTTGGCCTCGATATTATATCTGACTTGGGACATCCTCACAGGATTGACCATCTCCAGCCACGCGGTCGGCTTCTCTGGGATGCTATGGACCTTCTCGACAACAATACCCAGTCCAGCTTGCTCAATACCCAGGAGGCGGTACCTTTCAATTGTGTGTGATATGTGAGGCATGTAGAAATTAGAGCAGTGGCCTCCATAGAATGTGATAAACCCAGCAGAGAATATTTGTGCACTTAAAGCGGTCATATGCAGCACATAGCTAGCAATCCCGTTCGTGCTTATGCATTGATGAAGGGGTTGAATAGTGTGTTTCCCACTCCCAAAGAACTTGTCAAACAGGTCGAGACTTCAATGGCATAATTTAGACCTTCACTCTTCGCCTCTGAGAACGGACTCAGGATTTTCCGGGCTCAATGGCTGGCTGAGCATTCGAGCCAAACTGGAGATGTCCTCGCGTTGGACGTCCACCGTAGAGAGTCCGGCATAGAATTTCAACGCCTTGAAGACCGGAAGGTGTTACAACAGCAACCTAGCTTATTCAAGTCTTCCATTGCCAGAAGGATTGCTTTGAGGGCACCTACACAATATCGTAAGAGGCCGCGGTCTTAAATTCCATGCTTCAAAGGTGATTCGAAGGTATAGGGGAAAGGACTCTTCGAAACTCGTGTTGGTTTTATTGTCGCTCAGCTGGGCAGTGTCTATTGTACGCTTGTGCTAGCTAATTGAGTTCCTTGGCCATAGAGGTCGTATCGCCCACCAGATTTTATCGGCAGATTCAAGTGAATTGTCTTCCTTGAGCATGTCCTCAAGTTCCCCCGATTTGCGACATCTTGCACAAGCCCTCACATCGGAGGGTGATACGAAAGAGCTCATCTTTGTGTTCACGCTCCACTGTCGCCTAGTTCTCTAGGGCCGAAGTAAGATGATTTGTCCTTCATATCCAGGTTGGCGAACTGTGTGGAAAAGGTTTCGCGAAGCCTAAATGGTTCTTGTAGTTGGTCAAACCAGGCATAAACGAATAGTGAACCGCTGGAATGGAAGGGCGTGTCGATCTTCTCGGGAGGGCAGCTGGAAGTTATCTGGGGACCATCGAGAGCCTCATTCCGAGAGAAGTTGAGTGAGTGAGCTGATGCCTCTTGACCAGGCGCTCGTAATCTCCCCTCATTTCTGCTTGACGATAGATGCAGCTTCTTCGAATCTATATTCTGAGACGAATTGGCGCCTGAGGTCATGCATTCCTCCTCGTGTTCAGTGTCTTGTCATTCGACCAGGTAGAGATTCTTGTAGGTTGTCAACAAGGCCAAGTCGTTGCTATCAGGTATCCAAACAGGCCAAAACTGCGTCAGCGCTGCGCGTCAACAGCAAATCCAGGCGCTGCTATCGTATTCAACAGCTGCTTCCATCTCGCTCGCCTCACCTCGACGTCTGTCCACCACAGTAGGTGCTCATATCGCCCGTGCCAAGGGGCCAGCCGTTTCGACCAGCTTCCAGACGGATGAGGCATGTACGCGGTCTCACTCACTCACTGAAGGGCCTGCAAGTAGGATCGAAGATTGGAATATGGTCGTGGTGACAAAGGGAGTTTGGCATTAGTACTGTGGTTTATCGAGGACCGTCCGTGCCAGCTGGCGAAGTTGTGATATGGCAATAGCTGCCAAAGCGCTCGAAGGCAGCAATCCACCGATGCTGTCACACCGCTGTTGGGGGGATTGAATGCTGTGGTTCCTGAATGTAGGTCAGTTTGCACGAGTTCCCCGGACTCCGTACAATATTCGCCCAGTCTATTCTCAGAGTAGCTTGTCGTCCCCCCACCGAGCTATATACATGCCCATCGCCTTCACAGGGAAGTAGAACTTGTAATTCGGATAGGTGATCATGCAGCTGCAATTAAACACCCCTTCGATAGCCTCTTGCAGCCACTCGCCATTCTTCTGCTGTCTGGCCATAACCATTTTGATCGCCCTTCTGATCGGCTCTTGGTCAGGGTATTCAGCATACATCAACGCAATGACCGCCCAACAGGTCTGCACAACCTGTGATTTTTCATGATCCACCCACTTTTTGAGTTCTGAGGCACGATAGCTCTCGCCCCAGCCACCATCGGACATTTGGTGCGAGATCAGGAACTCGCATGCTTTCTTGACGCGTGGCGAGTTGGAGTACACTTCGCCCACAGAGGACAAGGATTCAAGCGCAAACATGGCTCCATAGGTGAAGCAGATACCCCAGCTGCCGTACCAAGATCCATCATCGCGTTGAGCCCGACGGATATACTGCAACGCGGATTCCTTCACTGCCTTGATCTCGCTGGCACGGTAGTCCGGGTAGAATTTCTGGAACAGCGACAGAACCGTGACCACGGCGGTCGTGCATTCCGGGTAATCGTACTCCACCATGATGCGGCCAAAGACTTCAGCAGCGTTGAGCAATTCCATATACTCAGAGCCGCGCTGGGGCTCGTAGCTCGCGAAGCCACCAGTATGTTCGTTCTGCATGGTTAGAAGCACGTCAACCGCATCATGAATGCGGGAGTCGTCAATCAACGGTTTGTAGCCGTGACCATTCTGGAGAAGCAGGACAACACGGAGCGCCTCACTTGTGCAGTCAGAGACGGTATAGCCCTGCAATTTTGTGCTGAATGGCCATGCCCCCTTGCGTGATTGGCGGTAACAGACGTCCCGATCGGGGATCTCTTCACGGATTTGTTCAGACTCCAAATATTCCAATCCTTTGATGAGCATCGGTTTCCACTTGGATGAATTGGCCAAGCCTGCCTCAACACAGGCTTGGATGGTGAATGACGTGTCCCAAACTTGAACACCGTTGGTTCCGTTGACAAGCATCCCCTCTTTATTAACCCAGAGGTACTCCTCAAGGCGATAGAGGTGCCTTTTGAATGAGTAACTGTCAGGCCCTTCCTTGATGAAGCAGCAGATTGTGTTCATAGGGGCGTTAACTGGAGCAAGGTCTGCATAGTCTGTGTTGTGGTCTTCATACTGGACAAGACGCCAAACCCAAGCTTCAGCTTTCTCGACAATCGATTTGGTTCTAAGAAGAGGTATCCAAATCCACACCAGGAGGAACATTATGAGATTCAAAAGCCAGGATTTTGGATGATAGTTGTCTTCAGGGGCAATTGAATTCCGATGTGCCCCAAAATCAATGGACTCGTAAGGCTGCACGAACAGTTCCTGTCGCAACGATCGAATGAGGGCGTTCTCGGGAACGGTGAATCTCTTGGACCAGACGTAGGACATGGGGAGGAAAACCTGACGCATATGCACCCACCACCGCCATGGAGCAATGGGCACCCAGTCAGGCAACAGCCAGAGTTCAGGAGGAACTGGATTGACTATCTCCCAACGGGTAACTCCCAGGACGCTGAGCCAAAATTTAGCCCAGTGAGGACCATTGGTAGCCCCGCCCATTGCATGGAGCTTTCCTCTTGCTTTGATCATTCTTGGATCTTCCTCGCTTGCTCCCAGTATTCTTAAGACGGTGTAGTTCATGGCCGTGCCGAAAACCGAACTGTGACCTTCGACGTGCAGTCCCCATCCGCCGTCTTTATTTTGTCTTGCAAAAAGGTAGTTTTTCATCTCAATTTTGTATTCGAGGGGAATGGGCGTCCCAGTTGCGTACCAGCTGCATACGATTCCGGGCATGAGGAAGAGAGGCCCGCCATATTCGCAAGCCCAATTGCCTGGAGGCAGTTGCAGTTGTGAATAGAAGCTCAGGCAGTTATCTATCGACTCCGATGGTTTTGAGGCAGAGCGAAGGTCAGGGAGGTCCTTGGCTGGTCAGCAAACATTCAAGCCCGTGAAAAGATTCAACCCACTGTTGGCAAACCCAAATAATACTTGTCTGCGGCCGACTGCGGCCATTCTGCAACCTCTTTTTCGGTCTTGAGGTAGTGCCAGGTATGCCGACCTGATTCATCGAGCAATCGCCATCTTGAGCGATCTAATTTCTCGCCGACACCTGATGTTGGGGTTAGTGTATGCCCGTTGACGTGACCATTGGCGATTCCTTGGGCATGGCCGTTGGCGACAGCGTCCGCCCCCTTCTGCGAAGACTGACAAGTTTGCACCATCTTCAATAGATTGGACTGTAAGGTGGATTGGACATGACTCGACTGAATGGAGCTGCTACCAACGACGAGGAAACATTGAACACGGTCGGTCGATCGTCCACGCGGCTCACCGTTCAAGTACGCCGAGCAAAAAATTGGCGGAAGCAATAAATCAAGGGTGAGGCCACTCGGCATATCGATAAGCGACGCAGGAACGATGTGGACGAGATTGGTTGTGCAACATGGTGGCACCAGGGGCACCAGGGGCACCAGAGGCAATTGTGCGTCATCCCTTCCGGGCATGGCAATGGGCTAGTGGGCCACGCGTGTCTTGGCGTGGAGTCACTGCAGTTCAACCCTGGCTTGCCCAGGCTCAGGTTTGCCCCTAGCTATTCCCAGCCTTAACTCTTACAGGCACCTACATGACACTGTCCCCAGTATATACGGCCTACCCAACGATGCTTGCTCATGGACGCTTTAGGGCCGTCTCCCTTCGATCAATCATCGCAGTTCGCCGGGGTCACCGTCACCGCTGCCAACCAGCAAGTCCTTGACTACATCGAGGCAACCTTCAATGCAATCATACATGAACTCAGACTCCCGTCAGGCGACGGCAAGCCAGTTGTTGCCCTGAATCGAATAGTAGCAGTAAAACCTCACCTCGACGAAGACGACGCCATGCGATTGAAATGGCATGTCGAATCCCGAAGAGTCAGATACCACTTTCCGGGCAAGAACAAGGACGAAGCGCGGCGATTCGGTGAGTGGCAGATGTCTACTCTGGCTTCCTTCGGTCAGTGGCTCTGATATCTTGTTGAGCCTGTGTTGGACGGATATTGCGTGAGATATATGTTGCAATCAAACAAGGTGTCACAATCACGAAGAGGTCCGTCGTTGTTGGAATCCGGTCGGATGGCCACTAACTCAGCAGCAGGGACATTTATTACCACGACGCGGCTCTTTTCAAAAATCAAGAAACGGTGGATCGATATGTCGATGATATTGCACACACGTGTCAGGTGACAAGACGAGACCTCAACGTCGTATGCGGACTGCCACTCCACTCCTCAGCTTCCACTTCTCATTCGCTTTTCTCAGGTTGCAAGCCCCAAAGGCCTCGTTGCCGGACTCAGCTATGCTCTCACTAGTGAGCAGGCACCCGTTATTCAGATCGTCTGCATCAATACCCCCTTCACCGACACGGAACATATCAAGTGGATCCTTGTCATCGAGAAAGAAGTCTGCTGAGGAAAATCTCCTTCAGACGGTTTGGCTGATAAAAAAGCAGGCAACATTTAATGCTCTGACTGAGAGAGAATTCCACCAGAACCCGACCATCGGACCGGGTCTTCTCGTAACCGTAAAGCACCTCTTTCTCAGTTAGATGACTTGAGCACTGACTGGTTTCGCAGGCTAGGGGATATCCCGACGTCGCCACTCGTATTTTCTTACGCCAGCTTCTCGATCACTCTCCGTCCCCTATCCCGGTATTTGGCCTGTTCGACTGGGATCCACATGGCGTCGGCATTCTGAAGTGCTACCTATACGGATCGAAAAATTTGGCACAAGAGCATGGTTGTAATATCCCAGATATAAGATGGGTAGGCATTAAGGCAGAAGATGTTCTTCCACATCAAGATATCGGCAATCCGACCATACAGTTGTCGAAGCGTGACAGAATGACAGCCATTGGATTGCTGGGGAGCCAGGAATGGCGCGATCAAGCAGGCACCCCTCTGCCGGGTCTGCAGGAGGCAGTCACCGAGGTTCAGCGGATGCTCATGTTGAACCGAAAGGCCGAAATTCAAAGTTTGGATGAAAGACCAGGCGGCCTCGAGGGCTGGCTGACTGGGAAGCTGGGGCAACGGCTCTGATTGTAGAAGATGAGGAGTGAAGGTGGAACGCCGCTCAGTTCCCCCAGCCATGCAGCAGTCTGCAGCACTCATAAACCTAATGATCGTCGTACGCCTTCCCTCACTTTCTTCTCAAAATCTGGTCGTCGTTCTCTCCACATTTTTGCTGCCTCCACGTTTGCCGGGCTCTCATCATTGGGCTCGGCCAGCATTGACATGACAGATATCAGGATCTTCTCCACGCTTTGGATTGGTGACCATCTCTCTGAGGCACTCTCGTAATGATTTGGATCGTCACCGGGAGGATGCAGGATGGAAATGCAGACTTCGCCGTTAGTGTACACTGCCGCTCGTCAGTGGAAGCGCTGTTGGACAGCAATGAGTTTATTTGTACCATTAGGATGCCAGATTTCACCCAGAAACTTCATCTTGGGCGGGTTCAGAGGATAATCCTTAGGGAATTTGAGTTCTGCGGGGAAAATGCCGCCTTCGAACGGAGTGCCTTCGGGCCCTTGGATCAGAGCTTCCCAGACGAAGAGGTCATCCTCGCTCACAGGTCCAGCGGTGATTCCATCGGGCGGATTGGTCAGGAGAGACTTGTATTCTTGGAAGAGGCGCTTGGAGGCCACGCTTGTAGCCATAGCGAGTATCGGAAAGTTGACGCAGGCGAGGAACAATAAGAACTAGGAGAGGGGCAGTGAGGATGGATGATTAATGCGTTGCAATTGGGCGACAAAGCGGCGCTGTTTGTTCAAAATACAAGGAGATGATATCTGGCCGCTCTAGTGCTGCCTCGCTGCCTTCAGCTCGAAGATGCCTGCTTCCTCGGAGTCAAACGACTTTGAAGGTGTTTTTACCAGACTGAAGCTCACCCGCCGCAGGGAATCTGTTGCCCGCGGAGACAGCAAGAAAAAGGCGTGTGCACGTGACGCAGCTAAACTTCAAATGGGAGCTTTGCCGAAAGGAGCTCGTTGGCCTTTGTCAGCAACTGTATGGCATGAGCGTCACGGTGAGCGTCATGCCTCGAGTTCGCAGGGCCAATCAGAGCTACGTGTACGGATTAACCAAAGGGGTAGCCGGAATCCCTGTAGTACCCTTGCCTCTCTCTTTTACCAATCACACGAAAGAACTTGATGGAAAAGGGATCTTGACGGACCTCGTCTCTTGCATCTACACCCTTCCACTTTTACGTAGATCCTCCCTCCTCGCCGCCTTTTGCATCTTGTCCCATATTCTCCACTGGCTTCACCACATTCATTAATAATGGTGCGTTACAAGAACGGCCTCAGAAAAGCTTACTGGGACAACCTGGTCGAATTCCCGAGAAAGTCTGTCCCAACCCTGCCATAGGGTTCTTTCATTATTCATCTCGCGTATTCGCCCGTCTGCTTGCTGCTCAGCGGGAAGAAAATGTTAGCAACATCAAGGAAGGATGCCAACCTGACGCCATGTCGAATTGCTCAGCAGCATCGATTTCAAATGGCAGGTGAATACGAGCTAAGGGGACAGGTATAAGAGCCCGGCTAAAGGAGAAGGGAATTCAAGTTCTCCATCAGCCAACACAACGCAGATTCATTGAAAAGCATTCCTCATCTCACCTCTAACATTTCCTCATATACCTCTAACCCTAGGCTGCTCTTGCTCAGACAGCATGGCTAAGCTCTTGACCGTTGTCGGTGCTACAGGCACTCAAGGCCTTTCTCTTATCAACGCTGCACTCGAAGACGGCAGCTATAAGATCAGAGGTCTGACTCGGAATCCAAACAGCGAGAAAGCCGCTGCCTTGGCTAAGCGAGGTGTTGAACTCGTCAAGGCTGATATCAACGACGAGCATTCGCTAATCAAAGCATTTGAGGTAACAAAACCCGCGCTCGCGCTTTGAGATGACAAACACTAACCGTGCAACCGCGGCAGGGCTCGCATGCGGTCTTCGCCATAACCGATTTCTTTGAGCCCTTCGTCGCCCACGGTCCCGAAAAGGCGATTGAAATAGAAGTTGCGCAGGGTATCAACATGGCCAAAGCCGCTTCCAAGACTGCCACCCTGGAACATTACATCTGGAGCACGCTCCCCAATGGCAAGAAGCTGACAGACGGTAAATACATTGTCCCACACTTCGAAGGTAAGAACCGGATCGACGACTACATCAGATCCGATAAAGCCTTGCTCGCCAAGACCACATTCTTTTGGATCAGTTGGTACGGGAACAACTTTGCCTATCCTATATTCACGCCGAACTTCTTGGTAGGTCTAGTTTCCTTGGTTTACCCTGAATTACTTAGGCCATTCAGATACTAACCAAGTGGCCACACAGAAAACTGCCAATGCGTACATCCAACTATCTCCCGCTCGGCCCGACACGCCCATCAAAGCGATTGGTGACCCGCACAAAAATATCGGGGTCTTCGCCCTGGCCATTCTCAAACAGCCACATCTCACCCTTCGTCCACAGGGGCGCTTCGTCCTAGCCCACAGTGAAGAAACCACGGCAGGGAAACTGCTAAGCGACTGGTCCGAAGTCACAGGCAAACCCTCCAAATACGTGCAGACGTCTCTAGAGGACTTCAGTGCCGTCTGGCCTGGCTTCGGGATGGAAATGGGCATCATGATGGCTATGTGGAGCGAAGTAAGGGATCGGAGCTGGAGCGGTGAAGAGGGCCTGTTAACGAGGGAGGAGCTGGGGATCAAGGAGAGCGACTTAACTTCCGTGAAGGACGGTTATAGTGTGATGGATTGGAAGGCTCTGTTGTAGCCCGAGAAATGGAAATGCAAGAGGCATCAATAAATATCCTAGGGTTCTCAATGATTTCTGATATAGTCAATTGCGGAGCTTATATCAACAAACTTGGTCGTGTGAAATCTTGACCCTGATGACCAAATGTCAGAAAGGCATGCCCACCCACTTCATTTTTGCGGTTACCTCTAGGGTATGTTGGTAGTCTCCACCGTCCTCTTGATAGACAACCAAAAAGTTCAACCTCTCAATCTCCGATACCAAAGAACATGATAACATCGTAGCATATTGAAACACTTCCACTTACTCGCGATTCCAAGCCCGCGAACTTATAGGTGTCCCACGGGGAGATCAGAGAGGCGCGACAACGAGCCTGCTTATTATAGTGAGGTCAGGCTCGAGTCAGAGAAAGACGTATTGAATCTTTATTTTAATCCCTTTGTCGTCGCACGGCCTCGCCAACCACTGACTAGTATTTCCTCTTGAGCCACTTTAGGTTACTGTTCGATTCTACTCTCCACACTGGCAACCACTGAGTATCTACCGCAGGGAACTGGAGCCTGAGCCATCTTCACAGCGGTCGGCAGAAAAGTTGCCCTGATACCGAGAGCCCATCGCGTTCTTTTCAAGGTCCCGGCCGTCCTCATCAACCATGACTAACTTGTCTTGGGGACGAGGCATGGAAGCCACGGTCGTTAAAACTGACACGTAATCTTCTGGAACAAAGAACTAGTGGAAGCTCCTCTTAAGGCCCGGCCAAGGAGCTGTGGATGGCCCAGGAAAAAAATCTCCATGAAGGTGTTTGTCGTGTCTTTCTACCATGGAGAAGATCTGCCGCAGTCGGGTATGCAGTTCTTCTGAACCTGTGCGACCACCTGACTGCGTGTCCTCGTCCGTGTTTTCAACAGCGTGGTGGAGGGGGCTTCTGTCGTGAACTTTACCGTGGACGAACTCATTCACCTTTACTGGGTGCTCGGCAACAAGGGGGACCAATTGAAGCATATATCGAAGAGAGCCTCACATTTCACAATGGGAGTCACACGCCATGTGGTCAATCCAGCGGATAACAACAGGGTTAATAGCCACCTCGCGATCGAAGATGCTAAAAAATCATGCGACCTCTCCCTCGAATCGTTCCAGTTCATCAAAACCATACAAAAGCCAGATGATGAACTCCAGCAGAATTCATCCGAAAACCATACGTCAGATCGACCGACACCGGCGGTCGAGAAGTTGTGACACCCTCGGGGTAGTGGTATATTATAGTACCCCATTTGCTGGTGGTATTTTGTTGTCTTCGAGAAGTATTGTGAAGGTTGAGTACGGTAAGCCTCATAGCCTCGATTACAAGGATACCGAAGTCCTTATTACTGTGGCAGGGTCTTGATTGCATCAGTGAGATCGCAGAGTTGGCCAAGCACCCGTGTTATCAGGTTCTCGTTTCTGGTCCTGGGATTGTCCAATTGATGCCAGGTACTCCTCAGGTTGCCTCTTTCAGCCCTGGGAAATATGAGCCTCTGCCTGATGTCTATTATGTGTTGTAAAGACTGGGGCCAAAACCATCCAGTGAGAATCACAGAAGAGTGAAATGTCAGCGCTGGAGCAGTGTGTATACCACTCAAGATTTTCTGCAGTCACAGGAAGAGAGCCATCCCAGAGGCTTGCTCGAAGAAATCCTGGATTGATGAAGTCACGTTGATGTAAACCAGGATCGCGAAGACTTGGGAGGCTTTCAAAAGAATGCCTCGTGCGAGCGCGTCAGAAGACTTCCTGATTCTGGATAACTCGAGATCGATCGTTTCTTTCGTAATGAGTTCGCAGAACAAATTTGCAGCAACGAACATGCGATGGTCCACTGCGCTTTTAACATGGGTCTTCGTGATCCTGGCTGGTAAGCTTTGTTGTTTAATACCGAAGTCATACAGAATTCGAAGACGCTGTGCGACCGATTGGGGGACGGCTGTGAACTTCCTATACCAGACGCCAGATGGCAAGTTGGATGTCTTATGGTCTAGTTCTGGAATATTTTGGTCTTGTGCGCTAGAGCATGCTGTGGTTCAAGAATGCTCTGGGCAACCTTATCGAGTTTCCGCTCGATGGGCAACAGAAAGCTTCCCCCCCAAAAAAAACATCTGGGAGTCATCGCTTTCAAAGCTGACAGCGCGTTCGGACATGGCGATGCTGGGACAAGATTCATATCTAAGATTGGGTAAGCTAGGCGAGATGTAGACTTGGCGTGTTCAAAAATATGCTCGAGAAAGGACTGGTTTCGAGGCAGGGAATTGAATTTGCAACCTAGGCAAACATAAAGATCCCTTGGCTTCCATGTTTTCTTCCTTCGCACCAAAATAGCTAGTTGTCTATCGGATGGGCAACCTCGAGGGTGAACCAAGGTGTATATATGTGTTCTTCGAGGCTCTCTGGTCCTCGAATGTAGCCATAGGGGGGTGACTGATGTCGTAATACCATGTCACAATATGGATAAATCGAGATCAATCTTTTGATTAGAAGCTGCTCATATGTTTGGACTAGTCTTGAAAGTGTCGAAAACATCGGAACGAAGGGGAATATCCTTCCGATAAACAGACGCACGGATTTATATAATTGACGAAATGCTGAGCCATATACCTCCTGCAAGTTGTGAAAATGGATAGAGACGAGAACTCAGCAGTGGATCTACTGCCGGTTAACATCTGAATACCTATGCGGAAGTATGGAGTAGAAGGGATAAGTAATATCACCGCCCTCATTGGCCCGAGGTTGTGAAGTGCCCTTTCTGCTCTATATTATATTGAATGTACGTCTTCTGCGGTTGGAAATAGAAGCTGCTAACAGCATAAGGAGTGTTCGAGTCGGGAGCATTGCTCTGGCGGTAAGAAATGACCCTAGCCATCCAGCAGCATGGTTGTATGCTCGATAATCTCCGCGGCGCTGCACGGAAGCTAGGGAATGATGAGCAAGCTCTAGGCGGAAACAGACTCGACCCAAATGCATCTAGTGGAACAAAGAGCACGGACCTGCTTGAGGGAATAAATGGTGTGCATCTAAGGCCACAGAGAATATCAAGCTGGGGGATCAGAGTTCTAGCGGTACTTAAACCATGGAGGGAGATCTAAATAGCCGCTCTGCTCTAGCGGTATGACCACCAGTTGGAGATTCACAGAAAAAGGGCTGGAGAACATAACTACTCTACCATAGTTCCATTGGAGATCTGAGTTGCTATAAATCACCCTTGTGCTATCGCTTCTGACGCCATTCGAATAGGACGTGCACCACGAAAGATGTAGGAGAACAAATTGATGTAGTGTATCATTCCGCGTCAACATTCCGCGCTGCACCTTTATCCAAGTCCTCGAAATTGACGTATCCTTTCCCTTTGACAAGAGTATAACACCACGGCTGCTGAGCCGGTTCTTCAACGAGCGCAAGCATAGCCTTAGCTCTGGCCTCGCCACTCATGAGTTCGCGTGCCGGTCTCCCGTCACTCAATCGCTCATCTGTACAGTAAAATTTGTATCCTGCTTCGTGATAGGCGACGACGCAATCCCAGATACAATGAGCCATTGCTGCTTTGTCCATCCCGAACGTCAACGCTTGGGGCGACGACATGACGTGTAGTTTGTTGCCAGTGTAGAAGAATGTCTTCAGCGTTGACGGAGGCAGTCTAGCGAAGCCTTTAACTGCGAAAAGGCATGCGACGAGAGCGCTGGCAACATTAACGTTGTGATCATGTTGATACTGTGTGATAGAAAAAGTAGACATTGGGTCATTTGGTAGCTGAAGCGTGCGTGAAGCAGCATTGTAGATGACGACGGTCGGTACGTCCCAGTGGGCCTCGACTTTGGTGAAGATGGTTGGGACTGCGTCCGGATTGCCGAGGTCGGCAGTAATGTTCAGGACGCCTCCAGAATCGACGCCCTCTTCCATGCTTCTCGACACTGCTGCGACACGGAATTTGTTTGCTGAGAAGTACCTGACGACAGCGTCACCAATATTAGACCCAGCTCCCAACAGAAGGACAACTGGTTTGGGGACTACCACAGCCATCATGATGGGTCCGCTCTCCGTTGAGGTCTAACTTGGCTGGACATGAGCACGAAAGGTCTATCACCTCCTCCGTTGCGAAGGTTGATTAATTCCGCGAAAGGATTGACTGCCATACTCCAGATTGACTTCCCTGCGACATTAGACGCATCCTTGTTGACCCTCTTACACAACAGGGCAAGTTCCATCAGAGCTTCATAGGCATTTTCCTGGCATAGTTGCAAAGATCCACCTTCAGCTCGAGGTCGCTGCAAACAAGGTAAAGCTTCCACATTTTCACCTTGAATATGCCGAGAAGCCGAGGAGTGCATGCCGACATAGATCCACAAAGCTAGAGCCGCGTCGTAAAGAGCGGCATGAGCCAAGCGAGTAAGGGGTGCAGTCCATAGATGAGCTCCGGCGGCAGCCTTATGCGTAACTTTGTAGATGGTGCATGCATGCGCGATGGCTACGGTAGCAACAGAGTCTGTAGCCCAGCTTTGAGCAATATCAATGAGTCCGTCATCAATCTGCCGAGCCCTACTGTTATCCACCGGAATGCGGTGGAAGTCTTCAAAAGGTGCGTGAAACCTTAATAGTGTCACATGGTGAGATAGAAGTGCAGCCACCAATGTGTTTTGTTCATGTCCGAGATGGATCGAAGTGTCATCGTTTCCGGCCGGAGGCATGTCTTTGACGTCAGAGTTAGACCGACCGTCCAGCAAGGCGGTCTCGAACAACCCGAGGAGCATGGATGCCTTTTGTCCCCTAGAAGTACATGATTCTATCTGGGTAACTTCTCGGGGTTCTTCGATCATTGACACTTGAAATCTTGTACTTGCAGTATACTGACATGGCCGGCTTTGGCGAGCACACCTACTGCAAGTGGGGTTTCCGTCGCATTTTGTCTTTGAGAGACGGCAGGCATCACACGCAACGGCCGTAAGCTCAATTCTCGAATTCACAATTGCATTTGGACGTGGTGGCTTTGGTGCATGCAACAAGCGATGTCGATTGAGAACATCCGCTCGACGAAAGACCCGGTTGCAAATGTCACAGACACGACTTTGGTGAGCATTATGGTTACGCAGGTGGCGAGTGAGTGTGTTCCTGCTCTTGTACACGCTCTGACACAAGTCACAGGTGTACATAGAATGATGACCCGACAGGACGAGCAAAGCTACCGACTTGAGAATAAACGAAGAACATTAAAGAGCGTGAATTTTCGGAAGCCAGCCCACGATTAGTAGAGAATATCAGGTACTTACGCCAAGGTCTCGGCGCTCTGGGCGCCCTCCCAAAATAAGGCTAGTGAGGCATCATCCGAAGCTGAAAAGAGACCTATCGACCAACAACATTTATATGAAGCGCTTTTGGGCATTGAATTGAGAAAGGTTCGGTTTGATTCGAATCACCAGGCCCTTCCCACAAGGATAGCTTCAGCCCCTTATCGCGCTCACGGATTGCAAGCAATTACCTAGACTCTTGTTTTCATGTATCTACTCAACCTCATCCACTTACACACACAATCGCCGACCGTGATAATCCTATGCTAACCTCCCCATTCCTCTCAACTACACTATGACCTTGCTGCTAATCTCTTGCTCAAGCAAACCTTCCACATTGCCGCGACAGAGATGGTCCGGTACCCCCAAGGAGGGAGAAAGGCTAAACGTGAGACACAAGGATTGGACAACCACTTGAAAGACACGTCGCGGTTTGCAACCCGCGTTGATCTGTGATTTCTGCCATCCGCTTTCAGTTATGTAAACGGATAGCATTGATCAATGATCTATCGTATCAATCGTGTCTTTCTCTCCGCTTATTCAGCGAACTCTAACTATTTGTATGAACATTTGCCTGGGTTCAGGGGGCCATTCCTGAGGATTCCCTGGCGACCTCATCCTGTTCCAGCGAGCAGATCAACGGCCTGATGTAAATGGCGCTGTCGGTATTTGCTACTGGGTACATAGTAAAGGCGATCAGACTGGCAACTAAACTGGCAACGGTTGACCACGGCGAGCACTGTAGCGATCTTTTAGCCCTGATACTCGATCTATCTCACAGTAAATATTGAGGAGTATGGCCAGGTATCGAATAGCATTGGCAATGTTATTTTATCAGCGCTAACAGAGCTACGCGGGTTATCTGAGTCAATGTGCGCGCTCGCTGACCTCCCAGGGATTCCCCCTTGTTGTTAATAGAGACGAATCGTGATTAGCTGCAACTCCATCCATTCGCCTCGTCCGGGCCCACATCTGAGCACGAGAACCACCTGGAAAAAAATTTCTCCTGCTGATGTTTATCTACGCGTGGTGCTCACAGTTGCGTGCCAGCGAGGAAGGAGAAGGGGCTCTAGATAAGGAAGATCTTCGGTGTAATATTTGGCGCGATCATGGAGTAGTTATGCCTCTTTCCAAATGAAGGAGGACTCAGGTGGATGAAAAGGACAAGGCACATCAAGGAAAATTGTCGCCGATCTCCGACACGGACACCATCTCTCCTTGCCTTCACTCGCAGGGTAATATTAGCCATGATTACCTAGCCGGGAAATCCGTCTCAGCCACCGCTCGAACGCCGGACCGGGCAACGTGGCTCGGTTGAATTATTATCGTTAGACCGATCCGTGCATGGATGAATCCTCAGTATCAACCATCAGACTAACTCGTGCATAGATGAAACGAAGGCAGCGAAGGAAGTATTGCATTGGCCCCTCGCTTCTCTATGTCTTATTCCTTAACACTGGAAGAGGGACATTTCATTCGGTGATTCTCACCGTTTGACGTCACGTCTGTACGTTGAGGTACTTTGAAGCAAAATGACGGGTTGAGTCGAACGAGGAAGATTCGCACTTCTTCAAAGCCCTTGTCCAGACAGGGTGTAGAAAGGATGGTGCGGGCGGGGGACTCTGTCATCGTGTGAATCTGTTTTGAAGGAACTTCAAGCAAGACTGTCAAATGGGAAATGCGCCGGGGCCATCGTGTGGCTGAGAACCTCTTTGGGGTAGTGGTACCAGACAAGGCCTGCATATATTCTATCAGCAAAGCTGAGAGTCTGCTTTACAATCTATTCAATCCATTTCCCAGTCTTCTTTTCATCTGAAGAGGGAACAGCTCAGCTATCATAACATTTGCGACACTTATTCCGATCGGCCTTCCCGATGGTTCTCAGGTCCACCTAGTAACGTGGCTGTATGTACAGCTCCGGTGTCACGTACGCCTGGATGGTTAACTGGCTTTTGGCTGGATCGCCTTTCGGGCCAATACCAATGAAGGTGAAGATCCCTGTTCGCTCGTCCAGAGCACGGTGAGTGCTAGTCATTTGTGTTTCAGCAAAGGTCAACTTGGCCACCGGAAAAGGTACTTACAAGGAGCTCTTCACCTGCTTTTCGATCGATTTACCGTCGTCATCCCAACCGTGCTTCGCCAGCCAAGTATCGAGACCGCGGGCGATGATTTGGTCGTTTGGTGCAAAGTTGGATGGGTATAGACAGAGCTTGGGCACCGGGTAAGGGTGGTCTGCCGACAGCGCGAAATAAACGGCGGTCAGTTTCTTCGTCATCGAAGAGAATCTCTTCATGTTCATCTCATCTTTGCTCCGACTTTCTTCATACGAAACTCCGCTCAGGCAATCCATCAAGTCTCGAAATTTGTCTTTGTCTCCATCGAGGTTGGGGATTCTTCCGCCAAGGGTGTAGTAATCCCAGATGCTGTCGAAGTCCGTGGCGAAACACCGATTGTAGACCTTCAAGCGTGCTTTTGCCGGCGAAATCAGGTCGGTGGCGAGCCAGCGCGTTCCCATCCGCCAGGGCTCGGGCTTGTCAGAGAGATAGTCGGTGATCATTTGGCATGACTTGAGGACATTTGGGTAGGAATGGACGTTGGGAAGGTGGTAAATAGCTGCACTGACTGCCTGCCAGTGGGTCACGTCCTGGGCGGCAGCTCTGAAGCAAGGAAGAAAGTACACTTTGCCCATCACCGGCAGTTGAGACGCCGCCTCGAGCTTGCGGCCAATGTCGAACCCGACGATGACCGGACTGCTCTGGCCAGCCTTTTTGATCAAGGCCCGCTGCTCATCGATGGGTAGATGGTCGTAGACGAACCATTCTTTCAAAGTGTTGTACCATTGGTCGTCAAACCCATGTTGCTCCTTAGACAGCACATCGACGAGCTTTTGGGTGTTTTCCGGGCTCAGGAGATTGTTCGAGTCTTGTGGACGAAGCTGACTCAGGTCGACCACAAATCGAACTGCTTGCTTCTTGATTGAGCCTTTGAGCTCGAAGCTGAACTCCAGAGGATTCCCGTCCCAACCTATCGCGCACTTGGGAGAGTCACTCTGTGGGCGACCGCCAAGCATTGGACATATGTTGTCACGGTACCAGTCGAGAAAGTGCCTTCGAACATCATCAGGATACATGGCCTCCTGAAGCATTCGACTGAGGTCGGCACCACTTGTGTTCCACCAGTAGTTTGCATCGGTAGCGGTGCCATTTGGTTTGGTTTCCTCAACGCTCTTTTTGACAACTTCGACACCCGGCAAGGGGACTGTGGTAGGAGATAGTAGTACTGAAACCATGATTGCGGTTACAAGATAGGTCGACGGCCGTGAAGTTGCCGCGCATAGTAAAGCAGCTCCATGATATGGGCTTTCTGATATCAGGGCTCGACTGCTCTGGAACTATTTTGCGCCCACCGCTTTTGGTGAGACGTCAGCACTAATCCATGGTTGAGGGATAAATTTCCAAATGCGCTTGTAGAATCTCGAGAACTTCGTTTGTAGGGTTTCGAGCTCTCCGTTTGTAGGATTTGGAGGACTCCGTTTGTAGGATTTCGAGTATTACGAGGTACTGTGTATCCATACCCCTTTTCGGTGATTAACTGTGCCTGATCGGGCTAGTGCGCTGGCGGCCTTGGCGGTCTCTGGGGCTCAGAGGACTTCCGGGGAGATGGAACGGACCACGGAGCCGTTTCGAATACTATTTGACCGATTGGCTCTTCTTAAAATGATGATTAGTGTCCTAGGGCTGAACTTAGCCAGTGGAGCCATACAAGTCCATACGAGGCTTAATTTTCCACTAATAAGAGGGGTACTTACCCGATTTGCCTCCTGTATCCACCATATCTCATTAAACCCTGATGATGACATGCATTCGATACCGTATCCGTCGTGTGAGCACATCGTGTGCAAGGCAAGGTAGCGATAACGAGGCATGTGCCTTTTTCATTCCACGGAGAAACCTCAGACAAGGCGACCGATTCTTCCTGTGTCCATTTGGTAACTGGTGCAATCAAGGCCAGCAGGGTTGGTAATTCCAGCCCCAACAGCGTGTATCGGAAGCGACGCCAGCAGACAGCCATATCCAGACCAGATAGAGCTTGCAGACTTGACCAAATTCTCTTCCACGACAACCCGTCACAGCTACATTACCGATTCAGAGCAACCAAGATTCCTCAACCATCTATTGCAGCTCTGTAGCGCCACCGACACATGCAATGGCTTCACAATCTAATCCCATCATCGATATCAGCAAGGAAATCCTCCTACAGGCAAATGTTCTCTCTGAGTGCTTACAACGGCATTCAATCACTGTGCCCAAGGACCTTGCTCCGGGATCCGTGTCCCAGCTCTGGACAACGGAGGTGCAGGAGATCCATGTATTGCGGTCTACGATAATGTCGCTGACAAAGCGCCTGGACAATCTGCTCGAAGGTCCCCACGGCATCCTCCATGAATATGTGTCAGTCAATTGGGAACATGGGGCACTATATGCCCTGCTCGAATGGAAAGTGTTCCCGAGCATTCCCCTGGATGGGACGCCAATCCACGCATCACAGCTCGCTGGTATAACAGGTCTTCCATCAGCAAAATTGCTACGCCTATGCCGCCTTGTTGCCACTGCCGGAATTTTGAACGAGCCTGCTGAAGGTTGTTTTGCTCATACCGCAATCTCGGAGGAGCTAGTCAAGGACGAGGGCTTCAGAAGCTGGGTTGGCTTTCAGCTTTTTGAGACACGTGTTGCAAGTGCACATCTGTCTGACTCGCTGCTGGAAAGCCGAGATTTTTGGGGCGACGATGGAAGTGCGTTCAAACATGCGTGAGTAGAAGCCTGTCCCGAAGACAACTCGACTTAATGGGAATTGACAAGTATCTATCATAGCTGGGGAGTGCCCATGTATGCTTGGCATAAATTGCACCCTGAGAAAGGTGCCAGATTCGCTCAGGCCATGGAGAGCGTATCTCAGTGTAGGTGGAGCAGGTGCCTCTGGTTGCTACTTTTGAACTGATAATTGACATGCAGCACTCGACCCTGGCGATGGGATGATAATCGATCACCTAGCTCGTTTCGCTGCCAGCGAACCCTCAAAGATCAAGCTCATGGTCATCGAAGTGGCCGGCAACGGCGCATTTTGTAGACGAATTGCGAGTTTCTTCCCATTCATACAATTCGAAGTCCAGAACCCCTCCCTTGAGGTCCTGGAGCAGGGAGAAAGCTTGCTCGGCGCGGAGCTCCGCAATTCTGTCCGATTTCGACGGCGGGATACTTTCGCGATGCGTAATACCGAGGAGATTGAGCTGGAGAAGTTAGGCTCTAACGAGTTTGTGCGAACCAGCTTCCTAATACGCAACACGCTGTGGTGCATGAAGGACTCTGAAGTCACCAGGTTGCTACAGACATTTGTTCCTGTCCTCCAATCGGATGCTGGAGCATCGCTCCTGATTTGCGACCTCGTCTCGCCAGCGTGGGCAACATTTGAACCACACTTGGAAAGGATCTATCGCCGGCGAGACGTGACCTTGATGACCATGCACAATGCCAAGCAGCGCACAGCAAAGGAATGGACTGATCTTTTTTTGGGAGCTCATCCTCAATATCAGGTACGTCTTAGACACCAGTTACGCTCACTCGATTGCCCTGCATAAACAGAGTTGCCCTCTGCATTTTTCCGGGCCACCAAGGCTGAATTTTTTCTCATTACAGGTGACATACAGCGAACGATTTTCATCACATAGTGGTCGTGGTCTCTTCCAGATCACATGGAATACTTCTTCAGGGTCACGTCTGCTGCATGAAGGTCTTTATTCATCCGCCATCGCTAAAAACAGGGAATCACCACCACTGAAACTCACACACGCCAAACAGTTGAATGGGGAACCATTTGTGTGTATTAAGCCTCGCAGGGCACGATGTTCGTCAAGTTTCGCAGACGACTTTTCTTGGACAGACTAGGCGTCTTAGTTCATTACATCTTAAGACCACATCTTGCTCACTTCCACGTTCAGAGCTCACTATAGTCAAGCCTTCCCCAGGTTTAGGAGGTAAATAGACAGGTAACCCTTCAGGTCCCTCGGTGGTCAAGAAACGACTTTCCCTTGAGATACGTGGACCTCGAACCACCCCATAGAAAATCTGGTCTTTGTAGGGTCTGCAAAGTTGTGGTGATCCGGGCTGACGATATTCACAAAGTGCGGATCCGTTCGCACACGAAGGTAATCTTCGATGTCTTTGAACACGATCTGAATGACCGCATCACAATCCGAGACGTTTTCAGCCGGTAGTTCGCCCCCATACACTTTCTCCAAATAGGGCTTGTTCACGTCCGAGCTGTTATGTTGCTGTGACAAGGACTCACATCAGTCATCTAAACCTTCCAGCGGGGCCGGAACGGATGTTGTAAAATCTCACCATCGTATAAGAAACGATATCATTCTTGGCCAATAAAGCCTTCAGATGACCAGAGTGGGTTTTGCTGATGTAGGCGTGGTAATCGTCCTCAGACATGTCGGCTCGCTTGTAGCCAAATACAGTGATTGCGAAGAGCTTTCTTGTTTCGGTGATGCTCATTTTGCAGCGCTGAGTTCCCGAGTTGGTGGGCTGTGCGAGGAGTTTTTCGAGCAGTAAACGCAGAAACATGGATCATTATCTAGCCGCCCAAAGCCTTAAGGATCCACCCCGACAGTACTAGTAACCTTAAGACCCACTCCGTATTAAAGCCTAGTGACACCAGCCTTAAAAGATCCGCTCCGATAGTGGGTCTATCCGCGGATGCCTTCCATGTCACAGTCTGAAATTCGAGAAACGTGGTACCAGTGCTTCACAATCATCAATGGTTCACCATGTGGCTCAGACCCACACTAGGCGCTTCAGGCTCAGATTAGGCGTCTGCGACCCACTTTGTCATGCTTGCAGGTCTCTATACATATGTTCCTCTGCCTGGATAAGTATTGGTCAAGGGTATAGAGCGAAGGATTTATCTTACGGATGAAACGTTGGAGGATGGGCCAAAAGAAGATTACCGAAATCGACAAGTCTTTGGTAGATTCTACAACCGACTAACTGTGGTGGAGAGAACAAAGAGAGTCAGCCTCCTTTTCAGGTGTCTTCAGTATAACTTGGTGTCTGCCGGTCCAAATGCTTGTTGAAAGGTCATGAACCTTGTTCTGGTACTCCGTGCACATGCGTCCGCTGTAGAGTAGTAGTTGTCGCTTGTCCAAATGGCGCCCTCTAGTCCTACTTCCCAGAAAGTGCCTGTTGAAACTCATCAACTTTTCCTCTTTGGCGATTTGAGTTTCACACACTTTGAGCAACCGCTCCGACGATTGTTGCATTGCAAGTCTAACGCTGTCTTGTGTTCGTTCTTTGATAGGACGAGTCATTCTATTCGGCAACATCTTGGGACGCTTCCGCTTGAGCAACAGACCCTTTTTCCACGATTCACCACGCTTCTGGACTTGGTGTCCAGGTACGGCGAGACAGAAGGCACACCCATTTTGAAGTTTTTCCTCCTCACCGTTTATCAGATTGCTAGTCTCATCGAGTGAGTCTCAAGCACTACCTGGCGACCCATCATGCTCACCAGCACACTATTACAGGTTGTATACAGTGTCGAAATATTCTCTGCCAGTAACAGACGCCTACACCATTGGCCCTTGTGCCGGCGGCTTTGCGGCTGCTGTCTTTTCATGCTTCCGCAACGTTGATCAACTCGTCGCTTGCGGTAGTGCGTCAACGCTGGCCGCATTCGAGACAGCCCTACTCTCTTATGTTATAGGGAAGAAACTCTCGTTGGAACCCAGAGACAGAAACAACGAAGAATCATGGTCAGCAACAGTGACAGCTGATCGAGAAGTTGACTTAGAGCAAATTCTTCATCAGGATGCGGAATCTAAAGTAAGTCCCCTCTTGCACACAACAGCTAATATGCCGAGTTTGACGACTGACATGATGGGTTAGAAAAGCGAAAGAGGCTCGAGACTATGGGTCAGCTCAATCACTTCTGCACGCTCAGGCACCATGAGTGGTCTGCCTTCCCTGTTACAGGATTTCACTACCGCAAACTCGAGCACATTCAGGTATCGCTACTTAGAGATCCAATCACCATATCACGCCAGTCATCTGTTCTCATCAAACCGGGCCCAAAACATTGTGCAATCGGTTTTAGGAGGTAGCTCTGCATATTTTGCAGCCCTCAGGCCTCAGATACCTTTCGTATCTTGCGCAACTGGTCAGGTGGCCAATGTACCGGACTTTCAGTGTCTCCTTCAGCTCGTTGTTGATGATGCCTTGCGCTCTCCGATCAGATGGGATGCCGCCATATCGTCATACAGCACACTTCTCAAACATATTCTTGTTAAAGAATGTAAAATCGTCAACTTTTCCAGTGGAGCCGCTACCATGATCTCCTCGAGGCTGACTAACGAGCTGGGGATTCAAGTTCAAGTCATTGAGGCCTCAATGCCAACGAAGCACCACCAGCAACCGAGCTTCGGTACAGGACGCTTTGATCAGTCAAAAATTGCCATCGTTGGCTACTCGGGTCGCTTTCCCTCGGCTGCTTCCAACGACGCTTTTTGGGAGTTGTTGAAAGCTGGGCGTGATGTACACCAGGAGATTCCGCCAAGTCGATTCAACTGGGAAACGCACTATGATCCATCAGGCAAGAGAAAGAATACCAGTCGGGTCAAATATGGTTGTTTCATTGACGAGCCTGGTCTTTTTGATGCTCGATTTTTCAAAATGTCGCCCAAGGAAGCTGAGAATACAGACCCGGCCCAACGCCTGGCAATTACAACCGCTTATGAAGCAATGGAAATGGCAGGCATGGTACCTAATCGAACACCAAGCACTCAGAGTGATCGAATTGGAGTCTTTTTCGGTACAACCAGCGACGACTGGAGAGAAGTCAACAGCGGACAGGATGTTGGCACCTACTTTATTCCTGGCGGCAATCGCGCTTTTGTTCCTGGTCGTATCAGCTACTTCTTCGGTTTCTCCGGTCCCAGTATAAGCATTGACACGGCATGTTCCTCAAGCTTTGCAGCAATTCAGACTGCCTGCGGTTACCTATGGAGGGGTGAATGCGATACTACGGTTGCTGGAGGTACGAATGTATTGACCAACCCGGACAATTTTGCTGGCCTGGACCGTGGTCATTTCCTTTCTACAACCGGTATGTCCTCCTTAAAGAACGACCCATCGTTCATTAATGGTTAATCATTTCACTGACAACATATCTAGGGAACTGCGATGCATTCGATGATGGTGCTAACGGCTACTGCCGTTCCGAGGCTGTTGCCACTGTGATTTTGAAACGCCTTGAAGATGCTGTGGCTGATCACGACCCTATATTTGGAGTGATTGCGGGCACCAACACAAACCATTGTGGTCATGCCGACAGCATCACCCGCCCACACGAAGGAGATCAAGCGAGTGTTTTCAACAGCATTATTCGCCATGCAAATATTGACCCGTTGGACGTGAGCTACGTAGAGATGCACGGCACCGGCACTCAAGCGGGCGACGCTACAGAGATGAACTCCGTGTTGTCGGTTTTCGCGAAGGACTATCAGAGACGACAAGGTCCGAGAGATCGTCCTTTGTTCCTGGGCTCAGCCAAAGCTAACATTGGCCACGCCGAGTCAGCTTCGGGTGTATCCTCTCTCATCAAAGTGCTGCTGATGATGAAGCACAATGAGATTCCTCTTCATTGCGGGATCAAGACGAAGATCAACCACAACTACCCACTGGACCTTGCGGAACGGGGAGTTCATATTGCCTCTAGGACTGTCCCATGGTTACGCGGGGACTCAAATTTGAGCAAACGGGTGACGTTCTTAAACAATTTTAGTGCTGCTGGCGGCAATACTGCAATTCTGCTTGAGGATGCGCCAGCTCTCACGTCGAACGCGAACATCTCGGTGGATCAACGGTCGACGCATGTGGTGACAATATCGGGCAAATCTCCCGACTCTCTCCTGAGCAACATGGACGCCATAGCTTCGTTTCTCGAAAACAAGGGCAGCAAAATTTCACTTCCGGCCCTCGCGTATACAACCACAGCACGGCGCATGCACTACAACTACCGTTTTGCAGCGCGAGGATCAGATATTATGTCAATATTCTCGGCCCTCAAGGCTGGTATCCAAGAACTGGGCGCCAAAAGAGGCAGCTTGAAGCCTGTTCCCATCCTGAAGCGACCAAATCCAAGCATCGTTTTCGTGTTTTCAGGCCAGGGAACGCTCTATAGCGAGCTTGCGAAGTCGCTTTTTACAACCAATGTCTCCTTCCAAGCCAGTCTACTTCAACTCAGTACCCTTGCGCAGGCTCAGGGTTTCCCAGATTTCCTTGGAATTATTGACGGGACACTCGACAGCAACGTGGCCGGTGCGGTGGCTACGCAACTAGCGTTGGTGTGCGTACAAATCGCCCTGACAGACCTCTGGAACAGCTGGGGCATTTCTCCCACCGCCGCAATCGGCCATAGCCTAGGAGAATATGCTGCATTCTATGCTGCTGGTATCCTCAGCGCTGCCGACACCATTTACCTCGTCGGGACTCGTGCTCAGCTGCTCGAGAAACATTGCACCCCAGGCACACACTCCATGCTCGCAATCCAAGGCTCACTGGAGGTGGTTTCCCAGCTACTTCAAGACAGCGACAAGAAACGCAACTGCGAGATAGCATGCGTCAACTCACCAAAGGCTCATGTCGTCGCAGGACCCAAGGACTGCATCTCCCGGGTTGCCGCTGCGGCATGTGCATCAGGTATCCAGAACACTATTTTAGACATCCCATTTGCTTTCCACTCGACCCAGATCAAGCCTATCCTCAATGCATTCGAGCAGGCTGCAACGCAGGCCGTCGTCTTCCGCCCCAGCAGAATTCCATACCTCTCACCGCTACAGGCTCGGGCTATTCCTGCGGGAGACGAGTTCACCCTCAATGCCTCATATCTTACAGCGGCATGTCGGGCCAAAGTAGACTTTGTTGGAGCTTTGCGTACGATCATAGCAAGTCCACACTTGAACCTTGGCAGTTTGGAAACCGTTCAGTGGCTTGAAATTGGATCTCATCCGATCTGTTGTGACATGGTGAAGGGTACCTTTGAGCCACAATCAGTTCATACTCATGCAACGCTTCGCCGAGGGGTAGATGCCTACAAAATCATAACAGCGACTGCCCAACAACTTTACCTATCTGGCATCAACATGGAATGGAACGAGTACCATCGGGATTTCGCAGCCTCACAAGAAGTCCTCCAGCTTCCTTCTTATAGGTGGGACTTGAAAAACTATTGGATCCAGTATCGCAACGATTTTTGCCTTACCAAAGGTGACGGCCCGGGACTTCCAGCTTTGGTCCAGAAAAACCATCGACCAGCTAACGCGCCGAAGTACATCTCACCGTGCGCTCAACGCGTGGTCGAAGAGCAACATGGTGCGGATGAGTCCTCGATATTGGTAGAGTCCGACCTCTTCGATGGTCGTCTGCTACCAATCCTCCAGGGACACAGGGTGAATGGGGTGGCTCTTTGTCCCTCTGTAAGTCATTGTCGCCCACAACTATGTGCCACGTTATGATTGCTGACCTCAAAATACAGTCAATGTATGTGGATGTGGCTCTTACAATGGCTGAATATCTTCTGCGTGAATCTCCAGAATCTGACCAACCTCGCGACCCTGGCTTCGAGATTGGCAATACGAAGATTGACAATCCCTTAGTTGCCCACCCTTCAGAGACTTCACATCGCATCGGTATCAAAGCGCTAGCTCGATGGCGTGCTGGTGTTATTCAAATTGCGATTTTCTCTCTAAAAGAAGGGTACGAGCCTTCTAAGATGCATGCCACACTTGAAGTCCAGATTGCGCCCAAACAAGACTGGATCTCCTCTTGGAATCGTACTGCGCACCTCATCAACGCCCGCATCGATAGCCTTCACCACAGTGTCTACGATAGCAAGGGCAACAGCGAATGCAACCGTATGAAGCGGCGACTGGTCTACCGACTCTTCAGTGTGCTAGTCCAATACAATAACGAATACCAAGGCATGTCAGAGGTGATTATCAACAGCGAAAACTTGGAGGCGGCCGCGGAGGTCAATTTTCAAGTTGGAAAGTCCGATTTTCAGCTTGATCCTCGGTGGATCGATAGCTTGGGTCAAGTTGCTGGCTTCATCATGAATGCTAATGACACTCTGGATCTGCGGGACCGGGTTTTCATCAATCATGGCTGGCAACGTATTCGATTTGCAGAACAACTGGATGCGACGAAAACCTATCGCACCTATAACCGGATGCACCTGATAGACAAGGAGACATATGCTGGCGACACGTATATCTTGGATGGTGATCGCATCGTGGCCGTCTATGAAGGTGTGCGGTTCAAGGGAATTCCAAGACAACTCCTCGATCGCATCCTTCCGCCTGCATCAAATCGGGGGTCAAGCACAAGAAATCAGGTCAAGAACAGTGCTCAGCATCCCCCTACTCGTCCTTATCCTATTCCAGCCCTCCTTGACTCGGCCTCGGAAAGAGCGCCAGAAGCCTCGCGCAGCATCCGCACCTCTGTGCCTTCTGCTGGGCCTTTTGAAAAGATGCTCAGCATTATTAGCCAAGAAGTCGGGGTCAATCCAAGAGAGTTAACCGCTACCATGGACTTTGCAGAGCTTGGGGTCGATTCTCTACTATCACTGACGATCATTGCAAAGGCTCGCGATGAACTGGGCCTTGAACTATCGTCTTCGCTCTTCGTCGAGTGCGCAACAGTTCAGGACTTACAATTGTTCCTTAACGGGCCAGAGCAAAGGGATCTGGCATCCACGAGCCAGCCTGATTCTTGCGCGTCCAGTACCTACGGCTCAGACTCGGGACCCTCTTCTTCCTCGACTCCTCTGACGATTCCAACAACCCCCCGAAAGCTTTTTGAGCCATCAGGGTCGCAAGAGAGGCTATCCATACGTCTGCGAGTAGCAGCAGTCTTGCAAAAGATTGTGGCGGAAGAAACTGGCATCCCGGACGTGCAACCTTCGGCGAACCTCGCCGAAATCGGAGTTGATTCTTTACTCGGACTCACGATGAGCAGCCGCCTACAGGAAGAACTTGGGGTGACTGTCACGAGTAGCATATTCCTGGAGCACGAAATACTGCAAAGCCTCGAAAAGGCACTTTGCGATGCCATCGGGTCGAGAGATGCGGAGCACAAAGGGCAGGCCAGCGCAGGAGCCACCGCACAGGCCCACCCAGAGCACACTGACTGTACCAATGCCGCTCTAGCGGCTCGTCCCAGCCTTGAGGACTCCGCTGCAATGAGAGCCGGTGAGCACCTACCATCTCTGTCCTCTCTATCCAGCGCAACCTCCGTCCTTCTGTCAGGATCGCCGCATCAGGCCAAGCAAGCCTTATTTCTGTTTCCGGACGGTTCTGGCTCGGCTTCGTCGTACATCGCTTTCGCTGAGGCCATGAGCTCCAAGGACGTTGCTGTCTACGGTTTAAATTGCCCTTGGCGAAAGACGGCGGCTGAGATGACCCGTCTTGGCATCGACATGGGTGCAATGATCGACAGATATATCGTGGAGGTGGAGCGCCTTGTGCAGGAGCAACCCCACGGGCTGGCGATCAGCGTGGGCGGCTGGTCAGCGGGCGGGATTCTCGCGGCCGAAGCAGCAAGATATCTCATGCAACGAACACGACTCCCTGTCCACGGTCTTGTTCTGCTCGACTCGCCAAACCCGATTGGTCTCCAGAATCCGCCGGCAAGGATGTACGATTTCTTTGACTCGCTCGGCATCTTTGGCCATGGAGGCAAAACGCCAACCTGGCTACGAGCTCATTTCGATGCATTTCTTCGCATCCTCGACAAGTACGAGCCTCGACCACTTCTCCAGCCCCCGAAGACATTGATCGTCTATGCTCGCGACGGTGTCTGCAAGGGCATCGAAGGACCGAGAATGCAGACATTCCCGGATGATCCGAGGGAGATGCTGTGGCTGCTGAATGACCGTGAGGATTTCTCTGCCGAGGGCTGGGCGACGGTGCTGGGGGGCCAGAAGTTACGGGTGGCGGTAATGGACGACGTCAATCATTTCAGTTTGATGGACAAGGGCCCAGGCATGGTTAGGATGGCGTCTGTTGTTTGCAATTTCCTTGGAGTTACCCTCATTTAAAGGGTAGAAGGGCATATATATATATCACTAGTGGCGTACGGGAGGAAGTCTTTGGCGAGAGCGAGTGAGCAGGACCAATATTTTAGACTTGACCACCAAATATGCGACAACAAGCGGCCATATTGGAATCACCAATCGACCTTCGTTCTCAAGCACGACGTCATGCTGGTTAATGAGGCACTGCGCGACCACTGTAGAGGACAAATGACATTCTGTGTGCAAGTAACACTGGGAAGCGGAAGCATAGCCAAAATTACACAGAAAGGGTTCTCTTTAATTTCTTACTACCGTATCGTTTCTGCTCGACGGCAAAGTTTCTCAGATGTTGAAATAATCCCTGAGTTCGTACTTGAGCCCACAGTGGGATATCGCTGTTGCAATTCACGGATAGCTAATTAGAGTGTCAGGGATCTCCCTTAGCAAAATACATTCACCCTCTTCTGAAAACTCGTTCCCATCTGCCATGCGCCAAAGCGCATCATTTCACTAGCTCAACGTTCCAGAGGGAAGGAGAAAGGGGGGGGGGGTCGTCCGTTTCTCATAACTGCTAATTCCATTGTTTTCCGCTCCACAGGCGGCCCGTAGTCCACAGCCAGTAATCTCGGCCCTTGATCAGCCACACGACCCAGCTTGGCACCTGGTAGCCCATCATGGCGCCGACCCCTTTCTTGGTCCCAATCGGCACGAGCTGGGTCTCTCGCGTATCCTCCTTGAAGACGACATCCTGTGCAGTAGCCTGGGACTTGGCGCTCGAGTCCAGGAGAAGGTCGCGCTTGATATTCGCCGCAAGAACGGGTATTTGTGACAAAATGTTGTGGATGGCTGGGCGAGCCGCATTGGAGGCGTCGCCGAGAGCGTAGACAAACGGGCCGGCGTCGTCGACCCGGAGCGTAGTGGCGTTGGTTTTCACCCGGCCATCAGATGCGAGGAGGGGCTGTGGGACGAAAGAGGTGTTGGGCGTGGTGCCAAAGGCTGGAATGTATAGGTCGGCAGTCAACTTCTGATCGGAAGAGAGGCTTATCGTCGCAGCCGACGTGAGTTGGTCGACTGTAAGTCCCACATTGTCCGGGACGACTGACTGGACTTTCACATTGTTGATGACGGTCACGCCGACTTTGGCGAGCCGGTGCTCGGCCTGTTTGCCAATCTTGGGGCGGAGCTGCGGAAGAATGGTATCTTGCGCGTTGATGACTGTAATGGGAACTTTTGGATTTTCGAGCTTCGAGCTGAACCACCCGGCACGACCGTTAAGGTACTCCCCTAGCTCCCCAGCAGTTTCGACACCCGATGGACCTCCACCGCCAATCACGATGCTTTTTGCCTGTGACAATGCTTTGCGGAAGTCAGCCCAGCGGGCTCGAAGCTCGCTGGCATCTCCTGAAAGACCGAGCAATGGCGATTTTGACGTAGCACCAGTCGCGATCACAAGAGCATAGTAGTGGAGAGTTTCGTCGGTCCCTTCATGTCGCCGGATCGATACAACATGCTCCTGGTGGTCTAGCTTGGTTGCTGTGCCGTGAATGAACTTGAAGTTGCTCGTCGGATACTGGTCGAATTGCTTGACGATGTCGACAAACAGCTTCTCTTGGGGAAGTATCCGGTCGGAAATCATGGCTCGCGGGCAGGCTGGGCGACACATAACTTGGGTCGACGGGCTGATGAGAACGACTTCATAACTTGTGTTATCGGGCAGGTCAGGGATGGCATGCTTGAGGAGCTGATGTGCAACTGAGATGCCGCCATAAGAACCTCCGAGGATTATGATCTGTTTCTTCGAGGTATTTTGACTTGATGCCATGGTCGACAATCGCAGGTTGCTGCAAGGCGTAGGGATCTAGGGCCAGTGTTGGAGCCGCGAATACAGCACACAGAACAAGCAGTGTTTTGTCAGGAAATCAGGCAGAACGCTCGGAGACCTGGTGCAATCTGGACGTGAACAATGGACGTCGGGCCACCAGGGCAATGCTTGTGCCACGGAGTTTCGCCGCGCCTCTGGACGGAAGGTTGACCGATCATCCTGGTATCACTTCCATTTCCACCCCCTGAAGCATCAACGGCGCTAGTTACTTTGCAGGTATTCGGTAGACGATCAATCAATATTTTGTTACGGAGTATTGTGTTTTCCGCGGATGGGTCCCGGAAGAATTTCATACATTAGCTTAATCCGCCAGGATCAGGGTAATAGCATGTTTCAATACTGGGTACCAGACATCAGTACGCATCCTCCCGTCGGCCGCTGTTTTGTTTGACTATTCGCCAGATACGTTTCGGAGCTGATTTGAAAAATGACGCCGAGGCCGCGGAACGGAACGAAAAATTTCCGGCTGGGAGCTGAGGTGAGCGGCACTGTCCGAAACGACTTGATACAGCTGTCAGATACAGTACCCTGTACCTGCATTGTAGGAATTCAACGCCCGCAGATAGGGCTCCTCCCAACGTGGACTCTAGCTGGGCGCACGCGCTAGTGCTTATTATCTTCGCTATCAATCACCGCATGGGACTCTGAAAACATTTACTCAGTACGAGGTACTTGTCGCAGTATTATGGATCCGGAACAGGGCTGGCTGACCCTACGAGGTATACCCAGTACTTATAGCCCAATCGGTGCTCATAAGGCCACCAAAACTGGGCCTGCCCCGCCGCAGCCAATCAAGAGTCAACAACGAGATGGATCCTCCTTGCCACAACGAGATCCTTCCTATTTTGCACACAAGGTCCCCTGCAACACGAATGGACATATGGACATGTGGAGGGCTCGCAGAGCTGGCGCGAGGCCACCATAGGGCCTCAGCCCACTGGCTTCCATAACCGTTTTGGATGTTGAATGGGCCTGCACTTTGTCGGTGGCTATGTTCGCTCGCGCCTCGTTAAAGGAGACAGGTTGGTAGTAAACCGATACACTGGGACCCCCTTTGCACCAACGTCTTGCTTCTTCTACAGCTGTTTCCCAAGCACCTCACCCAGCGTACGATTGATCTCACTGCTCCAAGCTTGAGCAGAGTCGAAACGATGAAGGAAGACATGCATGTTATCGTGGTAGGCGCCGGTCAGTTCAGAGTGGAAGAGGGCCCTTGAACCGCAAAAGCGAACTGACGTGTGTTTCCTGGCAGGCATTACGGGGCTTCTCATCTGCCAAGGGCTGAAGAAAGTCAGTGATTCATATCTTGCTCAGGATTCCTTGCTTGACGCAGGGAGTGCTAACAGAGTTTCTTCGTCTCCAGCTGGGTGTACGGTATTCGATTTTCGAAAAGGAAGTGGCCCTCAACTACCGGAGCAATGAATGGACAATGGCGATACATTGGGCTATGCCGATGCTCAAAGAGCTCCTGCCGGCTGAGTTGTATGCCAAAATCCCTGCCGTGTCTTGCAACCCCGCGGCTGGGATACATTCGGGGCTCTATCCCATCATCCACGCCGAGACTGGAGATATGATGATCGGCGTGCCATTTGAGGATGGTCTCCGTGTTCCACGCAGCCGCATGCGAGCTCTCTGTGCAGAGGGCATTGACGTCCAGGTATGTGCCCTTTGTTGATGTAAGGTGAAAGAATACTCTTGGTCGCCTGAGGCGCTTGGTGCCTGTCCCTCCTTCCTTGCCCCTAAGACTCACATTGGACTGGGTCGACTAATGTTTTTATATAGTATGGGAGATCCCTCGTAGATGTGACTTGCAATGGCGGCGACAACGGAGTGACCGCAACCTTTTCTGACGGCTCGATTGTCTGTGCAACCATGATCGTTGGGGCCGATGGATCAAAGTCTCGGCTTCGTGAGATCCTGATGGGCAGCCCCGAAAAAGCTGCCGTGACCAAGTTCCCAATATTCCATACCAACATGACCGTCTGCTATGGCGATGAAGCCAAAGCCAGATATGTGCGACAAAGATTTCCAACCAGCTACTTGGCGCTGAGCCAAAAGTCGTACCACGCATTTCAGTCGAGTATGTGGACGTGACGTGATGGGATTCCCACCCACTCTGTTGGCGACGCTAACTTAATCATTACCACAGTCTCGGGAATGCCAGACGGGCCCGATCACCCAGAGACTTGGACCTTCCATATGGCCATGGCCTGGCTTGGAGAGAACGACAACACCATGACTTACTCGGAACGACTAGCCCTCATCAAATCCAACGCCAAAGACTTCGGTGAACCCGCTCGATCGGCTTTCATGTGGCTGCCTGATGACACTGAGGTACACAAAGCAGATATTAGCTATTGGATCAGTCAGCCCTGGAACAATCATCAGGGTCGTATGACGTTGGCTGGAGACGCGGCACACCCAATGCCTCCTTGTAAGTCCCCCAACGACACACATGTCAGTCTGCCAGTCCGTGCTAATCACTCTTACCATGCCATAGATCGAGGTCAGGGGTTGAACCACTGTATTTGCGACATTTCGCACCTGATGGACCACTTGAAAGATGTGCTCCATGATAGGACAACTCTCAGCAGCGCCGTCGCCGCATACGAAGCGGAAATGATTCCTCGGGGATCGGAAGAGGTCAGTGCCTCGGTGGAGAACGGCTTGATGCTTCATGATTGGAAAAGGGTCCAGGAAAGTCCCGTGTTCAAGCGTGGCTTCAAACCAATGGATGGCCACAGCAAAATCGAGGCAAATTTGGCAGCTGCAAAGGCATAGATGCTGTCACCATCCACAGTCTTGCTACTCTTACACTCGGACGCAAAATGAGATGGTCGAAGCTGAGCGATGAATCTTTTGTTAGGTAGATTCCTTGACCATCGTGTTTTCCGAGAAACTGTGGACTTCTTTGACAAGGAGGAATAGAATATGTTAATCAAACCGTCAAGAGCATGGGCCGTAAGACGAGACTCATCTTGGTAATTGGCTCGACTTTTCCACGTTCCCAAGTTTGCCAGTGCACCGGTCAGTCCGAAGGTCATATGTTGTGTGTGCGCTGGCCTGGAAGAGCTTGATTCACCTGCAGTATCAAATTGTGAATAGTCCAATGCTTTCGTCTTGGGCTTCACCACCTCGACACGCCGTACCACAGTGTCGATGAACTGACACGACGAAGGCCGGGAATTTCTAGAGGCGTGACCCACTTCCGTTCTGTCATGTTCTCGAATGTGAGTAGACTCGTTGCCTTTGATTTTCTTCTGTGCTGACGTCTAACTAGAGGTTAAGCGTATCTACCTTGCTCTGTGTCCATGGATAGCTTCGAGGGAGCTAGAGATGACATGCTAGGCGCCCCACTGTTACGGCTTAAGCTAATAGCTTGTGCGCTGCCTAGCCTTTAGGCCGAAACAGCAAAATACTGCCGAGTGGAAATCCTGATAGGCGTTCACATGAGTTTTAGTAGCTTGCAATGCCTGTCAGGTCGCAAACAGATCGGTAAGGTAAATGAGTCGGTGTCATGGAGTGCCCATGCATTCCTCACGAGACCCCATCTCAATCTCCACCCCGTCATCATCCGTGGGGACGTTATAGGGACGAATGCGTTCAACTCAGACTTTTCCCGACCATTGTGCATGCACTTCAAAGCGTTGACGTGAATCGTTTATTCGAGGCATCGACGCGATGCCCACTCTTCAAGAATGGGTTCTCGGTAGGTAAGGGGTGTAATTGGTCGACAAGGGGAGCTTTTGTATCTATCCACGCTACAATATAGGTGCTCCGACGCACCAAATACCATCGGACAAGAGTCCAAGTCTAGAGCGTATATCTGAATTGCGGATTCTGTAGCATTCGAGCGTCGAGGAATCAGCAATTCAGTCCAACTTCTCCAAGTTCAACATAGAGCAGGGTGGGAGTGATCGAATTTAATTTCACAGAGCGCGAAAAAATAGAGAGAATGGGGGGATAGTGGGAGTGAAATAAGCGGACAACGAGTGGTGCATACCTTCTTGTCTGTCAAATCATCCTCGTAAGCATGCTCAAACGCTTCCATTGTGCCCGCTTTATCCCGCTTCCTATTCTCCCAGACGCAGATGAGGCGATACACGATGGACAAACCGGCAGCCACTGCAGAGGTAATTATGACGGCGATGAAACCTGGTGCGTAGACGGGGGCGTCCCCAGGTTTGAAAAGGAGAGGCCCAACGAAGTTGCCTGGGTTCAGACGTTAGTATATGAGTTTCTCCTTCTCAGGTGTAATGCAATATAGATAACACCGGGGCCACCGCGGGTATGGCTATGAGCCAGAAACGTGAAGAACATACCGAGACAATAGCCCACAAAAATGCCTGAACTCGCCAAGCTCCTCTTCGTATACCCGGCCGTGTTGGCAATCTGCATGCCCATCAACACCGCATACCCGCCCCCGAAACTCGCCAGGATGTACGCTCCAAACAGCAACCCGCCGGTAGAACCCCTAGGCAACAACCAAAGCAAAAGACTGGCCAAGATGGTACCCATCTCGCAAATAGCCACCAAATAGGCTCTCATACCCGGAAACTTGTACGCAATATAAGGCGCCACCCATTCTATTGTCCCAATAATTGCGCCAGCCGGCATGACCAACAGCAACGAGTTCAGAGTGTTGAATCCGAAACTGGCAATGATAATCGGCGTAAAGGTCGATACCGGTCCATTGGCAATCATAATGAGGAATGCCATTGCGAAGACGATCCAAAATTTCACGTCGACCAGCAGTTCCCAGAGTTGTTCCTTCTTGAAATGTGTGTTCCGGACGCCAGCGTTGTTGATCCGCAACCGGGCCACGGCGATATAGCGTTCACGCTCGTTGAAACCCCGGGCACGGATAGGGTCAGGAGGCATGAAAAAGAGGATGACCACGGACCAGATGATGGTGAGAGCTCCAGCGACCAAGTACATATATCGCCAGGGAGAGAGGGAGCCATGGATGTGGCCGAGGCCGTAGTTGATCAGTGGGGAGACGATGGAGACGTAACCAGTGCAGCAATACCAGGCACTTAATTTGAACCAACGTCAGTATCGATCATATACCCGCGACACATATGACAAGGGTTGAACCTACCCCATCCGCAGCGCCTGCTCGTTCTTCTTGTAAAACTGCCCCACGACCAGCATGAACATGGGACTGATTCCGGACTCCAGGAAGCCCAAGAAAAACCGCTGAGCGTAAAGGCTCTGCCAATTATGGCACGCTGCAGTGCACATCAAACATATCCCCCAGACACAGACGATACCAGAGGCGACGCGTTCAATGGGGAAACGCTGTGCCATGACGATGGCCGGGTATGCACCGACGATGAAACCCAGATAGAAGATTGCGGCGGAGAAAGAATAGCGGTTGCCAACTTCGAGATTGAGATCGGTACGGAGACCAAAGAGTGCCTGTAGAACATGAGATTGAGTACGAGAAGATCAAGTCGAACAATATATTGAGTCGTCCCACATACCGCTTGCGAGAGCATAGCCTTGTCATAATACTGCAACCCGTACGTAGCGCAGAGGATGGGAAGCAACCTTCGATCGATTTTCCTCTGAACCTTCTTTTCCTCTTTCTCGTCCCATGTTTCTTCTCCAGTGTAAGCAGCCAGGACTTTCATCGCCTCATCGTTGTGTAGAGTGTCCACTGTTATGGGCTTTTTAAGCTCAGTGACACCGTCACCCGGACTTTTGGGTGCCGCTTCAGCCTGTATGGCTTCTGGTTTCTCCACGTCCGCCATGCCGCCTCAGACAAAGCTAGAGAGACAGTAATGAGTTTGTATCAGATAAAAGGACTTCTGTTTATGAGAGAAACAGGAACAGGAAACTCTCCAGGAGCGCAGATAATGGAAGACTCCCCAGACTTGGGGAAGCCCGACCAGTCCTTTAAAGCCTTCAGTCTGGATACTGTTCGGCAATCCATTTCTTCGGTTATCTGCGTTATTCGCCAAGTATCAATAGCTTCCATGTTCCGAGGATATCTTGATTCAAACAAGAGTCGGTATGCGGGGGGCGTTCCTGGTCCTTGGGGAAATGAAGGGCTGGCAGCGAATGTCAAGAAGCAGCCAAGGCTGGGCTTTATCCATATTTGTTGATCGACAGCTGAGCAATTGGTTGTTTGCGTGTGGGATTCCAATCCGATGACTTCGCTTAGGAGAGACGCAGCTTGGCTTTCCCCACGTTTACCCGTGGCGAGGCATCGCGCGTGGACACGGGGAAAGTGCGGGGAAGCGCTGAGGATGTCGGCTCCGGTAAGATGGCAATGTGAACAGAATTTGCTCGAGGCCTGAAAAGGAACAACAGATAGAGGTATCGAAGAGAGTTCTGCGGTCGTGGGAGACAGACCGGCGATTGGAGAGACAGAAGGTTTGCCCAGAGCAAAAGTACCTCGTATTCGTGTCCTGCCGCCAGTACATATAACCGAGAGGCATGCTTTGCCCAATTGGGCATATAACCTCGGAAAAGTACACAAACTTTCCTGTGGAGACTGTAGACAAGAGGAATAGCGTTGTTTCTGTCCTCGGAGACTTTGCCGGCCTCAACTTACCTTGCTCGTATACGGGTGGCGTTCGGAAGAGTGTGTCCGTTGATCAATGGCCTGGTTACCGAGTAGTCCATATTAGGACAAGCGAGGGAAGGCCAAGGAAACATATGCATTGTCATGAGTCAGTGACACTGCTTCCGTGCGTGATATAGCCAACTGTTCGGCTTCCGATGTCCTCAAGGGGGCCTGAGATTAAAACAGCAGCGATCCACCAGAAAGGCTTTGATGACCAGCAAGAGATTGAAAGATGCACTGGAAAGGAGAGCCACGTTGGCTTCGGGAGTACTGCAGAGCTTGCAACGCAGGATTCAAATTACAGTAGCATTGGAGCAACATCGGCCGGCTTTTTGCAAGCTGCGAGGGGCCGAGGCAACACCCAGCGTGAACGACAGAAGTGCGACCCTTGAAAGGAGGTGATCAATCTTGAATCTAGAACTGAGACCAAAGAGGGAAAGGAAAACAAGGAACATCAATATTTCTAAGGTAGGTTTGTGACTAGTGATTTGCGAAGAAATCTTGAAAAGCATTCCTCCCAAAAAAGGCTTGGCAAGGGTGGTGACGAGGCTGGCACCCCCTGATTGCAACCGCTCAGCTTATTTCCTCCATTAGCGACTCGTCAATCAAACTATCAATCTTGTCTAGTGCTCCGGGAACTTCTTCTTGTCTCCGCTTCTCTGTAAATGCTGTTACTATTGCTTGATTCCCATGTCTCCCCGTCTTCGACCTGGCCATTCTCCCTTCCCGGGCGAATGTGCCGGAGGTCGAGTGTAATTGAAAATCGCAGACAGATATGCCGGCTTATGGATGTATCTCACTGCAGTTGAATGCTCGTCTCGAGGTGCTACTATCCTGGGACTGAAGCCCTGGCTCGTATTTTGGGGGGCCACAGATTTGCGAGACATTTTCGCTTGGTCTCGTTGAACAAACACTTGTCGAAGAAGCGAACGTCAAGTCCGCGCCCGTAGAAACAGCAGAAATAACATCAAGAGATTGTTTTATATAGGCAGAGCCTACGAGTTGTTGATCCTTTTGAGGAGAAATTCCCTCTGTGATCGTGTAAGACATATCACTTTGTATGCTTTCTTGTACCCTGCATCGTATATTAGCCTCGCAGATTCTTGCACAACAGTCACCTCTTCTCGATACGTACCCCTAAAACGATTCAATCGGCCAGTTTGCCTTCTCCAACTGCGCAATCACACCTTTTTACAGCCTCCTGGACAAAGCTATATCCTTCGTCCCCTTTGGAGGGCAATGTACCGTTGGCGCGTGAATATCTCGCGGACCAGAGCTGAGTTGAGCTCAGATGATGTCACAAAAAGTTCCCCCATGAGAATATCCTCGCACTTCGTAACTGGCGATGAAGCTGAATGCTTGAAGCTGCAGTTACTGCAACGCATCTCCGAGGACAATATGCATGGTTTCCTCTTCCAGGAATTGTAAACCTTCTTGAAAACTCACATTGCTGTTTGATAAGATTTCAGCTTCTTCGAGGTCCATTTTCATCCTTTCGAACTTGCTCTGACTATTGCATCGTGATCAATATTTTGAAACATCTCAAAGAGAAGATGCGAATAGGCAAGATGGTGCTCGAACGAGGCTTCGATTTGTGTCGAAACCGCGGTCGAGAATTACATAGCGTATTTATCGAAGTCCGGTGAGAGAATTTAGTATGATATTGGGAAGGCCAACTTGCTCTTTTGCGTACGTGGTCCTATTGCTAGTCCAAAGAGGGAGAGATCCAACTGATGTGCTCAGCACGATTCCTTTTCGCATGACATGATAGTTTAAGCACGCAGAAGAACTCACCTTCCATCCCATACAAAGGAAAACGTCCTTTACCCTCAGAGAAAGATTTGAGTCGGTTCTTTCTACTGGGAGTATGGCTCCAAGGCTCATCGTGCTATGTACCTCGGCAATAAAACAGACAACCTAACTACGTTCAGAGCAATCGGGACAAAGGAATTCGGAAAAAGAAATCGCCTCGATTCCATTCAACGGAATTTGACATGCTACAGCGTTTTCGCGTAATCCTGATGATAGAATCCAATAGTCAGCAGTTGGAGGCAAAGGATTCATTACCGTAAAGAATCCAGTGTCCCAATGGATAAATATTTCTGAACAAAATAGGCCGAAGTCGAGAAGAGCCCGCAACGATTCTCATAGCGCGAATGGAAGGCCAGAGGACACACGAGGAAACAGGTAGTTCCGTCTGACCCTCAGCTCTGCCGATCCAGAGTGCAGAAACCGGGACTATCCTCCTCATTGATCCAAACAACTAACCGATTCGCAATATCACTGGGACGACAACGAGTAGGCCCCTGGATGTTGCTACCAAGGTCTCCATTTGCCTCGAGGTAAGCGAACTGGGCCTGAGTTGTAAAATCGGGTGGCACCATAAAATGCTTGGGCGGGTTGACAGCTTTGCATGGAAATAGCTTCATTCAAGGCAGCGATTAGAGTGACTCCATTGACAGGGGCAGCCGTTCCATCCACGATCATTTGCTAAATGACAGGTTGAGGACATGGTGGAGAAAGTGTGCCGTGGCGAATGCAACTTCCCTTGCTCTAGAAGCTTTGCAAGAGACCGGCGTTGGGAATGGCATTCGAGGTTGTCTTTACCCGAACACATCCATTAGATTCTTGCGTGACAACCGCAAAAATGAACCTCGGATCCAAGAACGTCTAAGCGGCTACAGAGAGGATCGCGGCGTGGACCTAGTCCGTTTCTTCAACGGAATTAGGTGCCACATTATCGGCACAGCCCGCCAATGTAGGCTCTCAAATTGTTGAACTGAGGGTCAATGAAAGCCAAACACTCATTTGTGGTCAGCCCTGTGCCACAGAACCATCGCTCTAGAATTGGCGATACGTCACCCGTTGAATAGTCACTCTGAAACCTTTGTAAATGACCTGCTCGGCAAGCTTTCCATCCGATCTAGAGAGCGCCATTGGCAAGGGAGGAATCTGAATTTTTCGGTCGATCGAAAGTGAACCCCAGGTGACGGTGGGGTTGGCTGGAGAGATTACGAACAACAGGACACGGACTCTTGCAGCGATGCCCTGACTCGTATCGCCATATGCAACAGTCCCAACCAAAACCGGAACCCATGTGGTCGTCTTAACTGGCTGCTGATAGGAGGGTGAGCTAATGGGTGCAGAAGAAGATATGATCGGATATGATACCAGCGAACCTGTCAATCCTGTCGGCCCAGCACCTGCGAGAGATGGGAGTGCCGGTGTCGAATGAGGCGGAACTTCAACAACAGAGGACAAATCCGTAACCGGGAACGTGATGGTGAGAAACGTAATAGGGATTGTCAAGAGGTCTCTTCCGAGAAGCGTCGAGGTTAGAGTCTGCCTATCGCACCGGTCGCTCGAATAATGAACGCGTTGAGCACCTAGGTCATTCCTGGACAGCATACTTGGAGTTTGTCTCAGGCGCAAAGCTGAGGAGTCTGCTTTCGTTATAGTGCTAGGATACTTGAAAAACTCATGCCGAACCGGTAATCTATAGAAAAGATAAGGGAAAAGATACAGTGGGGTGCAAAAAGTTTGAATACACCTAGCTAATAAAACTCCATACTAGGTGTATTCAAACTTTTTCAATGCACCCCACTGTAGCTGAAGAAAGTGAACGGCGACAGCTATGGTGTTGGTAGTAGGTCTCATTCCCGGCGCCGTTTCTTCCCATCGCAACGTGGACAGCATAGCACAAATAAATGGGATTCCGCTCACTTTCAAATGTGCTCGCGTTGGGAGTAATCGAAACATTGTCATTTGATAGGCGCCATATCTGGCCTTTCAGTTTACCTAGCCACAAGAGCTTCGCCCACTCGTGAGTTATGGGCCGTAAGAGCGAATTTGGTGGACGAGACGGACAATGATGTCAATAGCAGCCTCGTGACAGATTGACAGACTTCATAATGTCACAACCTTCTCACCGACGGAGACGGTACATCACCACGCTGCAGCCGTCATCATGTCAGAGCCTGTCATAGCTCAACCACCTAGCTGTCAAAAAAGCTACCGATGCCTCTCTACATAAGCTGAGGATCCGTGTACGAAATATTTGCGGTGAAATGAGTAAACTCATGACCTTGCATACTCTGACCAAGCTCAGGCAACTCCGATCTGGGATATGAGGATAGTTCTGGCTCTAGATATCGTTTTTGATGAAGTATTCAAGTACCTCTACGCTCGACGGCGGCGGATTTGTAAGGTTGCGGCTGTCTCAACACCATTAGTGTGGCGTTGTCCAACGATGTCCGACGGGATTTGGGGATGGGAACCAGCGATCTGTGGTTTGGAAGTACAAGTTATCTGTGTAGAAAGAGAAGATGAATGAAATGAAATGAGCAGCTTGCAAACCCATTTGTAGGCTCGGTCTGCGCGAGATAGAATCGGAATGGCGATGGAAAGAACCCTCTTCTGAAATGATGTCCACGAGGATCTAATCTCTATGTCCCGAGGTATTGTTACACCTGATCAGATAATTCTGCCGATTTCATTGGGCAAACTCGGCGTCGACCTCCTCGTAATAGTCGAAGAAGCCTTTGTATAGTTGGACTCCGAGACCAGGATCGAGTGACCCTGTGGTCGCTCGGATAGAGTGCATTGACAACTGCGGAATGCCACAGTCGATTGCGCGACAACCTAATTTTGAGCTTTAAACACCAAATCGGTTAGCATCTAGCTCTAGACCTGGCTGGAGAGTGTCATACCTAGTCATAGGCCCAATAGTGCCACCGCTTCGAATGTCATTGCGAATTTGAAATACTTGCAAGGTGCTACCACACTTTTCAGCGATCCGGGACATCAGGGCAGTTGAGGCGCTGTCGGTCGTCATGTGCGCATTAGCATCCGCATGGACCACCACTCCAGTATTCAAGCGCGGCGAGTGATTCTCCAGATATGCGTAAAGGAAGTTGGGGTTGACTGCGTGTGACACATCAGAAGAGACAAGGAACGAATTGGCCAGCGTCTGGGTGATGAGGTTGGGACCACTGGAGCCATTCAAGGACTCGCAGATCCTCGAGATGACGCTCGGCATAAAGTTTGACCTTGCGCCTTGTCTTAAGAAGCTCCCAACTTCTTCATCATCGAAGCACCCAACCATTTTGATGATCCCAGGGGAAGCGTCGTCAGAGGAGGACAGAAGCCCTTCAATGGCAGCAAAGCAGCAAAGCTTGTCATCAATCCTGCCTGCGAAGATGAACTCCTTGTCCAAGCCACCAAGCTGGGCGGGCTGGATATCAAAGAGCTCTAGTTCCCAGTTGACGATGGAAGTGTACTCCCCGACACCCAATTCTCCTGCAATAGCTCGCACGAGGCGTTCTGGTTGTCTTGCGACAAAGCTTCCGGCAGGTAGTTCGAGAGAAGGCAGCTCCTTTCCTGAGAGGTCTGAATTGTCAAGTCCGATAATTGGAACCATGTTGGTTTCAAGGTTAAAGGGGCCCTGAGCAGCTGCCCCAAAATGGGGTGCGAGGGTTGGTATCCTCGCAATGGGCCAGTCCAATTTGACAACCTTCTCCTCTATCAGTCCGTCCTTGTTCTTGACAAGAACCTTGCCGCCTATGCCCAGATCTCTATCCCACCAAGTCATGTTCATCGCTCCGCCGTAGGGTGCAACACCAAGTTGCACATACCCGGCTTTTGTCTGCAGCTTTGGAACGGGCTTGACCTTTGCAGTGAGAGCATCGATATGACCGGCGACTATTCCAACACCATTTCCAGGCTTGTACCCTTTCCCAACCGCAAAGGCAATGAATGCACTGCCGTTTCGCTTTGTATAGTATTTCCCGCCTGGCTCAATCTTCCACTGTTTACGTTCCGACAGGTAAACATAGCCCGCCTTGGCTAGCTTGGCTGTGAAATGGTCGACAGCATGGAAGACGGTCGGATTCTGGGTCATAAAGTCCAGATAAGGCTGTGTATATTTTTCAGGGGAGAATTTCTCCTTCTGAGGACTAGGAGGTGTCGAGGACGGTGGGTAGGCGGAGTGCTGGACCATTCGATCATAGCCCCTTGATACATGAAGTGGCATATCTTCATGAATGGATGAGAAGAAGCCAGAAGATGTTTTGCGGACCATGATGAGATGCAGCTTAAGAGCAGGAGGTAGGATGAGACTGAAGCAACTTGTAAATCTATTCCGCTATGAGTTGATTTGTAGAGAGATTTGGGAAAAAACGGCCAAGTTGCTATTAATCGTTCGCAGGAACAGATGGTGGCACGCGAGCGCACGCAGCGCGATCAGCTGCACAGCAACCTTATCGTAGCTCCCCTGCACCGATAAGCCCTCGCCACAGTTGCACTTACCAATATGAGGTACATAGCTGTCGCAGTGAGGCTGCTAAGGGGGGCTAGTGGGCTAAGAGGCTACTAACTGCTAGGCGAAACCCCCAGCCTAGGGCCCCCACCATCGTATTGCCGCCGAAGCTAGTGAGGCCCAGTGAGGCTCACTAATTAGGCTTCCTCCATGTCAAGGTTCGGGGTGCCAACGTGACTACCCGTCACTGCTTCAGTTGAGTTTGCTGGTCCCTGATTGCTCATCTAGGTACACCATTGGAGCCGAATGATCATTTAGCGACGTACCTACGAGGTAGCGAGGGAGGTACAGTACCTACCGAGTACATAAGAAGCGGATCTTTTGGCGCTTGCTCCACCCCCAGATCCTTCAACTACACACATTTCATTTCAACGTCACACTTCACGCCTGGGTACCGGGTATAGCAGACAGGCAGATGAAACCACCACCCACCTGTCCCGTTCTCTTTGCCGCATTCATAATCTGTATCCCTCTGTGACGCTCAACAAGCCTATAGCAGGACAACTGGAGATGGGCCAACATTCTGGCCAAATGTGATGCGAAACCACTTTTACGAACAATGACTCGACCACCGCGAAGCAAAGGATGCAAACAATGCGTCCAGCGCCACATCAAGGTGGGTTTGCGGCCTTCCGTCCCGAGCCTCTGCATAGACTCCTCCGACTCTCAGCTCTACGCAGAGCGGGAAGAGGACGGGACTGATGATCAGAGAGATTCTAGTGCGATGAAAGGTCTCCGATCTGTCAAGAATGCTCCCGACTCGGCTTGCAATGTTCAGGCCCCATTCAAGGAACAATCTTCCTTGACATGGCTGAAAAGATCACGCAAGGCAAAAAAAGGAGAACCAGATTACTAGAGCAGCCTGCCGCCGCCAGAGAAAACAGCAACTCTCCCCAATCCCTCGTGACGATTATGAGTACTCATGGCACCCCAGGCTCGAACCCGTCTCCCATAGAGGAGACCGATCGACCGATCGGGGAAGGCCAACCATGGGTGAACAATGATGAGCCAGACGGTGCCGATTCTTGGAAGTCCGCTACCGAGGAGATTCCTTCTGTCACCTGTAAAACAGCCAAAGACAATACCTGGCCACCCCTCCTGGACTTGGCCCAACCCGAACAGATCTACACGGACCCCCTCTTCGAGCAACACTTCGTTAATCAATTTGTCCGGTCTGTCACTACAGCGCGCTTCGCTACCTATCCAGCTTGCCCGCAATCGTGGCTCTTGGAGTTGCCCAACTTCTTATCGATGGAAGTCGTGCCGTCATTGAAGTATGCCATCAGGGCTGCTGCTCTGGTCTATTTTGCAGTCGCACATCGCCACAAACAGGCCGAAATGGACGCCATGCGCTGGTATTCGGCCGGTCTAGAATGCCACCGTGCTACACTTCAGCAATCTCGCGCCCAAGCTGCGGCCGAAAGTGGATCAGATGGCAAATTCACGAACTTGCTTCCATCCTATTTGGTCATTTGTGTGCCACTGCTGTTTCAATACTTTGAGACGATGAGGGAAGTTACAGCGGATGTACGATCCACGCATTATACCGCGGCCGCTGAAATAATCCGAAGCAGAGGCCCCTTTGACTGTCGCGCTGGGATCGGACATCGAATATTTCGGTCAATGCGGCATTATGAAGTAAGGGTCCTTTATGAATTATGTTCTGTCGTTGTGGTCGATAATTGACACTAGTGGTGTAGGCCTTTCACTCTATCTGGCAGAATCGACCCTCGTGGTTCGATTCATCAGACTGGAGTACTATACCCTTCACTTACCACCCTAAGATATTTCCGGACTTGCTCATTGATATCCTTCTCTCCTTCTCGCGCGAACTGCAGCTTCCCTCTCAGAAACCTGGCGAAACGATACGAGATCGCATTCGAAACCTATCCGCTCTAAGTGCGGACGCTAAGTGCCAAATCAAAAGGGATGTCTTAGTGCTCATGTCCAAGCTACAAGACTGGCAGTGGCATTTCTCACAAGTTAATGGCGTCTTGCCGCAATCCTCCGACAGCCCTATTCCGACCACCACAATGCCGTCTGAAGATGAGTATCCACGAGAAATTGACTCAAATATTACCTCGACCAAAGATCCATACCGCGACACTTTCACCTCATATTGCATCGCAGTGTATAGTGCCGCCATGATCATCCTTCACTCCATCCTCTTGGTCATTGCCGTATCAAATCCCGCTCCTGTGAATTTTGACTCGATATCTCCAACTCCCCGTCACCGGTCCGCGATCACCTCTTATTCAGCTTCCGTTCTCCAGGTCGCAACGTACCAAAGGCTGGTGAACCCCTACTGTGGTGACTCTGTACGCACACTCTCCGCTGTGAAGGTCGTTGCAGCCCTAGCGGTGGAAGACCAACAGCGGCACCGAGCTTGCGAACTCGCCTGCAACTGGCGCTTTGGCACCCCCGAACAAGATTCGTTTTCTCTGTCGAACTTCACTTGAGGCACACTCTTTGTACCCTTTAGCTGTTCGAGCAGTTGGCTATGAGAGGCTCATGCAGAGGTTTGTTGGTTTTGAAACCCGGCGTGATGATTTTTACGAAGTAAAAAATTCCAGAAACGAATGCAACGGGTTAGTATGGTTCATAAGCTAGCTAGGGTAGGCTTAGATTTCGCGGAATAGAACAGCCAGGGGAAATCGTGATGCACGAGCAGTCAGGAATGGCAAACGCTCCCCTAGCATCCCCTTCTTCTGTTCTCCTACTCACTATGCAGATTGAGTTGTGACACACTTGCTATCGAGGTAGAAATTTTCGGTATACATAAAAACAAGAGAGGTTGTTCAACACCGACGGAGGGTCGAGTTAGTCCCAACATCCAGAGAACTGGTTGTGATAAAGGCAGGTATACTGCAGGCTTTGTGAAAACCGCCTTGAATGCGAACCATGGTAACGTGTACAGGATACACGAAACGGAAAAAATTATACTAGCGAGACAGTGCGGGACACTTGAACGGTGACACAGAAGAAGCCTTAAGCAACACCACTGACACTCGTATTAATTAATGGACCAGTAGGAATGGATTGCCAGGAAATTCAAGGTCTAGCTGCGAACGGATAAAACGCGACTTAGTTCCCTCCCGGGTCGAACCCGGATACGAGCAGGTTTTCACAGGAGTTGAGATACCGAGTACATCGTATCCTAGCATGGGAACCGCATTGCGGGCTTGGTCACAACTTACTGCCTACTACTTGATGAGTTGTGTGTTTGAACAATGCACAGGTATGATTCTGTGCTTAGTGTGCACACTTGTTTGGAAACCGACTTAATCGTCCTCTGCAGAACCACATACTTCCACCAGTGGCGCGAGTTGATGTACAGTTTCCCCCAACCACAAGAAAAGCGCCGGGGCAGCTTTAAAAAGTGGGTCGGAATAATTTCCCGAAGCGAATAAGTATTCTAGGAACAAATTAAGTAATAGCCTCGAAAGGTGTGTGGAAAGAAAAGAGTGGGACAAGCACACACTCTCTCTCTGTGTGTGTGTATGTACGGAGTATGTACCTAGGTATACTATTAATGGCAGCGTGACTGAGAGACCATAAACTTGTGGAGAGGAGAGACACTATATACACCTTGTCACCTTTTCTGCTTGGCTATCTTTACTTGGTAACATAATGTAGGAGAAAAAATTACCTATAAGCTCTGCGTCGTCTAACGGCTTACGTCCATGTTACCTCTGTGAAAGTGGTCGACGACATGACAGAAATGGATGTGTGATTGTTCTGTCTTACTCCTCCGCGTGGCGCAAGAACCTCGGTGCCTCGTTTTCACCCCACTCCTCGGCCTGTGACTTCCCGTTCGGATCGTAGTATGGCTTGCCACCGATGACAGCGACGCGACGGCCCTTGCGCTCGGCGGGCCAGTAGTCCCAGATGGCTTGGTGCTGGACGGCGCGGTTGTCCCAAATAGCCACCGAATGGGCCTCCCAGTGAAGTCGAATCTGGAATTCGGGCGACTTCTCAATGTGCTGTGCCAGCATACGCAGGATGTGTTCCGACTCCAATGGAGAGTGGCCGTCAAGGTGGACCGCACAGGGCTCGTTGGTGAACAGCATCTGCCACCCCGTCACCGGGTGCGTCCTGATAACCGGATGGGAGCACGCGGTGTTTCGGCCCTGCTCCAAGTTCCCGCGGTATTTTCTGGTGCCACGGCGAGTGACGGCAGTCTTGCCCTCGAGGAACTTCTTCATGGGCGGGGAGAGTTTGTCATATGCAGCATACATATTGGCGTACAAGGTGTCGCCGCCGCTTGCCGGAACTTTTTCCATGTAGAGGATGGAGTATCCTGGTGGGTAGGGCTCCTCGCACATGTCTGAGTGCCATGCCTCGCCGGGAGCAAACTTGGAGTCCTTGTCAGCGGCGATAGGAAGCAAGGCAGGATGCAGTCCTTTGGAACATGGATGATTCGTTTCCTGAAGGTCTCCAAGACGCTGCGCGAATGCAAGGTGGTCTTCGACGCTAAGTTGCTGGTCACGGAAGACGACGACACCGCGGATGGAAACGAAGGCGGCAAGATCTTCGACCTGATCATTGGTGAGGTCCTTGAGTTGGACATCACGCAGCTCCGTCCCGAGGTTGGGGCTCAAGTCTTTACGCTTGGCTTTGCCAAGGAGACGAGAGAATTTAGGATGCGCATTCAATCCAACGATGCGAGGCTCTCCGACGAGCTCCTTGTAGCCCGCGGCCAATTCAAGAACGGTCGACTGTACGATTATAGACGTAGCGGAGGGTGTCATGGCGTTATCTTCTTGGATCTGTTGGTGATATGGCAAACAGGAGAATGTTGAATATGTATGCTGCTGTCGTGGTTTTCGAGGTGGTTGACTATTCCTGGAGGTCAAGCACAGGAACTCGGGGTCTTTATAGTTTTGGAAAGTTGTCGGCCGCCGTGAAATCTACCCTAATCAGTAGATACCCAGTCGGTGATCTCACTGCCCATCCTGCAGTTGCACGCAGCGGCCGAGGCTGAGAAGTAGGTCTGGTCTCTGCGGACTTAAGGTCTGGATCGTGAAGAGATTAGCCTTGCATGATCCACCTGCGGCTGTTTCGCATGGGCTATGGAGAGGGTCATAGGTATGGTATTTTCGGGATCTTCAGAATTGGTGTCGACCTAGTGACAGTCTCGTGTACAAGTATGACGAAGGATGGAGGAAGATGCGAGGGAGCTGTTACACCGGAGACATTCTTGGTTGCGCGGGAATTTCCTGAAACAGCATAGAATCTGAAATATCTCCACTTTTAGTGGGATCTACTGATACTCGGAAGACACCCAACACCAAGCACCAAGTATCAAGTACCAAGCAGGCTCAGAAACACGAACCTGTATGCGGGGTACATGCATACAGTTTGGCCCTGGCTGCCATATTGTCTAGATATCCAGTGGTCTCGGCTTTTGCCAGCCGGCAATTACAAGTAGGCATCTCCCTATATCCCCGGGCAGTCTCTAAAATCCGTCCAAGCCTTCTACTTCAATATCAAATACTAAGACGCCGCACACAGACTCCATTTGGTGGCATATGCATCCATCTCTTCTGTTGCACTCTCCGACTCATCTATCTCCGACCTGCAAACTGTAGACAGCGTTTTGCAGATTAATCCGGAGGGAACGTCACACAAGACGCCAAGTAGTGGGTATAGCACCTAATTTTCTTGTGGTCTTTACGAATAGGAAGACAAAAAAACGACCAGGTAACTATTTCGGTCGCCTGAGGCTCAGAAACTCCGTCAAGCTAGTGCTGAGAGACGCGAAAACCTTGGCGTGCCCTTAACTCCCCTGTATCTCTGGATTTTCTGCAACATTCTCAAGCTGGCATAGTATTCGAATAGGTCCCCTGAAAGACCACTAGAAGAGCGCAGTACCTATACATCGTTAGAAAGGGTATCCTTCAGAACACAACGGGGGATAATACATTGGAGTCAGATGGAATACGTCTCCGAAATTCTGCGTCAAGAATGTGTACCAAACGCTCCAACACGGAGAAGCCCAAGCAAGAATCTTGGCTCATATCAACCCTGGTCCTCAGGTTGTGCGGTAGATATAAAGAAGGCTTATTGGACCCAGTAAAACACCAAGTGCTGCACATTGTAGAGCCAATTTACCAAGACTGCAACAAACCCTGCATGGAGAGTAGGCTCCCCTGCATAAGAGAAAAAGCCTATGCTGTGGTACGTACCTACCTTGAGGGTATGCTTTACCACCTTCCCGCTGGCCAGCTTAGGGCCTTGGCACCCCGTGCCATAGATAGACGAAAGCCACAGCTGTCTGAGATCGAGAATGGCACGAATTCGCAGAGTCTTGATCCTTACCCCTACACGCCGTTTGCCCACTGACTCATTGTCAGCATAGAATCCCCCCTAACCAAGGAGAGAGGGTGTGGATGGCCAGGAGACCAACTTTGACTCTAGAATTGGGTGAAGATGGCCAAGACGCGAAATACACCGCTCCGGGCGGAAATCTAGTCGAAAGGGAAACGAGATCGTGAAATTCACGTCCTTTCCTGATTATTTCTTGAACTTGATGGTTGTCTACCTGTTGGAGAATATCGAGCCTGAGTCCTAGCGGGCCCCAGGTGCAAGGAGTTATTGTTGTGTCTCGGCAAGAGCCCCGTAGTCTTGAAGCCAAGATGAGAGGTCGGTTATTAAACCCTCGTGCAGCTTTTCTCGTTCCTGTTCATTTGTATTGGTTGCGCGCTCTAGGGACCTATGGAGCTTCAGGAAGCAGGTGTTGTCAAGCCATGTAAACCGACGGCTAACTGGAGGTTTCCACCCAAACTGATGAGATCCAGACTCATGTTGTTGCTTGTGAACTCAGAAGGAGCACTGCTCCAGTTCTTGCTCCGTGGTCTTGTGTTTCAGAAAGGATGGGCTCCTTTAGGGGGTGCAGGAGGTTTTCGGGTACAGATGTATGAAGTTGCGATAAACATCGTATGGCAGAAACCATTCAATCGTATTAGAAGTTCATGTCATAAGTTTGCGACTGGTGTTCTAGCAGGATCACCTTCTACTCACACAAAAGAGCTTGATCAAGTCGTATGGTCACAAGATGACGATGGCTTGTCAAGTTCGCTGCGTGTTGCTCTGAAATGTGCCACGAGCCATAATCGCAAATGGTGGCTGGGTCTAGGTTCTTCAGAAAGATCTGCTGAATATGATCATCTGGTTATCACTTGATCATCATATGCGGAGACTTCGTACTCTGCGCTCGAACAGAATGGCTCATCTCACACGAAGTAGTGGATAAGCTTCGGTACGAACGTGTTAAAATATCAACAAAAGGGAAGGACTTGAGGCCGCCATAAGCCCAGAATGGAAGGTTGTCAGTCGATACTTGCAGAAACAACATGAGTTCGATTTCGCGATCGTCTGCGCCTTCCCCAAAAACTGGTGAAGGTTTCTGCAACTCGCCGAGTTTGGAGTACTAGGTCCGCCATACGTTTCTTGAGATACTAGCTCCGACGCAACTGCTAGTCTGTTTTCAGCTAGTGGTATATAGCCCAGCGTGGAGGGGACTCGATAACACTTTCAATGGACTGGAAGCCAAATTGTGCCGAGTGCGCGAATTTAAGCGTACGCGAAGTAAAAATCGTGGGCAGTGTACAGCGTCGTCGAAACCTTGGATCGTCGCTAACAGTTGTGTAGATTGCAATTCACAACTAGTCCGGGGAGAGATGCTTGCAGGGCTCGGCGGGTGGGAAGCGGGCATGACTTCACTGGCTGGCAATTGCGATGGTGTAGAAAAATTTGTTGAAGACTTAACAAGTCGGTTCACCTTGGGCTTGTTCGATACTCGATAGGCCTGCTCGACATAGCTGGTGAGCCCCCAGAGTCCCAAGGTAAACAGTCGAGATCACTCCTATGCACTGAGCAAGGCCAGTGCCGCCCTGCACATCATCGTCATGCAGTCCCATCCGTAGCACTCCTGCTAGGACGCCCAAAACCGAGATTGCTACTGCAGTCATGACGACACGTGAGATATTGAGGCTTTCGACAAACTGCAGCCCCATCCAAGACAGATCTTATCACATCTAGCCGCAATAAGCTTGTCTTTAAGTTTCCGGTGAATAAGGTTGAAGAGCAGTTTGTCCTGGAGGCACACATGTCGGTTTTTGAAATGATGCAGAAGGACGCTGGGTCCAAGAGGACTGGATTTCCAGTATCGAAGTCTTCCTTGCACGGACGGTAATCGTTATTGGCATCTGGATAATCTGGCACGCTGTCAGCCATGTCCTCAGGGTAATCGTCCTAGATGACTGCCCGGCAAGTACAAAAGAGCCTAATTCGGATCATTCGAGGTTTGAGTGGAGGTTCTCCTGGCATTATTGGCGGCCAATTGCCTGTCGAGTCCACCTCGCACGCAAGCTCTGGGCCTTGTGCTCGAGGGGTAGATTCAGACTTCTCGGCCCGCAACTATTGGAGAAGGGGCAACAGAGGAGGAATTGCCGTTTGGAGATATCCTCCTTAGCGGGAAGCTCTGATAAAAGTGAGAAGGAAGTCTAAGATATTGACGGTGAGGCTGAGAGTGTCAGGTAGAAAAGCCCCAGGCGCACATCGTCAGCGTGACCACAGATTCTCGCTGATCTATTAGCCAGTGTGGGATGTGCTGCTTCGTAAGGCGCATCGCACCGCTTGATGGTTCAATCATGGCGACCCGGCTATCCGCGAATGTGACAGGATGAAGAGGCGAGGAGGGTACGAGGCATGCCGCAAGTGCATCAAATTCTGTGATATGTGATATGTTTCGCCTCCAGGATCCAGCTTCGAACGCAAAGGGCGCGCTTCAGTGAGGTTTGATGGCAAGGCTGGAACACTTCTGACCGCAGCTATCACTCAAGGGAACGGAGGTACTCAGCTAACGTGTATGCGTACCGAGTATTGAGACAGCCGACCTCAACCCCAAACCGCACATTTGTATTCAGATATCAATCCACATCAGGGCGGACAACTGCACGGCATAACCGTAACATCTCAACACTCATGCAATGGCCTTCTATTCCAAGTCGTTTGTTCCAATCCTCGACCCGGTCAGTCTGCATTATGCAACAAACATTGTAATGCTCGCCCTGTCATCAGGCCTGTGCCATGCCATAGAACGCAAACAATTCTCACTGCGGCGCTAAATATCATCAACATCTTCATCATCAGCACCATCTGTCTTGACCTTTCTCACCCCAGGAGTCGAGTCCAAATTCCTCATTTCGTACTCATCTTGCCCGGTGGACATTGCCACCGCATGTCTCGCCGTGGGATTCTCTTCCAAGAACTCTCTAAGCCGTTTCTTGCCTTCCTCGAGAGCTTGTTGGGATGCTGCATTCAACATCTTAATTATCGGGCCCCAGAGATTCAGAGTATATGTGACATAAGCGGCGATGGCGAGGATGATAAGGAACATGAAGTAGAGGGGATTGCGAAGAACTGGCGTACTGTTAGTGATACCCCTGAGTCGAATTTCACGCCACTCACCAGCAACAATCTCGTTCCAACCCAGTGCCAACAAGAGACCATAGAAGTAAAGGGGCACCTGCGTCATACCACCAATCGCACTACGCTTGGCTTCAACATAAACTCCATCAGCAGCCTTTTTGAACCTAACAGTCAAGTCCTGCCGTTTGGCTTCATTGAGGACGGTCGTCTCCTCTTCCAGACTCTTTCCTTCCTCTTCGTCAACTCCTCCAATGGGAGTTAAATCCTCCTCATCAGCTGGAGTCGCTGCTGCAGGAGTTGGTCCGATCCACCGGTCAAGAGGTGGTGGAGCCCCCGTCTCGGAATGCCGGAAGCGAGCAAGGAGAGGTATCAGGGTCAATGTACTTTCTCGAGCGCGGGTGTAAATGCCCTCGATGTCGTCTGTCGGGCGCCAAATCCGCGGAACACCTGCCTCATCATACCTGAATTTGTCCTCGAAGTTCTCTCGAAGTTTCAGCAAGAGATTACCTTCCATCATTTCTTCATCAATCTTAGAACGCAGTACGCCCCAGGATTTCCTTCTGAGTCTCCAGATGCCGACTTCGACTTCCTCGGCGCTAGCGTCAAAGGAAGCGGCTCGGTCAGCGAAGCGCTTCTCAGCATCCTGCACAGTGGCCACAAACAAAGACCAGATACGGTCCCAGATTCCCTTCTCTGACGGTCGATCTCCATGCTCGGGAGCACCGGTTCCACCACGGCCAGATCCAAGCGCGTTGAACTCCAAGCCGACGCTGTCGTTGAGTTTGCTCCTGACCCATCTTTCGACCCTGGTTGCGAGTCGCCGCATTTCGTCCCGTCGTAGTTGGCCAGAAATCTTGTCTAGTTCTTTCTGGTAAAGGGCCATTTCTTGTTTGTAGTTCGACCATGGTAACCCTTCGATCGTGACTTCCTTCCCAACAGATCCAAATTTCTCGAGCGCGATCTTCTTTTGATCTTTTACTATTTCCGCAAAGTCATATGAAGCTCCTTTCTTTTGTCCAGCCTTGACAGCCGCGCTGACGGCATCGGAGAACTGTTCAACGCCTTCTTTGTGCGCGGCCGAAAGTTGCCCAGCGAAGAGCACCTTCAACCTGGTATCAATCTTGCTCTCAAGCTCCGTTCGTTTCCTTTGATAGACACCTTTGTGGTACCTGCTGGCCTCAGTCTCAAAATTCTTGATAGCGTCTGCTCGCGCTCCTTTCATGGCAGCCCCAAGTCCAGAGATGGCTTCCGCTCTACCCATTCTTGCTGCGTCTGCTTGCTGAGTCTCGAATGGCGTGATCGCCTCGTCGAAAGCGACCATGACTTCCCTCATAATCTCATCGCATCTGAATTGGGCTAGAAGTTCTTGCTGAGTCGGGAGATCTAGGTCCTTGTTGTTCACGATCTGGTCCCAGATACCTTCTGCATAATGGGAGAAGCCGTCCGCCGGTATTCGTCGGTGGTATTCTGGAAGGAAGATGCCACCATCAAATTCGCCTAATAATGCATCTCTTCGGCGGTCGCGTTGACCGTCTCTGAACCGTGTTGCCATCTTCGCCACCTCAGCCTTGAATTGATCCGGTTGATATAGCTTGTGTGGCAGAGCAGTAAAAGCAAAATCGAAGTAGTCGTCAATGCTGCTCTTCTCCAACCCGGGGGGCTTTGACAAGCTGGTCCATATCCTCCCCATGTCCTGCATCAGTGTGTTACGCAAATTCTGCAATGGCGTCGTCCCAAGGAAGTCCCGAATGACAAAATATAACAAACTCCGAGAAGTGGACTTTCGGTCCTTGAGGAACAGTTGAAGGTTGACTTCAAAGACCGTCTTCAGCAGTCCCATATTGGCGCCCTGGTATAATCCGACCTGGTGCTCCCAGATATTGACCATGAGAACTTCGCTAGTCGCCAACGCAAATAAAGAACTCTTGCGCTCAAAGTCTTGGTCTTCCCCTCGTTCCCGACCATCGGTACCTTCGACATCCATGACCAGGATATTGTCCGCCATTTCTGTCGTTGCAGATTTGTTCTTTGCCAGCCATATTCCCCTTGTGGTTTGTCGTCTTTCTGACTCGGACATGACGGAGAAATCGGTATCGAAGAGGGCATTTAGAAGTGTGGACTTGCCGGTCGACTGCGAGCCGAAGACGGAGATGAGATGGTAGTTGAATCCGGCATGGGAGACTCCAGTGTAACTGAGATACTTGGCCAGATCAGGGCTGCGACGAGTCAGCAAGATTTCATTGTCCAGGGCCTGAGCCGGGGGGCATACTTGAATTGCTTATCCTCGTCGACGATTTGAACACCATGCTCAAAATTTGCCGTCCCATTCTGGCCTGCAGATGCAAAATGGCCATTAACCGACATCTTTTCGGGGGCAGTATATGCTCGGTTGATTGGGAGAGGTCTATCGCGAGATGTCGAGGAGACTGGGGACTGCGGCGGCGACAGAGTCGAATGCGCCATGACGATGACAGTCCGTGATGGCGGTCGGATGATATATCCCTGCAAAGAAAGCCTTGGTATTTGCTAAGGAGACATGGAAAAGGATAAGTGGTTGACACCACCTGCCAGGGGACTTGCGATGATGGTGTGCGGCCTGGATGCGGTCATGAAACAATTGGCAGATGATGGTGCCGGCCATTGCCACTGGTGCCACTGCCTGGACCATGCCAGGTGGTCATCCAGGTCTCACTACCCAGTAGCCCTGTCCGGCTTACCTGCTGTACAGAGCGATGCTCACCAACTAACAAGTAACAAGTAGAGCCTGTTGAGCCCTGTTAGTACCTAAGACACCTAAAAGATTATCCGTTCCGGACTTTGCAGGGGTCTCAGGACCTACTTCTACTTGTGAGGGTCTCGGAGTGAGCGGTCCACTTCTGCCTGTTTCCCCAACGTCAACGTACTGCAAACTTCAGCCTTGTCCACCGCGTTCCCAAGATCACTCACACCAAACTGTGGCTGCTCGTTCACGAGTAGAGACAGGACAGTGAAGCATCCGGCATGCTTCCCAACCGTGAATCTGCGCCTGGAATTGTAACTCAAAAGGTGTGCTCTCGGAGACCGAACCTGACGTCCTCTTGGGACATTGCTGGTGCCGGCAGGTAGAAGGACACCTACTGCTCTCACACCCATAGGCCTGTCGACGAGTCGGCCATTGCTGATGCTGATGCAGAGTATTAGCCAAAGATATCGGGAACTTTTTGGAAGTTACAGTTGTGCTCTGAAGTGGGCGTCTTCCGTTACGTGGCCGGCGCAAGGCTGAACTCCCTGGCCAGCAAGACTTCCTAACGCGACCAGCTCGACGTGCAGAATTCAACATGATTTCTTGCGCCGAGACAAGCATTTGCCCATGCCGAGAAGAGAAGTCTCACTGTTCAAATAAGTCAGACTCATCAACCGCACCGTCTCGAATTCTTCGTTCACTTCTTACTCAACCAAGTGATACGGACGTGATTAGACACCCTTGACCACCATTTTCTTGTCATCGTTAACTCTAGATATCTCTAGAGAGATAGTCTGGATCTCACTGCCCTCCTTGCCAGGCCCACTTCTTGCAATAATGCCTCCAAACAAGAAAAGGAACCACCGCAACAAAGCCGCAACCCAGGGACAGACACAATCCGCTCAGGCCCCGAAGACCGTCCCTTGTCCTCGCTGCGGCGAAGGGATCATTGTCCCCAAAGCTTGCAAGCACGGCAAGAAACTCATCAACTGTCAAGGGACCGGTTGTACCACAGCCCACATTGACGAACACAACGCGAACTGTCGCCCTGCTGCTCCCTCCAGACCCTCCAATATGCCAGAACGTATGCCAGGAACAAGCTCCGGGACAGCCGCTGGTCTGAGAGAACCTGAGCCAATTCCAGTCAAGTCTTATCTACCAGCCTCCTCCACGCCTGATGCTCCAGTATATGGGCCTTGGGTCACTGGACCACCAAATGGACGCCTTGCCGATCTCCTCAAGACCTTTTCGTCCACTCACACTGTTGCAATGGGACACTTATCGGAACAACTTACAAGACTCAGGGCACATCGCGGCAAGCTTCCAAGATACATTCAGGGGATGCCAATAGATGAGTGGTTTAACAGGCTAGAGGAAGGGAGTACTCTGCAGGTCAACGAATGGACCGAGAAGTTGAGGGATTTGGTTGAGGGCAAGAAGACTGCCGAGGAGATCGGATATGACGACGACGAGGGCGACGATGAGGGTGACGCATGCCCAACACCAGAAGAAGATTGATGACAAAGGCGAATGCCATCAAAGGTGGGATGAACCTCCAACGGGCATGAATATTAGTCTGTGTTTAGGCGATCCACACGATTTCATGGTCACAAAGTGGGCGCTGTCTCAAAGCCTATGCGTCCAGTTCACGCGGGTGCATGGTTAGCGATGTATTCAATCGCTTTGAAGATGGGATGATACTCGTATCAAAAGCACCCTTCTAAATGGTAACCACCTCGAGGGTACCAGGTAGGTTGAAAGGGCAGCACGATCAGCCTGTGCCAGCAATGCGTGAAGCCTTGGCTCGCCGCCGTGGCCATTTGTTACATATGTACAAGGATTTCCATCTGTCGACGCCTTTCTTCCTCCGAGGTGGAAATGCTCCTCTATTTTCCAGGCATGACCAAGAACTCAACCAGCTATTCAACACCCATAGTACTCGGTAGAGAATCTGAATCTCTGATGCGGCACATTTATGGCGTTGCCCGTTCACTGTGGTTGAGCAGCGTCCTTCTTTCTGACCCCAACATCCTTCTCCCACGGCATAACGACTTGCGGGTGATCTGCGAAAAGTTGCTTGTCCCGGAGATGAACTGGCGTTTGGCCTTTTGGCGTGTCGGGAATAGTCTTCTCCAGGCCCTGTGTCACCCGATCAGTCTCACTGTCCATGCTCCATACTGGAGCCCGCCACAAGGCGGCGGGAATCAAGTCACATACAATTTTCTGGAAGACACATCTGTTGAGCACACGTTCCGGCCGTCGACATTGCCATAGTTGGTGGTTATTGTTCTCTAGACAACTCCAGTGTGCTCTAAACTCCTCCAGGCAGTTGTTGTTGATATCGGCCAATCTGCAGCATCCACAGACGGTGTCAGCAATATGTAACTCAAGCAGCTCTTACCCCAATCCACGGTCGACTCCAAATCTTTATTTCATTCACCGGGTTAACACTAACACACTCGCCGCACATCTCGTAACTTTCCTCCCTTCCCGCATGCAATCCAACTCTCCCCGACCGTACGCCTCGGTCTTACACTGCATATAGTCATCGTTGTAAGGTCGACATCTTGCCCCAATGAAGAAAGAGGCGCTCAGTAATGGTGCTGAACTGGCTCCGATCTCCTCTACTTTAGGGATGTGGTCGGGCATAGGCGTAGTGTCAATCAGCACATCAGTGCTGAACCTGGGAGCAAAGTGTTAGTTACACGCGCATTCTGCACACGTCCAGAGCTCGTACCTTGCGTCTCGTTTCGCCATGATTGCAACTCTGAGACCACGAGACAAGCACCGTTTGACTGTCGCAGTAAGAATAGCTCTCAAGTTGAAGTTCAAGCTGCGGAGGCGGAGCTCCAAATGCCAAGACCAGTAGATGCCGCTCTATGATTCACCGTGCTGACACTGTCCCGGAAATTAGATTATCCGAAGTTAGCTTTCTTCAGTTGAAATCGAAGACCCTGTGAGCTCCTAATGCTATGAGTGAGCAGGTAAACGGTTGTGCGATTATCGAAGGCAATGGTCACATTATACTCTGCCTATAGAATATGTCTGTATGAAGCAGTGCGGACCCAATTTTCGAAGTTCCTCTAGGAGTGCCAAGCCGAGTTTGAAAGCAACAGAGCTGATAAGTCTCTGATAAAGCCGAAGTACAAAAGTTGGTCAATATGGGTCGAGAAGTTGTTCTCTTTTGATGGCGGTTGAAGGCCTGTCATTTCAGGAAGTTTGTTCTTATCCGTAAGAATTCAATGGGCACAGACGACACTTTCGAACCTTCAGAGTTCACGGTTGAACCTCCTCGGCCCAATGCTCTGAGATGGACTGACGAGCATGACCCAGAGAACCCGTAAGTCGAGCCAGGCCCCAGCCCCCAACGAATTCTTACACGCGCGGTAGGTTCAATTGGTCAGCTACGAGACGATGGAGAGTGGTAGGTCTGGCTTGCTACGTGTAGGTCATAGCGACCTGCATCGAGGTGTCACGGACTGATAAGTATTTAGAACTTTCATTGTCGGATGGAACGCGACCGCAGTCTCGGGAGCAGCGATAGAGATAGGCGAATATTTTGGTGTTAGTGATCAGAGCTTCCCAAATTCGTTCTGGCCTGTCACCTCATGGACGACTGGTGCTGCTGTAGCGCCCATGATCGTGCTACCGATAATGGAGGATTTTGGCGTCCGTCCAGGATATTTGGTGAGTCGCATCTGCACAAGTCTATGCCTAAACTGATCTTGAGTACTGACAAGGACCGTGGGCTCAGATTTCGTATTTGACATTTTCGATTTTCGTCATTCCGCAAGCTGTGGCTAAGTCTTTCGCGACAATGATCGCCACTCGCTTCTTTGCTGGCTGTTGCGCTGGAATTCTACAGGACGGTACTGATGGTATTGTCGCTGACTTATTCCCCAATCCTGTGAGGCGGAGTCTCCCAATCAGTTGTTACGTGTTTTCCCTGCTTGCTGGAGTTACAATTGGTCCAGTCATCGGTGGTGCTGTCAACGAGCACTTATATTGGAGATGGTAGGCAGTTCTCCGGCTGATGAAAGTGAAACGCTTGCTGACCAGGTCAGGATCTTTTACAGCCAACTGTGCATCTACTTTGGCTCCTTTCCATTTATATTCCTTGCCATGAAAGAAACAAGGGGTCCTGTCATCCTGCGGAAACGAACCAAAATTGCATCTCACCCACAAGCCAATACTTGCGAACCAGAGAAACAACAACATCATACTAACATTGTCCAATTCTTGAAAGACAACATTGTGCGACCTGCCTATCTTCTTGTCACGGAGCCGGTCGTCTTCTTTTTTACCCTCCTGACGGCACTATCCTACGGCATTGTGTTTGTGTCATCGCAGAGTGTCACCCAAGTCTTCATGACGTTGTACGGGTGGCCAGAGCATCAAACCGCCTACGTGCAAGCAGCAATCGTGGTCGGCGAGTTTCTTGGCCTCCTCATATGCTTGTACCAGAACTACCTGTTCGAGAAGGCATTTCGACCTGAAAGCCGCACACCTAGATCTCGACTTCCAGAAGTTCGCCTGTACATGAGCATTCCCGGCTCTTTCATCGGACTTGCCGGCGGGCTCTTTTGGTACGGCTGGACAAGCTACAGCTCATTGCATTGGATCTTGCCGGTTATCGGACTGGCTCTTACTGGCATTGGCAGCATGGTCGTCATGCAGGCTGTCATGATGTATCTCACAGATGCTTATGCGAAGTATGCTGCAAGCGCAAGCGCTGCTGCTTGTGCAGGAGAAAACATCTTTGCCGCTTTCTTGCCTTTGGCTGCTCAGTCAATGTATACCAACCTTGGATTCCAGTGGGCCAGCAGCGTTTTGGCATTTATTGCATTTGCTTTGAGCTTTGCACCTATAGTACTCATTTTCTATGGGGAGACTATCAGGAAATGGAGTCCATTCATGTCTCAAGCAACATATAACTGAGCAGCGAGTAGACAGCTGGATCGCAGGAAGCTGGTTCTCTAGACATAGAGGGCTTGCGGGTTCGGAATCCGGTATCTAGTTTCACTTTTTTTTATGGCATAGAGTCGTTGGAAAACTGCTCTGTTCTTCGGGTTCCTTTGATATATCTGGACCATAGGTGTATGGAGTCCTCGGTATTTCGTACGATGATAGTAGCTATTGTACCCAGTACTCGGTGGCCTTCATTCCGAAATCCAAGATAAGCTTATCGGTGATCTAAAGATCTTAGGCACGAACAAGGGCAAGCCCAGATATTGATTTAACTCAGCCACTCGCTTGAGCACAATGTTGTCCACCTTCACATCGTCGTCGAACCGACGTCTCCATCCTTGACTGTCCATACTCGTACCTGAGCCTGTAGCCACTATTTGAGATAGTATGGAGACTCAGATGTGTGCTGGCGGCCGGCCCCGTCAACGAACTTCCGAAGTCCAAACTCTGAGGGTTGGCGATGCTACTTCGCCAATTCCTAGCACGGGTTGTTGCGTTGACTGTGGCAGCGGCCGGACTGCATGTGATGGCAGGTACTTCTTTCATTTGTGCGCAGTTTGCGATTTCTGACAAGATACACAGATGGCTGCATTCGCAAGCTCGCTGCAATCGAGTGTCGGGCCACCTGCGGAACAGAACGCCAACATCCGCCTACAGTAGGTCTTGATGAATGTCCTGATAAATGCTGCGCGGCAGCTGGGGACAGCATGTCCCTCGACAAGCAAAGCATACAACAATCTACTCTTTGCAGCGGAGAAAATGCCTGTCCAAATCGCGATACCGATACAAAATCGACAGCCGATGTTGAGCCCAGGGAAAGTGACCCTTGCGGTAGCAAGAAAAGTAATGCAGGGTGTAGTAGCCTTGTGCCCAACCGCGCTACTTGCTGTAGCAGCCAGAAGGCTAACACTTCCATAAACACAAAGGACTATAAGAGCTGTGGAAATCCTGATGAGAATGATACCTTTGCTGAGAAAGAGGACACCTGCTGTGCTGAGAAGGATGATGGCAGCTGCTCTGAGAAAAAGGATACCAGCTGCACTGTGAGACACGATACCCGCAACACCCAGGCACCCAATGATGCGTGTGAGTATAACGCCTCATACTGCTATACCGACATTTCCACCAAGGCGAAGAACTCCTCATCGACGGTTTGCGGAGGAAAGCGACAAAAGACGGCGGTTGAAGCCTGCGTTCACCACCTTCAGAAGGCCTTTGATGAATATTCCAGCTATATCGAGAAGGGTCGGTGTATTTGCCGCAGCGTTTTGGATCGCTTGGACACTTGTTGTGGAGAAGTTGTTCCTAAGAAGGCGACTGCCGACGACCAGGTCTCTTCCTTTGGAACATCCACTGCTCTTGCAGCCACTGAAAGTCTTCCCGTTCGCCGTCAAGCATCAGAGGCATGCCGGAAAAGTTGTTGTGATAAAACGACGTCTACCGCCAAGGCTAGCGATTGCGACGACACATTGTCTTGTTCGCAGGACGGGGTCGAGATCCAAAGTTCTTGGCCCAGAAAGTCGATAACCACCAGGACGAAGGAGGTTGATGTCGAAGATGCTGCTGCTCGGGAACATGTCGTCCTCAGTGTTGCCGGAATGACGTGCACAGGCTGTACCAGAAAGGTCTCTAATGTTCTCAAGAATATAGATGCAGTGTCCTCCATCAAAGTCACCTTTGTGACTGCGGTGGTTGAATTCGATCTCAACACTAAAGCCACGAACTTGGACCAACTGATCCCACGCGTTGAGAAGGAGACCGGATTCAAATTTTCGAAAATCACGAGCAACTTGCAAGCTTTAGACTTGAGGATTGATCCTGCTACTGCTTCAATCGGCGAGGAGCTTCGAGCTATGGCTGAATCCATTGAACAACTCGACAAGTGCACTTTTCGCATCAGCTACGATCCTACCACCATTGGCGCAAGAACACTCTTGTCTTCTATCAGGGGAGCAAGTCTTTCCCCGCCACATGATGATGCCAAATTAGCTGAGGGCAGACGCCGTCTTGTCACGATGACTTGGTTCACGGTGCTGTCTGCAGTGTTGACGATTCCAGTTGTTGTTCTGGCATGGGCTCATACACCTGTTCCCTATTCAACGCGATCGGCCATCTCTCTAGTGCTTGCCACGCTTGTTCAAGCTCTCGCGATTCCTGAATTCTACACAGGCGCAATCAAATCGCTCATCTACAGCCGAGTGCTGGAAATGGATATGCTGATCGTTATCAGCATCACAGCTGCCTATGTCTATTCAGTGGTGGCATTCTCCCTGACACACGCCGGATTCAGCTTGGAGGTTGGTGAATTTTTCGAAACCAGTTCTCTGCTTATCACGCTGGTCTTTCTTGGAAGGTTGGTGGCCGCCATCGCGAAGGTCAAAGCAGTCTCTGCCGTTTCCTTGCGTTCACTCCAGGCGGAGAAGGCCTTTCTTGTTGAATCTTCTGGGGGCACGACTGAGATTGACTCAAGGCTGTTGCAATTTGGCGACGTTTTTGTCATACCTGCCCACAGTCGTGTCGTGACGGATGGTTATGTCATTCATGGGCAAAGCTCCGTTGATGAGTCCATGATTACTGGTGAGAGTGTGCCGGTACCAAAAGCAAGCGGTGACATGGTCATCGCAGGTACTGTCAACGGGCCCAGTTCGCTTACCATCCGCCTAACGCGTCTTCCCGGCAAGAACAGCATTACAGATATCGTCAGCTTGGTTGAAAACGCCCTGGCAAGCAAACCACATGTCCAGGACCTAGCTGACAAAGTGGCTAGCTATTTTATTCCAGTCGTCATTACCATCGCTCTTGTCACTTTCGCCATTTGGATGGCAATAGCCGTGAAGGTTCGTGGCCAAGATATAGGTGGAGCTCTCGGCCTCGGAATCACTTACGGCATCGCCGTAATGGCAATATCGTGTCCTTGTGCTTTGGGGCTTGCAGTTCCAATGGTTCTGGTCATTGCCGGTGGCGTTGCTGCGAAAAGTGGAGTCATTATCAAGCAAGCCGAAGCCATCGAAAAAAGCTACAAAGTCACCGATGTTGTTTTCGATAAAACAGGTACGCTTACCGAGGGAGACTTGACTGTCGTCCACGAGCAGGTGTTTCCTCATCTGAATGTAGTTGAGAATGAAGTGTTCGCACTCACCAAAGCCCTAACCAAGGATAATCAGCATCCAGTGTCTCTGGCAGTCGCCAACCGCATACAGGCGAAAGTTGCTACCTTGGACGACCTAAAACACACCGAGTCAATTCCTGGTTCAGGGATACGTGCTACGTGGAAAAACTCAGTGGTAAAAGCTGGCAATCCTTACTGGTTGAGGGTTGAAGACCAGCCAGAAATCGCAGCACTCATCAACAACGGAATGACCCTTCTTTGTGTGACGCTTGACAACGACCTCCTGGCTGCATTTGGGCTGAAGAGTAATCTCCGAGACGAAGCTACATCGGTCATCGCAAATCTTCACCGCCATAATATCGTATGCCATATTGTGAGCGGCGATAGTCCCAGGGTTGTTGAGGAGGTTGCGGGTACTGTTGGTATCTCGGTACTGAACACGGCAGCACGCCGTTCTCCTGCCGAAAAACAGGAATATGTCAACGCGCTGATGTCCTCTGGCAGAGTTGTGCTCTTCTGTGGCGATGGAACCAATGATGCTGTTGCTGTTGCGCAGGCCGACGTGGGTGTCCAGATTGGCACTGCATCGGATGTCACAAGAGCCACAGCCGACGTGGTATTATTGAATGGTTTGGATGGAGTGATTGCTTTACTCGGCATCTCTCAACGATGCTTTCACAGGATCGTCTTCAACTTTTTCTGGTCCGCGGTCTACAACATTTTCGCAATCTTACTCGCAGGAGGGGCGTTTGTCCACGTGCGTATCCCACCGGCATACGCTGGGCTTGGGGAAGTCGTGAGCGTCTTTCCCGTCATTGCTGCTGCGTTGACCTTGTTGAGAGGAAGGTAAGTGGTGGTGTCCATGAGATCGATTCACTTCCATGTGCAGAACTTTGCACATGGCCGCGTCGCAGCTTGAGAAGCCAACTGACAGGGTCTCATGATTGACGATCGGTCGATCTCTTGGAGTGTCGCCGTCCAGGACGGAGGAGAAAGAAATCTGGAAGCAAGTTGATTCGATGATAGAAGAGTATATTGAGCTTCGTGGAGCCACGGACAAAGTGTAGCAAATTATACATCTCCAAGAACCAGGATGCTGGTTTCCAAAGCGACATGTCGTAGAGAGAGTGCGCATCAACGGAAAGCCGCCGGTCTCACTCCGCCGATCATTTGTCCTTGCCAGTCTCAACTCTCTCTTGCCTCGATGCCAACCGACAGTGACAACAACCTCAGCTCACATTGAGCTAAAAAAAAAAGTCGTCAATTCTGTCTGTCAGATCCCAGGCCTCACTATTCAGCGATCTCATCATCCCGTTGCACTGAAATCACAGCCGATGGCTTCTTCCTCAGCCTCTCAATCTCTGCTCCGCGGCCCCGCAGTCCTCATAATCTGGGGCCAGGTACAGACCAACAGCCCGAGATCGGAACGTCACATGAACGAGTGGTGGACAAACGAGCACTTGCCAGAACGACTCGCACTGCCCGGCTTTCACCGCACGCGGCGGTACTATCATAGCTCTGCCGTGGAGGACGAGTCCAGATTAGAGGCCTCGCGCGAGGAAGGTGGCGCTAGAGATGAGAGCTCGCACTACCTGGTGACATACGAGGTGTCGTCGCTGGACGCGCTCACCTCGCCGGAATACATGCATGCGCTCAACAACCCGACTCCGGGGACGCAGAAGTACATGCGCCTCATGCGGGACATGCAGCGCTCGGCCTGCCGCGTGTTGGTCTCCATGTCGCAACAGGAATTTGCAGGGTGCAAGGGCGGCGGCGTCGGGGGCACGTTGCGGCACGCCGTCTTCCAGGCCCCTTCAACCCCCGAGATGCGCACAAAGCTGAAAGACTGGCTGCGCCGTGATGGCTGGACATTCCTCCAGACGACGTATCCCAGCCTGCTGGCCATGCATCTGCTCGAACATGACGAAAAGGCCAGCCGCTCCGGCAGTTCCACCAAATCCTATGACGGAGTCAACTTCCAGAATTCCAACGGGGCCAGCGGTGCCGACAACAACAGCACGCGGTGGATGCTGTTGTTCGAGTTCACAGAGCCCCTGGGCGCCCCGTTTGCGTATTACCACGACGAATGCCCCGACTTCGATCAAGGCCTGGTGAACCACGACGTCGATGTGGCCGAGGTGCAGAAACAAGAGTACGGGCTCCTCGTTGTGATGGAGGAGTAAAGAAAGTCGGCAATATCGCTTTTTGAAGAATGCCAGGGGCCTGTCCGCTTAGCGGACCATATAAATCACCATTTGCGGCATCATTATGTCTACCGCTTCGATCAGTACGTTCTTAACCAGTCTGATGCTTTATACTATTTGCCAAGCCACTCGCTACCGCGTGTACGGACCACGAGATCCTTCCCAAGATTACCTCTTCTCCCAAACTTCCAGCTAGCCTAGACTCATTGAGGCTGTATCAAGCTTGAAATTCCCGATCCCATTGAGGTAATCCAGATCTGCAAGATCCCAGGATCAGCCCACTCCCGGTGTCTAACAGAGAAGCAACTACAGCTTACCGCCTTCTCATAATATCATTCTGCGTCTTGTTGATCATTCCCATCAACTTGCTCGTGACCTCGTGTGATCTCAACCCGAGCTTTTCGTTCCTCTTTGAAATGGATGGGGGCATCTTCGGTGAAGAGAGCGTCGAAGCCGTTATCCGTCAAAGCGCGAGGGTAGCTGCTAGACGCCCCCATGATGATGAGATCTGTGGCATTGACGACCCGGACGCGCAGGTCGGGCATCTTCGAACGAAGCAGGTCCGCTGCAGCGGTGACTTTGAAGGTCCATTCGGCGCCATTGCCAACCAGTACTACATCGGGGTTCAGCTCGGCCTCTGTGGATGCAAATTTCCAAATGGTCGATTTACTTGTAGCCATGCTAGGCCGATTTCGTAGGGCTCGTCTCGAACTCACCGGGGCCTACGATGAAACAGACAATCAAATCTGGGATATCCATCACCGCACCAAAACTCACGCTGAGAGCGTATCCAAGTTCTCCACCTTCGTGGATCGCCCCAGGTGTTTCAGCATTGATATGACTTGGGAATCCGCCGCCTGTCGTGCTAAATTTGGAGACGAGGTTGTACAGGCCTTGGGTGTCTTGCGAACAATGCGGGGGAACCTGGCCAACGAGCCTTCGAGCCAACAGCTTAGCCAGGATAGACGGCGCACCATGACGTGGCCCGACTACATATAATATTCATATATGGGTCTTGATGAGGAGATTAGGATGGGAGTACACCAAGGTGAGACCCGGACAGGTTCCTGAGTGACCCAGCAGTCTGGGCTTGATGTATCCGAATTCGAGACTCCGCTGGAGGAGAACATCACCCTGAGGAAAGATCATGGCGGCAGCAATAGTGTTGGCTTTGGACGATCGCTCACTTTACCAGGCTTGTTGACAGGCCTCTGGGGGTATAAAATGCGCCTGTACTCGCGGCTGAATGAAAACGGAAACGGGTTACCAAGTAGTTCATGAAGCGTATTTGGGTAATTCCTGCACAGTCAGCCAGCTGTGAGAAGAAGGTTCACGACAAAGGCAACAGGAGATGGAATGGGCCTCGATTCAGCAGTTGAAACCTGCCTCTTGTCTCATCATCACCTCAGCGGGCGGAACAAACGGCTGTTCACGCCAGCGTGATGCCAATTGTTGCGAATGTTGACGGAAGGTTTCATCCGACAGATTTGATTGATCGAGATCATGCGGATTCCCGAGATGCCCATGGAGGGTTACAGGTGCAACAGATGGTGCCGTGCGAATCTGACTGACACCCGGATCTGCGCATCTGCCCAGTGAAAGGCGAGCGAAACGCGCCAAAACCATGTGGTGTGATCTCATGCAACACTTGTTAGTACCCAGTACCTCGTACCGAGTCCCTTGCGAGTCCTCAATGCTCATGTCGTCTGCGGAATAACTCAAAACAAGCCATGTCAACACCCCGTCTCGTCCAAACTGCATCGAGATCCTCTGAGCTGCTTCAAGCCATGGCCAACGTGATTCTCTCCATCAACGCCGGGAGCTCTTCACTGAAGACAACATTGTTTGTGGAGGAAGCCACCGAGGGCAAGGCCAGAGGGCTTCGGCGCCTGGGCAGCGCGGAAATATCTTCCATCAATGCCCCTCCAGCCCGCCTAAAATATCTTCGTGGGCCCTACAAAGACACCCGCGAGCTCGGCGACATCAATGACCACAAACACGCCTTTGAGCATATCCTGAACGCCTTCCTGGCAGACACCGAGATCCCAGAGGTCTCCAGCAAGGATGACATCGACTACACGGCCCATCGAGTGGTGCAGGGGGGGAGCTTTGAAGAGAAGTGCGCAAAGACACCTGCGACAGGCGTTGGGCCGTGGCTAACTGTGAATCAGCCAGTTCATCACCAAGAAAACATTTGATAAGATCAACAAGCTGTCGGATCTTGCGCCCTTGTACGTACTCGATCACTTCGGGGCCCTGGCCTCGCGGAATGCTGATCGTCATCTAGGCACAATGCCTCCGCTGTCAGTCTCATGATCGCCTGCCATGAACATCTACCCAATGTCATCAATGTCGCATGCTTCGACTCCTGTTTCCACCAAACGATGCCTGACTACGTCAAGAGTTATGCCATCGACCAGAAGATTGCAAAAGAGAAGGGTCTGCGCAAATACGGGTTTCACGGTCTAAGCTACCAATACATCACAAGAGCCACGGCCAAGTTCCTGGGAAAGCCAGAGTCCGAGACGAATATCATTGCCCTTCACCTCGGCAGCGGTGCATCCATGTGCGCAATACAGAATGGACGGTCAATAGACACCACGATGGGCTTGACCCCCGTCTCAGGGTTACCGGGCGGTTCCCGGAGCGGAGATATCGACCCAAGCCTGGTCTTTCATTACACTTCGGACGCCAGTGCGTTGAGCCCCAACAGCACCAAGGATCTCCATATCTCCACCGCAGAAGAAATTCTGAATAAACAGTCCGGTTGGAAGGCGTTGACCGGGACGTCAGACTTTTCGAAGATTGCCGATCCGAACGCTCCGGACTCCTACAAGCTCGCGTTCAACATCTTCGTTGACCGAGTCGTTGGGTACGTTGGCAACTACTTTGTCAAGTTGGGCGGCAAAATCGATGCTTTGGTCTTTGCCGGTGGCATTGGCGAAAAGAGCCCATACGTGCGACAGGTGGTGATTGATAAAGTGTCGTGCCTCGGGTTCACGATTGATGACGACAAAAACAAGCAGGGCGCGGACGGAAATGACGTGGTGGATATCGGCACAAGCGACACGAAGCGCACGTTGGTCTGTGAGACAGACGAGGATGTAAGGTTTTCCAAATCATTTGATTGCAAAGGCCCGTGCTAACAGCATGACAGCATGAAATGGCGCACTCGGTCCTAGGAATGCTCTACAAGAAATAAAACGCCACCCGCTTAGACGACCTGACGACGAATCACGCACGACCATAGACTTTAATTTAATATACAGCTAGATCCGGCCATTGCAACCCGCCAGCCTCGAGCCTTTGGTTTTTGCGCGCCATGCTGCTCCTTCGGTTCTCTCATGCCGGTCTTTTGTCATTATTCACTTCGCCTACCCTTTCTTCGTACCAAGATGGAGCGACCCAAGGTGTTGATTGGTTCCGGAGCCCGAGTCTTGAATCCATTTTAGGTACGGATGGTATGCACCAGCCCGATTTGTCATTTATTTGCCTTTCCGGCATCCCGCCTATTCTCTTGGCTGTTGAGTGAGTAATCAGCTTGTACGGAGTATCTGCGCCCAGGAGTTTGCTGCAGCACCTTTGCGATTGGTGACGCTTTGCCGAACTGAGGCACCCCAATGTCAATCCACTATGGCTGGTGGGCTAATTTGCAGGTCAACTTCTAAGCTTCCCTAATGCAGGTTCTGGTACCCCAGACGTCACCAATGGTGCTTGAAGCAGGAACCACTACTGCCCCGTTGAGTCGTGTTCTCTGGCGTCACGCATACCGATATTCAGCTGGAAGCGCAGAAGGCTGGCGACGAAGGATCTGTGCACGGCAGAATGGCGCAGCCCTCTCTCGAATGCAATGCCTACTTCAAAAAATATTTAAATCCAGCAGTTATCCCATCTAGGTGAGTGAAGGGCATTGTGCATTGGGTTCCCGCCGAGTTCTCAAATACAAGCCTCACGATATCACGCGACCATGCATTTCTCCACATCTGTTTGGTTGTCACTCCTCCTTCCAGCACTTGAAGCCACCGCTCAAGCTGTCCCCAAGCAGAATTATACATGTACGAACTTCATGGTGAAAGTGCCAGTGAACAACGTCACGGTGGTTGTCCCGCCTATCCCCGAACTCCCGGATCAATATGCTGCCACGGCATTTGCAAACCAAATCACGCTTCGGACGCCCTCTGCTCCGGATGTGAATCTAACCACACTGACAAAGACATTCAACATCAGTGCAGAGTACTGTACTCCGGCCAAGTCAGGCCCCAAAGCCTCAACTTTGCACATTCTCACGCACGGGCTTGGTTTTAACAGAAGCTACTGGGATTTCTATCTTCCCGGAAAGCCCAATGATGCCCGGTATTCCTACATCAACAGCGCCATCAGTGCCGGATACAGCACACTTTCTTGGAATCGTCTGGGCATCGAGCCCTCCACCATTGCAGACCCATACACGGAGATCCAAGGCCCTGTCGAGATTGCATTGCTCGTCGGCCTCACAACCCTCGCACGAGCAGGAAATATCTCGCAAGTCCCCGTACCGCAGAAAGTCATCCACGTCGGCCACAGCTTTGGCAGCGAATTGAGCGTGTCGCTCGCGTCGGTCGCCCCCGACATCACTGACGGTGTGGTGCTGACAGGCTACTCTGCCATCAGCAATTATAGCACCTTCTTCGTCGCTAACTCGGCACTACACTTTGCAAATGTCAACCAACCTAAACGCTTCCCGCCAAGAACCTACTCCTCCGGCTTCCTTACATGGCCAGACAAATACGGCAATCAGTATTCCTTCTTTGCGTATCCATACTTTGATCCGGCTGTACTCGATCGCGCTGAGGCAACCAAATATCCATTCACGTTTGGCGAATTTCTCACAATGTCCGCCTTGCCCCTCGACGCGCCAAACTTCGAGGGTCCTGTGCTATATCTCGCCTCTCAAGAGGATCTGATCTTCTGCGCTTCAAATTGTACAGGGCTTTTCGGACCAGACAGTGCTGCGGTACAGTCGTTCAATTCGAGCAGTAGCGTCGAGACCTATCTTCAACCAAATGCGGGCCATGGGCTTAATTTGCATTTTAATGCCACGGGAGCGTATAAGGTAATTCTCGACTGGGCTGATAGACACGGATTCTGAGGTGGCATCGAAGAAATTATCGGCGGAAAGCCAATATTTGTATAAGCCGCCATTCTAAAACCTATATTACTGAAAGGTGGCGACTACAGACAAGACGAGTATCACATCGTGGCAGGGGGATGGCTAGTAGTTACTCTCAACTGGCTTGCAAAACCTGACACGGTGGACAAAATAGCATGAGCTCATATAATTGGGACGAGAAACTCTGCATGTTATACTGCGCAAACCAACAAATATGTTGCACTGTAAAATAAATACAAAAAAAGAAGAGGGAAAAAAGGCTTTTTGATTTCACTTGTGTTTTTATTCCCTGCCCTCCAAAGTCGACATGGCGTTCCGGCGTAACTGGCTGGAGGCAGCTTTCAGTCGGTACGTTTTTCAGATCTATCTCATGTTTCCCTTACCTGAAACCCTATTTTGCGATGTGTAGCACCTTTGAACACCTTAGCGAGGGAAACTGCCACCATTACTCCCTTGAGACTCGTAACTCGTTATTCGCTACTCCCAACTCACCAGCAAGTGGTTTTCGCGTGTCTGGCGTATTCCCACATTGCATACAACGTGGCGGCTGAGTAAGCTGCCCAGCTCCTCCGGCAGTTCTTGGGCAAGGACCTCTGACGAGCTTGATGTCGCAGCGCCTCCTCCGGTGGGTGAATGGTATCCTTCTTCTTCATCGTCGTGGAGAGACCACCACCATTGGCTGCCACTCAACATCCCGTCCTCGTCGTCGAATTCCTCCTCGGACTGCTGCGTGATGACACCGGCGGCGCTGGAACTGTCAATGTCCTCGACGGTCATGCGTGCGATCCAGCCCCATTTCCGCCAGAACCAGCGCCTCACTTCCCAGCTCCGCTTGTTCCACGCCACGCCGTCCCGCATGCTCCTCCCGTAGTACGCGTTGGCGCGCTCCCGGCCCCAGCAAACCATGCCGTCGTGTATCAGGTCGAGGAAGAGACTCATGTGGTCGAGTTTCCTGACGCTCGAGAGATAGATGGCCATGCTCCGAAAGTGGGGGAACGGAATGCAGTCCAAGTATGACGGATGGGGGAGGATGAGTTGATGGGCCGTGGGTCGGAGGTCGATGGGGATGGTATGGATGTTTGCATTGGAAGTTGTCGAAAACGGAGAAGGGTGGTCGTTGACGTAGGACACGATTGAAATACCCAGGCTTTGCGCAATCGACATGGTCGCCGCGAAACAGGATTCCCCAACAAGCTGGAGATTGTTCACATAGGGGGATGGGAGGGACGGCCGCGTTCGTGATATGCTGCGTGATGCTGATGAGTGGGAGTGCAGGGTGGGCGGAGGGGAGCGCTGGTACGGCGAGATCTGTCTCACGGGGGAGATCGCGGGAGATAGCCTGTCCAGAGGGCTCCCCAAGGGAGTAACGCCTGGTGGAAGCGAGTATGTCTTCGAATCGAGGTCGTCGGGGACGGGCCACGAGTGTCGCATATCAATCGCGTCCGGTATTGGCGGAACATAGTAATAGACCGCAACTTTCAATGGAAGGACTGGCTCTGGTAGCGCGGTCGGCTCGCTTGTAGCATTGTCGGGGCTAGTGTCGGTCAATATCTCGTCAAGAGGCGGCTCGAGAAAGGCAGTGGCAGATGTGCCTTCACCAGACCCCAGCGGTTCCGTCGACGTTCGCTGCGCATGTTCTCTCTCCCGCCTCGACAATTCTTGCGCGACTCTAGCCTTGATCTCCTCATCTCGACGTTGCTTCTGCTTTTCTCGCCAGACACGCTGCGACCGTCGATTCTGCTCTCTTCTAGCCTCGGTGAGCTTTCGCTTGTATCTCTCTGGGAGCTTCGATTCGGAGCCAGGAGCCGCGGAGGTGGAAGTCGACATGTTCTGGTCTTACATCACTTTTACCCGTCTCTTAGATGTTGATGACATGAGATCGCAAGAATATAAGACCTGCAAAGTTCGGCAGCGTATGTTGAACCCACCAACCAGTTCAAGTCGTGTCAGCCCCCGCATGACAAAGCGGCCCTGAATTATACAAGCCCACCTACAAAGTAGTTACTAAGAAGGACGGGACAGTTGCGCACGAATGGCAATGGAGAGATGTCCAGGGAGGACCGCGCTAAGAGGCGACAGAGGGGTTACGCCGCTTTGTCATCGAGGCTTTAGCGAAACAGTGGGTGCGTGGCCGTGCTATTAGCGGGCAATAGCGGGCTAGGGGGCCGAGGCCAAATTAGCATGCCTTGCCTGCAGGGCTGCCATCTTCTTTTGAGAGGTCGCACTGATGAATCCTCGGACTAATCCAAAACAATCTCGATGAGGCGGTCGCCCTTGTGATAGAGACTGAAAGTCACCTGGCCAATTGGAAATCGCCGCGCGTGTCGAAATTACTCTACGCCGGATAGTCCATTTAACAAGTACAAAAGGAGGTCAACAATGATATATCCCAAAAGCGAACGCTCTGGTGCTCGACAGTACCCTTTCCTTCCTCTGCACAGATTTGCACTCTTCAATTTCGGAGTCTTGGTCCTTTCAAGAGTGCTTTGATAGTCCCGCCCTCGACAAAAGGTGGGATTAGGTTTTGTTTCGAGCCACGGGTGTAACAGCCGACAAGAGAGAATATGTTGGGATGCTTTCAGCCGTTGAAGGATAGAAAAATATACGGGCTTCCTCTTCGAATGTAGTGTCATGCAGTCTAGTTCCTTTCTGACGAACTGTTTATGGTCACGGTTAATTTTCTGTCGCTGTGAGCAGATCTGACACCTCGCCTCAGCTTGGCTATTAATATCCGGGGCTTGATAGGAAGCATGGATCTTAACTTTTCACACTGACCTAACACCTCTGCTGGCAAGAAGGGTTGCTGAAAGGGACGGAAAGACAGCCCCTTCTTCAAAGTCCATTTACGGCACGGAGGTACTGTCATATACGTCCGTTCTAGTATCTTTTTGCTTCCTTTTGGCGAACTCTGACCTTCTGGAGAGAAAGGGTTCTTCTTTAGGACTGCACACGGGGCAGATTTCATATCATCGAAGGGGCCTTTCAGACCCTTGTTGACACATTGAACATATCTCCTCCCTTTCTGGAGATCATTGAAGCTTTTGGCGCGAAGGATTACGACGTTGAACGCCGGATCTGTGATGTTCGAGTCTGTTCATGGTCCTGTTTAAGCTCACACCAACAGCATGGTGAGTCTCTAAGGGCAGTACATGCCCCTCCAATTGTAAGAGCAACGTCATATATGTTGCGAAGCGTGGTCGCAGTCTCAGAGATCTATGGAAAATTAGACAGCTCAGCGTGTACTATCATGTATCCCACAATTGCCACACCTTGAAACTCATACTCTTGGATCTAGTGCGCCATGCAGTGTCAGACCTGACGGACTTCACGGAATCAGAACCCCGCATGTCCATAAATGGCTGCTACTTCGCTGCGTAACAAGGCTTACACAATTTTCTCATCGAACCTCATCCAATCGAGCGGGCAATCTCCGAAACCGTCAGAAACACATCTTGCCTCATCGCAACAGCTCTGGACGTATTATATCGTTGTAGCACTATGGGGAGCTAAGTAGATCTGATTCGCGCTAAAGGACTAAAAAGACAACGAGGAGAAACGACAGCGTGATGAACCATTTCACCCCAGCCTGCGCAGGCCTCGTTGCACATAGCATATTAATTTATCATGTGGGGCCCTGCAGACCCGATTGCTATTGGAAGCGACTGCGCTTTTGCATAGTCTCTGACCTCACTTCACGAAAAATAGAATCGGACGAAGACCAGGAGCTCCACAAACTGCAGAGTGTTTGAGACAAGGAGCGAGCCGACTGTAACTAACTTACGAAATCGACAGGGGAAGGTTCTCCTGTCGTAAGCTTGCACCGAAGCCTCCATTGTCCGCTCTATCCTCCTGTTCGACTTGCACGTCTTAAAATACTACTTACGGCCTTCATAGGAAACTACTCCCTCGACTACATCCTACAGAAGCAGCACGGCGAGGAAAGGGATATTCAAAAAGCAGTCGACTAAGGGTGCAAGGCTACGGCGCGTAGCATTGAGCAATTTGAGCGCACAAGAAGCGATTGCCTGCATGGACGAGATTGATCTATCTCAGGTCAATGGCAGCGAGGCATGCCGAGTTTCAAGTTGGATTGGACTGGATTGAACTGGACTGGACGACGGCAAACGAATCAGGAGTGGTTGAATCCTCTGACGGGCATTTATCGTCTCGAGGTAAAGACATGTGTGCTTTGTGCTTGGATCATCCCCATGGCAAGCCTCGCGCATCGATTCTGTAGATTATTAAAGATAAAGACCGAGAACTGTGAAAGTGAGAACTATCAAGTTGGTAGAGAGTATTGGTTTATTTTGCAGGCCAATGCCTTGGCCACCAGCGAGATTGTGCCGAGGCCCTTCCCACTTGGCCGCCTGTCAACAAGAAGTGGTTCTTTCTCTCAACGAAGCGAGTATTCAGAGTACTATTAGTCCCGTACGCTGTCATCTACCAGTTCATCCGCAATCGTTAAGTGCTATTCTTAATGGTGGTACTAAGGCTCCCTAAAAGCATTATATTCAGATATAGTAGAGTAGTAATATAGTAGGAGGATTGCGGGTTTGGGAAGTGGGCGCAACGTGGCTACAATGTCGTCCTCCGGCTCTCCAAGTGTTCTGGCTGCTTCGACATATACAGTCGACAGCTCGATGAGATGCTGTACGTCCCATGTCAGTCTCGGGTACAAGGAAGCCACAGCACTCGTGCCTGCGACAAAGTAGAAATCCTCTACTTAACTGCTCGAGGACGTGACTCAACACGCCGTTCTTTTCGACCAGGAAATGTTGGACGGAGGGTGGCACCTTCCGTGACCAGGGATGCAAGGCCATTATCGATCGGTCTAGATTGAAGAGTAGTGCTTCCACCGGTGAAAGCAGAACCAAGGGCCGCTCAAAGTGCAAAAGAGTTACAGGGATCAGCCTATCCTGGAGGAGTGACTTCGCCCAGTATAGTAATCCCGTGGAATCATGTTGTAGCTGTAGCGATGAACATTTACCCCGGCACAGAGTTTGCTGGTAGACAGATTTATTACAAGATTCGACTTGTTCGACGTGCCTCACAGACTCTCTTATCTCTTGCCTACGTGAACCTTTCAAGCGAATACTATAGTTCTTCCAAATCCCCATTTCCCAACATGACCACAGCTACCGAAGTTCGAAGGCGACATTTCAATAGTTACACGCTTCTCGTTGTCTTCGCCATTTCTCTCACTAGCTTAGGATATGGCTACACGGGTGCTGTCATCGGCACCATCTCTGGACAACCTTCCTTCTTCAAATACATGGGGTTGGACACCGCACCAAATGCCACCCAGCTACTTGGTGCTATCAACGCTATGTACTACGTCGGTGGAGTTCTCGGTACCTTCTACGCAGGCTATGCCGCGGATCGCTGGGGACGACGCAACGCGTCGGTCCAAGCCCAAATTATACTCGCCATTTCCTCTGCGCTCCAGGCTGGTTCCGTCCATATCGCCATGTTCATAGTTTCTCGGTTTATTTGCGGTTTTGGGTATGTGGTTTGAACCTCATGCTTCTATGAAATGTTCTTGCTTGGGGCTAACACTGTGGTTAGTGGATACACGGTACTATGCGTCACTCCCATGTGGCTCGCGGAATTGGTACCACCAGGCCAAAGAGGTATGCTAATGGAGATCGCCACGGTCTTGATGATCCTTGGGTATTTTACAGCTTCCTGGGTTGGATATGGGTTTTTCTTCTATTCCGGGTCCATACCGGCATTCCGTCCCATTCTCGGTATGCAATCTCTCTGGCCTTCTCTCTTCGCTTCTCAAAGCCGATGATTGTGACTCGACTGACATCAAAATATGCTTGTCGAAGCCTTTGGATGCATCGTCCCCATCATATTCGTGTGCATCAGTTACTGGACTGTTGAAAGTCCAAGATGGTTGATCTCTCGTGGCCGCCATGAGGAGGCACATAACTTGCTAAAGTCCCTACACAAAAACCCGCATGATCTACACGACTCATTTGCCGAGGCCGAGTACTATCAGATTAGACGACAGGCAGAACTAGATTCGGCTTTGGACTTGTCATATAAAGGCATGTTCGCAACACGTCCCATGACCAAAAGGACGGTCATGGCCATTATATGGCCTTTTATGACTGCGACATCAGGCATTTTGGTCATCTTCAGTAAGTTCAGCAAGGATTGACTAGATTTGCTGGCGATTTTGCTAATCTCTCTTGTGTTTCTCCCAAGATTATGGTCCGCTCCTCTACGAAAGCTTGGGATATTCGGCAGAGAAACAAGTACTTTATCAAGCCGGGTGGACTACACTCAACTGGGCTGCAAACATTTGCGGATGCCTGTTCGTGGATTTATTCCAGCGGCCGACCTACGCCGCAATTGGCCTCTTCGGTTGCATGGCGTGCCTTTGTGTCGAGGCAGCGATGGTGGCAACCTCGCAGACCTCGCCTACACAGGCGATACTGGAGTGTGGAGTGGCCATGATCTTCCTCTACGGTGTTGCATACGGAGCATTCCTGGATGGCTTGCTGTTCGTATACGTGGGAGAGATCTTCCCTACTCCGTACCGCGCGAAGGGATATAATATTGCGTTAGCCACGCAGGCTCTTAGCAATATTGCTTGGACGGGCGCTGCTCCTACCGCGTTCGCGTATGTCTTGTCTCCCGCAGCTCCTTCATCGATGCATTTGTCCCCATGCTTTAATGGGGAAAGTCTCTTCCTGATGACGACTGACACAATTGAATCTTCTTTTCCAGTGAGATTGGATGGCGTTACTATCTGCCGTTTATAATTCTATCAGCGATCAATGTGGTCATAATCTGCATCTGGTTCCCAAACACGAGACACTTAGCGCTTGAGGAGGTGGCTGCTATCTTTGGAGTGAGTCGCTCTTCACCCTTGGAGCCTTTAAAGCCCCTGATTTTGCTTTTCCCCCCCAGCGGCGCGTACTGACTCTACTAAACCGTACAGGATGGTGACAGGGTTGCTGTTTACCAAAGTCAGATACAAGGTACCAATCTTGTCAACATCGAAAGTGATCAACCAGCTGGGTCAAAAGCGAATAGCGTCTCTGCCGAACACAAGGATTATGTAACTACGGAGGTGGAAGGGCCAGTCTAAGCTCTTTTAGCAGCTTGGCACTTGAGTTCCTATCTTGAGGCGGCCTTGGGCGGCGTAGGCAGCTAAGGCACTAGTCTAGCCTAGACCGCTTGTGGCAGGTCGAGTTCAGAACAGTGTCGGTTGCCGTTCTGCTCAACAGCACCGCCTGTGACAGGACAACATCTACAAGGATGGCTGTGACAGGAGAGTGTTCATAACTGCCTTCCAGACACAGGCCATGTTTCTATATAAACAGGAAGATATCGCTGAAAGAACAGAGACAACGGAGGGACATCAGGCAGGGTTGATGAATGTTATCATTTACACAAGACAGTTCTGAATCTGACGGCCTACTTCTTACTATTCTGGATAGTTACTCAATAACCATACCCTTGCCCTACCTTACCACAGTGTCGATATCATACAAAATCCTTTTCCTCATCCCAGACGCTACAACTTTAGACAAAGCCTAAAGCTAGAGGGTAGGTTTCACGACCATTTTTGGTGCTCGCGCTGTTTGCACGCATGTCTTGGGACTGCAGAGTTCTCTCCATCGAAAGGTCTTCTGCCACTAGATAAATTTCTCTTCTATCCAATCAATCAAGTTATCAAGGATCTTCTGTCCATCAGGCACAAACCTTGTGAAGCCGTTGGAGAACGATCTTGGAAACGATGCTACCGCTTGTTGCAAAGATCCATTTGGCACTGCAAGATTTGCCACTCTTATCGACAGCACCTCGGCTGGTATACAAAGCCACGGAAATATAATCCAGACGGCGTCAGCAGCTTGCTAACAGCCATAAAGCTTTTCTTATAGAGCCAGGACATAATAACAAAATATTCTTCATCCGATCATCTTCAATTTCTTTTTGGTTTGGCAAAGTACCAAATATTCAGGCTGAGCAACTGGCCAGCATTGGACCCTCATAGCGATGTCTTCAATCCAGAGACCCCTTCCCCCTTCACTCAGTCCGCCAGAGGTACAATGCTGTCTCCTCTCATACCCTGCTCCTTGGATATTGCTCGTGACAATTAACCGCGAAAGACAAATGAACTCCATCCCATGGGCTGGGCATTGGGAAATGGACGCCCTTTGGTCATGGTTCGACGAGGAGCCGAACCTTCGAGTGGCTGTCATCACGGGCGCTGGAAACAAGTCATTTTCAGCTGGACAGGACCTTATTGAGTTGGGGAGTTTGAAAGGTGCTCCAGCTTGGCAGACACGCCATCCGCCGAGTGGTTTTGCCGGTTTGAGTAGAAGAGGTGGCAAGAAACCCGTCATCGCCGCGGTGAATGGATATGCTTTTGGCGGTGGGTTTGAAACCACCCTGAATTGGTAAGGCTACAGGTCCTCCCCATCCAACCTAGACAAATGAATGCGTCAGAAATTTGCTCACTGCCTTTTCGATGCGTCCAGCGACGCTGTAGTTGCCTCCCCCACCGCCCAATTTGCCCTCACAGAGGTCTCTCGAGGGATCTTCGCCGGTGCCGGCGGCCTCGCACGACTGATCCGCACCTGTGGCCTACAAGTCGCCAGTGAAATCGCATTGTCAGGCAGACGAGTGTCCGCGCAGGAAGCCTTGCGGATCGGATTGGTCAACAAAATATCAGTCAGCGTGGAAACGGTGGTTGACGAAGCCATTGAACTCGCCCGCACCATCACGAGAAATTCACCAGATGCAATAATAGTTAGCCGGAAGGCTTTAAGACAATCGTGGGAGTCAGGAAGTGTGGAGCGGTCAGTGCAATTGATTGCGGATGACTACACCAGCAAGTTGCTCGGTGGAGAAAATGCGCGAGAAGGTTTACAGGCGTTTGCAGAGAAAAGGGAGCCGGAGTGGAAGCCTTCAAAGTTGTGATCACTGTATATCACAGAACTTCTCTATCAAGGCGTCTGATAAATAGTTTTGGCTTGATGGGAACGTAGATTGAGCAGTGTAATCATGGCTCCATGTAATTCATGCCTATCCAGGACTCCTATCCCATTCATCTTATGTCGTTATGCCTCCACTTTTCGAATTGGAAGATGTAAACCGCTCCACGGAGCAATAAGCGTACCGGGTAGGCGCAACTTCTCCAACTCCGTCCCGAGGTTGTCCCCAATGTTTTCATACCGACAATCCATGGATTTTCTGGGACAGAAATCTGATAGCCAAGGAAATATTCCGAGTCCGCAATCGCGAGTGTTGTATAGCTTGAGGCAATCTACGACACTGCTGTTCTTCATGCTTCTCTTCATCTACCCTCTTTCTCAAGCACTATCTTATAAATCGCAACACTGTCCAAAGGCCATGCTTAGTATGGGCACTGATCCTTCGATCTACCAGCCTTCCGCGGCTCATTACTTGAGTCACATCGCGACTACTGGTACGTCCACCTTTCTGATTCCAGCTTCTTGCAATTCAGTGTCAGATACTGTTCCCACGGCGGAGGCATATACATTTTCATGTTAGTCAATGGGTCACTACGCTAGCAAGGCAAATTTGGTCCTTGCAATTGCATCTCTCCAGAGGCGCTGGCTCCTAGAAACGAGCACTCATAAAATATCACAGAACAGCCATGGCTAACGCAAGGAGCTCTTTTCACAGCTGGCCGTGATAACATTCTCCGAACTTTTCAGTATTGGTCACGCTTTTACGCGTGGTATCTATATCGAACAAATAACCCGGCGTCGGCGATAGCTTATTTTGCGACCGCGGAGACCAATATCTGTCTGACGCGGCGAGTTCTTCGTTTCGGTCGCTTCTTTGAGTATTTGCGAGATGCAGCCTCGGCCGTGGCAGCTGAAGACGAGGAGTTCCTTCTCAAATGTCTAAAGGTTGGCCGCCACGTAGGGTATGCGGGTTATTCGACCCTCGATTCGATCATTTGCATCTATACTTTGACCGGCCGAAAGGGCAAAACTATCTCTCAGTTACAACGTGGAGCGCATACTGCTTGGTTCTCCGCTCTATTATGTCATCTTTCCGAAGGGTTCTATTTGTTATATCTACCGAGGCAACGCGAGAGATCGGGCGATCCAGAGAGTGACGCGGACGACTTAAAAGAAAAGGAGATCGAGAAGTATACCGCCGATTTCTTTTCATGCACATTGACCGCACTGATATCTGCCTCTCTCTTCTCACTTATGCATTGCCTCCCACCCTCATTGACCTGCTTTCAAAACTTGTTTCGCTAATTCTATTACTAATTGTCCGCTGAAACAGACAACAAAACGCAATCAAACTACAAATTATATCAGACCTCTGCGATTTTGCCATTGCCTCTACCGCTCTCGGGCTCTCCCGCCTCGACGAGGGTGCTGTTGGTCTCGCCGGCATCCTGGGCACTTCGATCCGCATTTGGACTGGGCGGATTTAACTCCAGTGATATGACGAATCAGTTCTAGTGCGAAAGCGTTGTATAGCCATGTGGTTCAGAATGCCAAAGGCTTCATGATGGCTTGGATCGAGCGCTTTAATCCGTGAGCGGGTGGCAATCAGGGAAGAGAGGAATCTGTTTTGTGTTTATATAGAAATCACACATCATCTAGATTGACCAATACTTTAGCACCCATTAAGTCAGAAACACAGTGGACTCACTCATTCGTGGGCCTGTTGGTGTATTAAACACGATAGAGTACAGAGAAAGAGGGGTTTGCGATGACGTCTGCGATCTCTTCCAATATGCTGGCTCCCCTCTCACCCTTTGGCTTCTTTGCTAGGAATATTTGATGTAAAAGACACTGTATCCGGTTCGTGACGGATATCAGCGACATCCGAAGTCCAATTCTAGATCATTGTCGGACTCTACGCTGCAAGAGCACAGTGGTAGCAGCAATGACATTTTACTCGAAGCAAGGTGTAAGCTCTGCGAGTACTATACACTGTGTCGTTAGTAAACTAGACTATGAACTTAACTCTTCAATCTGTCCGCTGTCTAAGGACAAACGTTTGCGCATGAGTTTCAACTATCCTCGAACAAGGAGCGAATTAAGTTGAACGGAGAACAGAACTTTTGACATCTATGACAACTTTAGAGGAAAGGGAAACACTTCATTTCCAATTCTACTACATGTAGTAAATATCGAAAGGAATCCAAGCGGGGATTAACTGTTGTGCAAACTGTACTGGTGTTTAGACACATGTGCCGAATGGATCCCGGCACAAAGCCCTACAGAGTGCGAACACTACCCAGTACTTGGTATATCCTTTGCAGCCAGCGTTTAACTATCTTCCTATTAACCTAGGCCTAACCATATTAGGCAGGTTACCCAGAGGGGTAAGTCTCGTCACGTGACGGCACCTCAAAATACTCCACATAAAAAACGTCGCTGCCGTAGTAGATACATCTTCTCTTTTTAGTCCATTAATCAAGTAACCATGGACCATCAATCCAACGCTTTCAGCTAAATATAACTAGTTTCTGCAGTCTAGACCTAGTGAGCTTTCATTCAGTTGTAATTCCATTGGCACCGAGGCATTATGGCAGCCAACCAGTCGGAAGTCTATTTGACCTCAATAAACAGATGGAATTTTCATGGGCAAATTTTTGCCCTACATTTTCAATCTGGTCCAATCATAAAACTCTGCTGATGATATAGGCCCTAATGGATCATGTATTGCTGCTCACTGTATTACCAGGCATACATCTTTCACTCATCCCTGCGGAGTTGACGGATTACCAAATATCTCCCTACACAAGAACCCCCTTGGGTCTCATCAAGTATGAAGGCCAACTCAACTGCATTGATAGCTTAGTGTACGTGATTGATCGTGGTGCTCATCCATTACGGTTCCACGATTTCTCAAGTTTGTGACTTCTCAGGTTTTTTTTTTGATTCGCTGGATAAGCAAGAGAAATTACATTTGAAGGTATTAAGCACGGGAAGCATTTTTCGAAATATAACGCCATTGTGAGTGAAGAAAGTAGTAGTATCATCGTGTGCTTCGGAATTTTTGACGGTGTAGACAGACGGTAGCATCCTCCATTGGTTGGTTCCATTCTTATGGGCTACCAGTCGGGGATAATTGGCAGTGCTCTTGGTCAGCTGTAGCGGTATGAAGAGCTTTGCCTCGCCATGGTACCCAAGATGCCAGGATACAGCTATGGCACCACCATCTAGCAACGTTGTTTTCTTTGCGAGTTTCATCCTTGGATGTATCACGATATCCAAGGTTATGAATACCGACGGGCGCATCCGCGGGTTTCAGTTCGGCATCTTTTGGCACATCGGTGACAGTGTCATCCAGATTGCTTCCGTGAATCATGGAGTGTTCCTCGTTGGATACAGCTTCACTGGCATGGGTGTCGGTTTCTCTGCCGTCACTGGACCTATCTATCTAATGGAATTTGCTCCTTCGCTGTCGCTAGGTCTCATGGCCAGCATGCACAGAAGTTGCCAAAACACAGGATACTTCTTTTCAACGTAGGTGAATCCTGAAAACTCTTCTCACTTCAAAGCGTCAATTGATTAACTGCTTCCAACCCGATCCGAATCATAGATCGGGTTTGGTTGCTCCTACAGCAAGACTATAACCACATTCAGCTTTCGTTTTGCTCTAGCAGTCTCGATCCTCCTAGGACTTTTACTGCTGGACAGCACGATCTGGCTCCTGCAGAGTCCTCGATGCCTGGTGTCCAAGGACACAACGGAAGATACTATGGTGGTCCTGACTTGACAAGACTCCACCAAGACAAAAGAGATAGGGATATCAGCTTCATGCAAAAAGAGTACAGGGAAATTCTGGGGCAACCGGTCCTTGGAAAAGAAGCACGAGGCTTCATGTCCAATGACCGTCTTCTACTCACGAACTGCACCGATTTCATTCGGATTTTACTTGTAATCTTGGTCACCACGGGTATTATCAACATAGGTGTTCTCGTCATCAATGGTATGTGAGTATCAAGTTACGTGCCAAGGATTTCTGCGTTGCTCTCTGCTCAGTCTACCCCCCTATTTTTCTTAGTAGACTACCCAGTCCTCATCTATTCTTTCTTAGGGTTATCCAAAGCTATGTCACCCTTGATTTCAGCAATTTCGCTGTTCTTGGCGACAATATACAACTACATCGGCGCCTATTACTCGGATCACGTTGGCCGCAAACGTAGCTTAGGTAAAGATTGCTCCAGGTTCCCTGCCTTTCTTTTCCTTTCGAATTTTCAGTAATTGGCTACTCTGGCAACCTCATCTGCTTGGCGCTCATTACTGCCTTCCTTGCTTGCCAGATTTCAAGCAACGGACAACAGGAGTTATGTCACGGCAGCAGTGCTCTTCAACTTTCTATACGAGTTATTGTAAACTTGAACCCGATAAATCTCATGAAGTGACCGATTATTCTTTTCCGCCTACCTTCACTACGTACATATTTAAAGGGATTTATAATAGCTTCGAGCCTGGGATCGACCCAATGAATGAGCTGACTTTGCCGAGATTTTCCCCATTCATCTACGCGTTGGTGGGTCTTATATCGCTATCGTGTTCTTCTATATCTGTAATGCAATATAGTCTGAAGTATCTCCAACAACGTTCGTCAATATTGGATGTAAGCTTATCGTTGTTGAACCCTCAAGTATTTCCTTCTCTCAGCCTGCCAAAGTGAATTTCGGACTCACTACAATTCAGCGAGATCCTACCTCATTTTCATCCGCCTACCAACTGTGCAAGGAATCCTAATCTATTTCTTTCTTCCAGAGGTCAGTTCTCTTGCCTCTTTTATTTGGTCCAGTCAATGGCAGCTCTCAGCTCTTCCTTTCCCTTAATTAAGTGATCACGCTGATGAATATTATTTAGGTTGCTGGAGTGCCGCTTGATGAAACAGCCGAGCTCTTTGGAACATTGATCGCGATCAACCTAGAGGTTATTGACTTCGAGGTTGAAGTCATTGCATCTTCCTCGACGTCAACGCTCGGCAAAATAAGCCCAACGATACGAAAGAGTTGATTCAGAAGGATATTTTGCAACGGCCATAGAAAACCTCAAAAATTAACACTAGCTGGAGCATCCGCAAAAGAACAGCCAAAAGCCAAAAAGCAAATCCAAGTGCCCTCTCTGTCTGGGTGATGTTGCCTTTTAAAGATAAAAGTTCTCCCCCTCTATGTTATCATAACGAGCTGATCACAGGACCTGGATGTCCAATTCAAATAGGACTAGATATGAGGAGAAAGCTGAAGATACTGAGATTACTCTTCACGCCATGGAGGCAAAAGACTTTATTGTTGTACAGTACATCACGCTTAAGTTTTTAAATGGATTGTTTCATCTTGCCCTTGAAGGATCTATTCTCCAGTATGCCACAAAATCCTATCGTAGGATGACTTCTGTCATACCCCTTATGAGCTTCCAATCACGACGATACCAGGCGTGCTAGCGAACTTCCTAGATCCACTTTCCAAGTGCAGTGACGTCGAATATGGGGTCTTTCCAAAGCAACCGAAGTCGAATTATTTGCGTCGAAGCATAGAAATTTGTCTAAGCGGTTGTGCGCCGGAAGTGGCACGGAATTTAGTTCTAACCTCGGCCTCCTTGATCTGGTTCTCATCCCCGCGGATGTTCAGCCTTCATGCCTTAGGTTTGCTTCCATACAGAAGACGAACACTTTAAAACCAACTGCGCTCATTTCTTCATTCTCACTGTGTATTAACTGCCATCAAGCCGCATTCTCGGGTTCACATCAATTACTGTATTAGACAAGCATATCTTTTATCTCTTCATCATGGCCAGGTTGACTCCAGTCGTCATCGGAGTCGGAGACATGATTAATCGGTCGCGGAAGGTGGAAGATGCGATCGAGCCCTTGGAGCTCATCCTCCAGTCAATCGAGATCGCGATCAAAGACACCAATGTACCGAAGGCAGCTGAAGCCAGACTGCGATCGGCGATTGACAGCTTAGATATGGTCCGCACCTGGACGTGGCCGTATGAGGACTTGCCGGGTAGCATTGCAAAGGCAGTGAACATTACCCCAAGACACACGTTCTACAGCCAGCATTCGGGAAAAGAAGTAGCGAGGTTGTGCGATGCGGCCGCTCGCAGGATCTCATTTGGAGAAAGCAAAGCCGCGATAGTGACGGGAGGCGAAGCCCTGGCATCTCGTATGTCTACCTGGAAAGCAATCGCCTCATGTCCACCTTAACTGTCTGAGACTGGTTAAAAAGAGTTTGCTGGCGACTGACTACTGGCACCGACAGTTGCTGCATGCGCGGCAGCCAAAAAGCTACCCCCTCCAGGCTGGACCAAACTTGACCAAAAAGTCGACTCAGTATTTTCCCCAACGGAAACTGAATTGAAAAGCAGTAAGTCACTTTCTGATAGCGCTTAAACTCAGAATAATGCACTAGAAGTGCCGTTAACCAACTTCAAAAACGCAGAGGCCGGCACCCTTGCCTCGAAATATTCAATCGGAGCACCCATTCAGGTCTACCCGCTCTATGAGAACGCATTCAGAGCTCATCGGGGCCAATCGATTCAAGAGAACCAAAAAGAATCTGCTCAACTATACGCAGAGTTTGCCCAAGTTGCGAAGACAAATCCGTTGGCTTGGAATTATGGGACAGCAGAAAGCGAGGAAACTATTGGGACCGTGACAAAACGGAATCGAATGATCTGTTTCCCTTGTACGAATACAAATCTGGAGGTACAGCAATTTTTCTCGACTTCTGCTAACATCACTTCTAGACCCTCTTTTGATGAACGCCTTTAACACGGTCAACCTTGCCGGGGCCTGTCTGCTAACATCCGCCGAGCTTGCCAAAGAGCTGGGTATTCCTGCCGACCGTTGGATCTACCTCCTAGGAGGTGCCGGGACCCAGGACAGTCCTGATTGTATGATGAATCCTGCCATCTATTGGCTTCAGAATAGACCTGAGAACTCACGTGAGACACAGTCTGGGAACGTCCCAATTTCTACTCGAGCCCGTCCATCTCGTTGGCGCTGGATGTGGGTCTGGAGGCCTCTGGGCTCAAGAAGGAAGATGTCGATTTTTACGATTTTTATTCGTCAGTCACTCGCTCGCAACTTCTCAGTGCCCCTGCCGCTCCGAGACATCGTTACTGATACTGACACCACAGTTGCTTCCCCATTGTGCCAAAGCTCGCCGCTCATCACCTTCAATTACCCATAACAAAGTCACCGAAACCGATTACCCTGCTCGGGGGACTAACATCATTCGGCGGAGCAGGCAATAACTACTCAATGCACGTAAGTGCCATTTACAATGAAAGCAGCTGAAGGGTGGCCTGAGTCTGACTGAATGAGTTTCAGGCGATCACTGAGACGGTTAGAAAACTGAGAAGGGGCGACGGCACCTACGGTGTAGTCCTAGCCAACGGCGGCGTGGTTACTTACGAGCAAGTCCTCTGCTTTTCTTCACAACCTAGAAAACACGGTCCATACCCAGACAAAAATCCACTTCCTTCGATAATACCAGCTATTCCTGCGCCGACGGTGGTTGTCGATGCCGAAGGGGAAGCAGTTGTTGAGGTAAGTCCAGTCTGGCCAGTCAATTCATTCCAATCATGCTCCTGAGTGAAATTTTGAACATGCCGCTGAAAGGACTCTTACAGACATACACCGTGGACTTCAGCAGGGAAGGTACTCCTATCCGAGGACACATAATTGGCCGGTTGAAGAGCAACAATCACCGCTTCCTAGCACATCACGGGAGCTCTTCAACACTGCTGCAGCTTTCCAGCTGGGTGCGTGAACCAATTGGAAGAAGCGGCTGGGTATGGAATGAGTCAACAAGCGGGAGGAATCTATTCACTTTCGAGACAGGCGAGAAACTGTAATTTAGAATTCTCTGGTCTCCGCCTGAACATCGATGCTTCCCTAACTTCCAATGGACCCTCAGAATTCCGAGGGACTTGTTTGCATGCCACCGATGTCTTCATAAATGGAGCTCTGCTCGATGGCCGCCTACCATTGCCAAGAAATATAAATCTCTTGGTTGCTGGGTGACATGCCCGAGGCACGGAAATGCCAAAGTAATTCCGGGGATAAGGCTGTTTGCCCCGAGTCTCTCAAGATCTTGTTCAGTATGTTGATGTCCGTGGCAATTGCTTTTATGGGGACCCAAAGTGAGTGGAAGCGAATGATGCATTCAACCGACCAGTGGTCTCGATTGTCACGGCTAGACTTCATTGATGGCACTTTCAGACTTTATATTCGCCCGCCTTTCATTTTATACTTGTACATTCTACATACATTGTGCCTCTTGCTGGCATCAGACTGTCATTTTCAACCTTTGAATCATGGAGCAGATACTGGTTGGTATGTATTCTCTAGTACATCCTGGACATACTAGGCAGAGACCTTCATCCTAATCGGTAGTAGGAGCTGCGGCCACTGGTCTTCTGGGAATGTATTTCAATGCGAAAACACAGCTTTCAGAGGACCTACGTCTTCTGTCTGCGACTAATAAGGTGTCGAGAGCAATGGCAAACGCTGGTTAGTTGGACGACTCCTTTGTCCCATTTCACCAGTCCATCTGCAGATTCCTGACAAGACCGGAGATGGGCTGATTCAAATGACCGATTGATACCGGAGCAGAAAAATTGGGTAAGATGTCACTGTTTCACGTCCTAGAAGACAATGTGCGCCGGACGCCTTCGGCACCGTTTCTCTTCTATGCGGAAAACGGCCATAGTGAAACATATCAAGAGACTTATCACAACGTTTGTCGTATGGCATCATTCTTCGTCTCGAAAGGGGTACAGTCCAGAGATATAGTGGCAGTTGCCTACACAAATAAGCCGGCATTCATCCATATCTGGCTGTCCCTCAACGCACTAGGTGCTGTGCCAGCCTTCGTCAATTACAATCTCAGCGGAGATCCGCTGCTGCACTGTCTGAAAGTCAGCAAAGCCAGCTTGTTCATCGTCGATGACGATCTCGTCCATAATGTTTACCCGTCCAAGAACAAGATCGATGAGATGGGCTTTGACACTGTCTTTTTCGATGACCGACAATTGGAGGCGATTGGGCGTCTCGAGAGCAAACGACCTGATTGCGACAATTTGAAGAACAACTTCGCGACGACGTCTTGCATATTTTACACAAGGTACCAAGACTTTCAAATGTCCGTTCGACCACATGTGATGCTCACAAAGAGGTTCTAGTGGAACTACCGGCTTCCCCAAACCTGCTCCCTTCGCCCTGTGGCGATGGTACGGAGCTGGGATCGCAACCGGGACGTATCTGAAGATGACTCCTAGAGATCGATTCTACACATGCATGGTATGATCCACGATGACATACGATCTTCGCTTCGGCAGCGACGAATTTTACTGAGTTCTTTCAAAGCCTCTCTATCATGGTACCGGAAGCTCTTGCTTCATTATGTGCATCTTCCAAGGAGCTTGCTTTTGTTTAGGGTCAGTTAGGTGCACAGTGGTGCCTCTACCGCGCTGTTCAAAGTCCTCCTCTTTACTAACATGAACTTACTTATCTGCAGACACAAATTTTCCGTTTCGCGCTTCTGGGACGAGGTGCGCAGGTCAAAAGCCACCTTCATAAACTACGTCGGAGAGACATTGCGCTATTTAATGGTATGTTAACAAACCCTATCAGGCTATTAAACTTCTCGCTGCTGGGTGCTGGAGCTCTGGTCTACCAAAACAGAAATGCTTCAGAACAAACATTCTTCTCGGTCGTATATAATTCTGACTGTGGATTTTCAGACTGCCCCACCATCTCCCAAAGATAGAGATCACCTTGTGCATACTGCCTACGGTAATGGCCTGCGACCTGACGTGTGGGAGGCTTTTCGAGACAGATTCGGGATTGCAAACATTCTCGAATTTTATGGTGCCTCAGAAGCAATGGCAACCATGTTGAATTACAACCGAGGTGAATTGTTCGGCCGAACCCCCACTCGATCAAATGAATATTTCTCAACATTATTTGTACGACTCACACTGACGTTTTCGTCTTTCATGCAAATATAGGATCTCTCGGAGTGGGCTCTATCGGTCGATATGGGCTGCTCCAGCGCTTCCTGACACGCAAAGATTTACTTGCGATCCGCGTCGACAATGCAACTGAGCAAGAGATTCGGAATCCAAAGACGGGATTTTGCGAGGTCGTTGGCACGGACGAGCCAGGCGAGCTCTTGATGAGAATCCCGGACCCCATCCTGTTTGCAGGCTACTACAACAATCCAGCTGCATCCAAAAAGAAGACTATTGAGAATGTACTGAAGAAGGGAGATTTGTACTTTCGCAGTGGGGACCTCATGAGGTATGACAGCGATGGTTGGTGGTACTTCGTCGATCGCTTGGGAGATACCTTCCGATGGAGGTCTGAGAATGTGAGCACAACTGTAAGGCTTGCCTCGAGTTCTCTTATCCCTATTTCCGATCCCCTAGTGTTTTCGCCAGCTCACAGCCACTGATTTCTCTCCCTCCTTACTTTACAGGAAGTTGCCGGCGCTCTCTCCCTTTACCCTGCTGTTGCCGATGTAGCTGTCTACGGGGTCAGTCTCCCGAGACACGATGGTCGAGCGGGTTGCGCAGCCATCGTGACCCAGACCGACACCGGCTTGGATATGGCGGCCTTGGCCTGCTTCGCCAAACATTCACTTCCCAAATACGCAGTTCCCTTATTTCTGAGGCTGATGGAGGAGCTACCGAAGACGGAGAATAACAAGCCGGTAAAGGTGCAGTTGAAGAAGGAAGGGGTTGAGCCCGGCAAAGTTAATCAGTTGCATACGATATATTGGTTGAAAGGTGGAGTAACAGCAGGGAACGAGTACGTCAGATTCACAGAGGCAGACTGGAAGGATTTAGAAAGTGGCATAGTGAAACTTTGAGCAGGCGAGCGAATGCTGTTCATACGGTGTCTTTAGTCGTGAATGTGCCAGGAAAGACCATGGGAATGTGGATTTAGAACAGGAAAGAGATCGTATTCCGAAATCTGATCATAAACGTTCTATAGCCGTGGTCACTCATGTTTTATACAGCCGGTGTAAAATCGAGCTACTCCACCAGCTAATGAAACTTGGATGGTCTCATGGTCCTAGAAAGTAACTAATACGACCTTAAAAGCCGAATCTTTGCATATCTCATAGCTTCGCGGACGGCTGCACGATCTGAGCGGCAGAGCGTAGGATTTGATAAGCCTCTTCCGCTATCTCCTTCACTATCTCCCCTGCTGGCTGTTTCGGCTTACTGATCAACCCTGCCACTATCCCCATCGGTCTAAAGAGATTCCTCACTGTTAACGGCTGATTGCGAAGAGAGGGAAACGACACTAAATAATGTCTCACCTCAAAACCGCTTCATCCTCAATTTCAGCTGTCAGTTTCCCAGCTGCCTCAAGCCTGTCCAGGTCATGTTCGACGGGGATGATACCCTTGGATGTTAAATCCCGGATTTCGTCCTGCCTTTCATGCTCAAATTGCCTAATGTAAGGCGTAGCATGGGTGCGAAGTGGTCGACCGGTGAAGATGGTAGTTCGGACAGTGTCATCAAATCCGGCTTGAATAATACTGAAGGAAAAAGAAATGTAAAGTTAGCATGATATGATACAATAATCTAGTGTGCAACAGGAACGACAAAATGATTTCGTAGGGAAGAAATTCAGAGGCTGACCTTTCTTTAGCTTGTTCAGGCGCTTCAGACTCCTCCGCGGTCACGAATCGGGTCCCGACCCAGACAGCGCTGGCACCAAGCATCAGAGCAGCGGCTAGTCCTCGCCCGTCCGCAACACCGCCTCCAGCTATCAGAAGGGGACTTTTTCCGGTGATTGGCGAAGTGTAAGTCTTGCAAACATCGACGCAAGCTGGGACAAGAACGCTGTCAAATATAAAGTGAATTAGTGTGTATGTCATTAACAGTCGATCATTGTAAGGTGCTTTATACCTGAAGGGGATATCCCCGGTGTGGCCACCGGCCTCTCCACCTTGAGCGCAAATAATGTCTGCCCCTATCGCACAGGCCTTGTGGACATGCTATAAAGAACGTACAGAAGCAGTAAGCAAAGCTGACTTATTTGAGTTGATGCAGATATGCAGGCGTGCAGAAAGACTTACCTTGGGATGCCCGACCATATTCTGAATAGATTCCCTCATCTTAGATATGCTCATTACCCCCGAGCAAAGGACAGGAATGCTCACCATATAAAGGATGCCGGCTTCGTGCAACCTGTCTACCACTCGTTTTGGTGGGATACCAACCGCCGACACAAACAATCTCACACCGGATTCTATCATGATCTCAACCAGCGTGTCAAGGCTTCCTTTGGTGTAATCTTTCTATGGGGCAATTAGGATCACCATTGTAGCAGGAAAGGAGTGGCAACAAGACGGCGGGAGGCAAAAAAAAAGGTGCTTAATAGAGAGACATCACATTTGTCTTCCTTGCAGAGCCGCCAACTTGAGGTAGCAATAGATCGATCCCGAAGGGTAGCGAAGGATCTCTCAGATGGTCCTGTCGAAGCAAATCAATGTCAGTTATCTCGGCCTGGGCGAGGTAAATGAATGAAAAGCTTTGTTCTGCTGCTATGGTACCTTGAGCTCTTGTATCTTGTCTCGAAGCATCTGAGGCGTGTAGTTGACGCCACCAATCACTCCCAATCCTCCTGCATTGGAGACAGCCGCTGCGAGCTTTCCACCCGCGGTTTGTCCCATCCCGGCCAGGACAACCGGATGTTGGATGTTCAGTAACTTTGTGAATTCTGTGGTCAGCATTTTCGGATATGTAATATCTCTTATGCTTGCCGACAAGTTTTCTGGTTGGCGTTCCAGGGACAATGAGACTTCAATTGAAAACGATCGCCGGCAGCGTCTATGATTAACTACTTCTCATGTAAACCACTTCTAGCGTGAGACGCGATATAGGATATGGCAGGAGGAGGAGGAGGACAAGGACAAAAATCCTCGTGTGGGTTTGAAGTCCACTCCTGCACCCTCGGTCAGGGCACGTTTATGCCGGGGACATAAAGACCAAATCTCCTTCATCAGAAACTCCAGTTTTGGATTCACCGTCGCGGCGATGATTATGCCTTGCATGGCAATTCCGCGGAATATTGTATAGCGCTAGTTTCCATGGACTTGGAATGAGCCGAGGCCCATTCACAAAGCTAGTGCAAAACGGAATTAGCGATTCGTCTGTACCTCGTACTATTACCGCAATAGGGCAGTATCGTTAGGAGAAGCCCTGCATTCTTCCTGCCCGTTCCGTCGAACTAGCCAGAAACAGCGAGGGCATCTGTGTGGAGTTTCCGTCTGAAATTGGACAGGAACGGACATCAAGGAGGCGAAGAGGTTCCCACTAGAGAATTGTCCTGTATAGAAAGACTATTCATTCAATCAGAGCATTAAGGTGTCGTCCCCTAGTTCTAGCCAACGTATCCATGGCACGGATCCATCCTCTTCTTCCGCAAAACCCTCTCCAGCCTCGTTGAGAAAGGAACTCTCATCAATGCATCCGGAGAAAGAGGAGGCGGAAAGAGCAAAAGCCTGATTAAAGCTCTCACCACAGACAATGTGGTTGTCTGTACCGCTGCTACCTTGGTCCATGATCTGAAAAGGCATTGATGTCTGTCGTACGTTGACATCAGAATTGTCGACTCGCTCGGTGAGCTGGGTTGAAACTCCTCCGGCTCCTATTTCACCATTGGGTTGAATAGTCCTTGAAGCAGATATTTCGTCATTGGACTTCTCAAGCTGTCCGACAGTTGCTTCTGGTTGTATGATTGCTCTCTGATCGTAAATTTCCTGCAGATTCTCGGAGGGGTAAGGCGATGCTGAACTGTTCGGGTCACTCCGTGGCAGCAGCTCTGCGTCATGCGTGCGATCTTTGTCAAACTCCACGGGACTTGTTCTACGGATAGCATCCAGACCCGGTTCCAGGAAGTTCATTGCACGCTTAGCACAGCTATACTTCTCCTCGAGAGCCTCCATTAAGCGAAGACAGCAAATAAGACCCTGAATAGGCTTGTTGCCTGCGATTTCTGGACACTCTCGGATTTGCAGGACGTGTACGACGATACATGGAAGAAGGACGGAAATACTGTTTCACTTTGTCAGCATTGACATAAGACTCAAAAAGATTTACTCGATGAAAGATCCAAAGAAATGAAGGGGGAATGGGGAAGCCCATACCTAGAGGAAGGCATATATCTCGTTAGCTTGTGGCGGGACACAGTTTCTGCCAGTGCCGCAGTCCTTTCTGCAGCACGAAAGAGAATTTTGCGATACTGTTGGCGCACCATATCATTGATGCCTCTGGCCAAATATCGCTCCTCTGCCGATGGGTAAACTTGAGAGCGGTAGAGGTCGTTGACCGCGGTGAAATATGTCATCTGCAATAGGATCCGGTGTAGTGTCAGGCTTGGGTCGGACACTGTAGAGAGCTCTTCATCCTTCCTCGTCCAGCGTGCTTCCTCCCTTAAATCATGCAACCACCCCGACAAATGCGTCGCGCAAACCTTTGTTTCGAAAGTCATTACACCTTGAGGAGTGAGAGGTTCAGATATCTGCGACCGCAAAGTATTTGCACGACAAATAACCGTCGTGGTATACCGAGCCGAAAGCGATCGATTGATGCAAGAACATAGTTTGACCATTTCAATAGTCATAGTTGCCAATATGCGATCCTTTTCAGTGGCTCCGCAGGACTGATCTTCCTGTGAGCTTGCGAAATCGAAATCATCCAGGTTGAGTGGTGTTATATCGTACTCGTCGATCCTGAGCAATGTTGAGCACCGTATGCCGACTGCAATGATTGTTTCTCTCATAAAACAGCACCACCATAATCTCCGCAGAGTTTTAATTTCTGAGTTGTTCCCCGATGATTTGACTATCTTTCCATAGAGATCCATAGTCTGGGCATGCGAGATGGCTGCATGAATCCAATGCCAAGGTCCTCTTTGGTCGTCCATTTCCACCCAATAGGTCAAGAGTAGCAGTGCTTGCAGTATGGTAGCAGGATTTGGCTCAACTTTGAAATCGTAGAGCAAAGTGGCTCGCTGATATAAGTAGGTGCGCGCCGCCTGTCGAGATTCAAACCCCATCGCGTAAATAATGTCCATGTCCACAAACTATCGTCAGCAAGAAAAGTCAGCCCACCACATAGCATTAGTGCAGATCCCCTAACTTACCGCACTGCCAACGAAAAAAAGAGCCTGGGCCACCAAAATACTCAGTCTGGGCTCATTGTTCAAATCCCCTTCCTTTCGCTTTGGATCCCGGATCCCGCTCAAGAAATTCTCTCTGTCAAACAAGGGCATAAAGGGGTTGGCAAATTCAAAGTAGCTCTTAAGTAGCTCATCTCTTGTGCTTTCGCTTGGAAGGTCGAAGGCGCTTTTTCGTGTTAAGTATGCCAAGTCGACGGCATCAATATTTGCTGGAATTGGTCGAATATATGATGGCAGATTAGTCGAGGTACTATTAGTATTTGGCTCGTGATTTCGGACGAGTCTGGGAGTTCGTGAAACTTGAGTTGGACTTCTTTCAGTAAAAGGTAGAAAGCTTGCTGATATCATGTGTTCCGAGGCGGGTTGAGTGCTATCGGCAAGAGGCCGAAGAGTTTGGTGTTGTAAATATTGTTGTCGACCTTTTGATATTGAGCCCGGTGTTCTGTGTGGAAGGGAAATGGTTCAGAGAGATGCACATCTGGTAGTTGAGACGACTGACCTTCGCTTGGGCAAGAGTGCTGTGCATTCGACTTTGTCTAACCGGCAGTTCGTACATGGAGGACCATTTTCCTGCATGTTGCACCTGACCTTTCTAGCATTGCACGCCCGGCATGCACGAGACGCGCGTCTGGACGGCATCTTGATTGAATTTCAGTTCCTTCTGAGCTCTCTATGAGATCAAATCTGCATTTCCCAAAGGATTATTCTTTCTGAATAGGACATACGCCTAAGACGGGCAAAGAAGAGTCGTAGTTGAATGAAAGGATTGGACGAAACCCTCGAGCAAGTTGGCTCCCTTTTGCCCGCGGGCTAGACTCATTGCAAGTGCGGGGCTCCAGCTCCAGCTCCTTAGAGTTGGCCCAGGCCGTCTCTCGCCCACCCGGACAGCGCTATTTAATGGCCTCCTCGGCTTAAATCTCGGCATCCACCGCTTAGCATCTCACATCCAGCCCCTAACTGTCGTGCCCTGCCCTGGCCGTATTCACCTGCACTGGGCCCTGTCGGAATACATTTTTCTTCACCGCTTGATTAAATATACATCCATTTCCCGCCTCTTCCAAAGGCGGCTGGGACTTCGTTGTGGCAAGCTGGATTCCCCATGGCGGAGAACCGGGATGCAAGTGTTCGCCCTGGACGGTCGTATACTTCGAGCGCCTGTTTGTTTTGTAGGAAGCGAAAGATCAAGGTAGCTCGGCCAAATATCTGTATCCTGGTCGATGTCTCTTGTTGACGAATGTGCGATTCGCGACAGTGCGACAGTGGCTCTCCGAAATGCTCTAACTGCATTTTGTACAAGGTTGTCTGTTCCTTCAGTGTCGACAAGCGAAGGTACAGTATTGTGCCATCCTTTTTACGTTTTTCCTCCCGATTTTAAACCCTCTCTGACAGATAGGCTGAATCAGATCTCGTGGAGGGAAAAAGCCCTGCAGCCTTGCGGGGTCGATGCACGCGTCTTCATTGACGCCTGCAAGCGAACAGCGTTCAAATGCGCGAGAGGACCAAGTGACTGATGGAGCTGACACCGAGAGTACAGTTGCAGACCCTTCAACAAGCAACGTCGCCATGCCAAACGCTGAACACCATACAGGACCGGATCACAGCTACTGGTCGCAGATGGCAGGCACTCAGCCTTCATCACCTCAGATCGAAAGAGATGCCAATCCCGGGATAGGTCCAGAAACTCTTACCGAACCTTGGTTCGAAGATGATCTTCGGCGCCTGTCCTCCGTTAACGCGGAAGAAATTCCATCTTTACTTGGTAACAGCAGCGAGTTCAATACTAGTACCCTTCAAACCGGCAACATGTTCACCACTTTGGCCACGGCAAGCCCGGGGTGGTTGAGAGGGACGACTCAGTCACCATCCGAACAGCGAGTTGACGGCGTGCAACTTTGTGAAGACGGGCCGCCTCGCTTCTATGGGCCCACAAGTAGCCTTCGCTTTGTGCAAAAGATGTCGATCCCATGGTTTCAACCTTTACTTCGAAACAGCCGCCTACATGGTGAAAAGGCTATCCAGCAAGTGAACCTACAGTGGCCCGGGGATTCGTCATACGAGGGATACTTAACCACCCTATTTTTCACTTGGTACAACCCGTATATGGGTGCAGTTGAACAGGGCATATATTCTCGTCAAAAACAAGACTATAACTTGGGCAAGGAGACGTTTCTCTATTCACCAGCATTGGAGAATGCTATCCTCGCCGTGGGTGCCTCCTACGCCTCTCGAAGATGCGCAAGTCTCCCTGACATATTTGACCCTCCTGATTTCTTTGGCTGCCGAGCAAAGGCCTTCCTTGATTTGGAGATGGATTGTCCGAGCATTGCTACATTGCAGGCTTTGTTGATATTGTCATCTCTTGAAGCTGCAGCTGGTCGTGATTCACGAGGTAAGTTGACATCTGTCAGGTTCAGATGGTGGCTGCAGGTTTCGTGCTGATCCTATACTCTGCTATACAGGTTGGCTTTATTCCGGTCAGATAATACAGGATGAGAGACACAGCGGTGATACGAAACTGACTTCACGCTGACAGGAATGACGGTACACCTTGTTTTCGATCTAGGGCTCCATCTTGATCTCTGTCATGAGGACGTCGTAACCTCATTAAGGAAGCAGGATGGTGGGCTAAAATTCCTGTACAAGAGTGTTTTCCAGGCAGTCTGCTCATCCAACTTGTATGAATCATGTCTGGCACTAACAATCTCATTCCCCCCGGATCAGCCTTGTCCATACTTGCGTATCACACACCTAGCTAGTGCTTGTTCTAATACGCCACAGGTTGTGGAGCATCGGCACAGGACGTCCTGCTTCAATGAAGAATCTGATACAGTTCATCTCCACCGAAGAGGGCCAGCCTTCGTCTCCCCGGCAAAATTCCCCCATCGAAAATAGTCCCACACAAGTATCGAGTGTTTCAGGCCAAATCGGGGCAGAAGGTGTCCCCGTATATCTTTACCGTCTATCGGTGGAAATTTCAAAGGTCATGGAAACCTCGTACGTACTCGGCAAATCACTATCCACAGGGAAAATACTGATACCATCGAGCTATTCGAGACCTTTTGCGCTGAAGGGAAATCCGACTATCGCGAAAGATATTACGCTATCACTTCAGGATTGGCTCGGTGCTCTTCCAGCTGCTCTACGAATAGAGGCATCTGAAATAGAGACCATTTCGAGGAGTACTTATCCCTCGGAAGTGATTGAGCTGAAGTATGCCTTTTACCGCTTTAACGCAGCTGAGAGAGATTGTTCTAACCTGTGAACATCGACTAGCTTACAATACCACGAGGCAATCATCCTATTTCACCGCCAGTTTTTCTCCACTGCCGGTCCGGCGGACAAGGGCTCGCCTCAAACTATAGACGACCGAGACGAGTCCGGCAACGCTCGTCAAAAATGCATCGAGGCAGCTTCCTGCATATGTCGGTTGCTGGTCCTGTATCGGCAACAATATGGTCTCAGATACATCAATGTCCAAGCGATACATATCGTTTTAACGGCTGGACAAATTCACATCCAACACGGTGCCTCCTATATACGAGGGTCCCAAACACGATCCGAAGGGTACAGAAAATCGCAAGAGATGCTGAACCTGTGCATACAAGCTTTGGGAGAGATGGCACAGACGTTTCCCAGTAGCATGCGCGCGATAGAAATGCTTACAGCTCTTCGGCAACGCTGGCATAATCCAAGCTCTTTATCCGTCGATAGCAATTAGAGACTCCCGCCTACTGAACACCAAAGCGGACAGATCATTCTTGAAAAGGCGGACATCCTATTGAGAAGAGCTTGTACTCATTTTAATGGTCTCCACTATGGAGAATTTGCTTTGTGGAGCTTTTGCTCGGACTGTTGCTAGGTGCGCCATCTACCATACTTCTTAAAAGAGCGGAAATGAAAGCAGAGATGCTGCTAGACAAGCAGAAATACGATGACGTTACTGAGCTCCAAGGTCTCGGTCAGTCGCTGGAATGGTAGATACACGCTGGGCCGTTGATGTAACCATAATTCTTGTGAGCCAACTTCAACAGATCGGAGTTTGTTGGACCCCCTGGGAAATAACGATCAGCATTGTCTTTCTTTTCGCAATATCTCTCAACCGAGAAGAGGAATCCACGGCAAAACGGCATTGAGCCGAATGTTTCGAGATCCTCCCTCTAGAGAACCCGGCGTCATTGCTTCAGCGACGAAGTTGAAAGCCCCTCGAACATTGACATTCATGACAAAATCAAACTCTTCCGGCGCCCGCTGCCAGAATGTCTTGAGCCCAAAGTACTTTCCGATCACACCGGCGATATTCGTAATCCCATCTACACCACCAAAGCGAGTTTTGGTGGCGTGCAGGAACGCTTTGACCTGAGTACGATCAACCACATCCAATCTCTGGAATGAGTAATCCTGATGCTTGCTCTTCACTCCCCAAAGAAAAGAACGCAGCAAGTCAGCCAGGTTCTTTTCATTGACACCGCATACTGCGATAGAGGCGCCTCTGTCCAGAAGAGCCTTCACTGTCGAGAGACCGATGCCATCTGCTCTTCTAGTCACCACGAAAACTCGGCTTTTGGGAATTCTATTCCGAAAGTTTTGTATTCTGTGGGTGAAAAAACACCGGAGCTCGAATATTCTTCTTCTGCCTCATTAAGGATTTCCATCGTGGATAGATTGACATGAGGGCAGATCACATTCATGATTTGATTGGCTTAGGCCGCCGACATGGATGGAATTCCGCCCACTTCGGCCATCTCAATCGGCTATCGTCCCGCACGGTTCTGGATGAGCAACTTTACATCCAGGCTTGATTACGGAGTCTTTCAAGCTTCCTGAGCCATGCCGCAGGGTCATGCAGGCTGACGAGGCTAGATTATCTTGATAAATCAGTAAAGATCCACAAGATCAGAAGGTCTTTGACGTCTCTGCCCAAGGGGTGTTCTGTAGGATGGTTGCTTGCTCGGCATTACCAGTACAGTTCTAGGCCTTCTAAAGGTGACCAACACTTATTAATGGCTCAGCAGGTGGAACCAGCACTGATCGGACCGTTTTAGAATTGGCCGGTGCCCATAGTGCCGCCCCTGTCTGTCGTCCTGATAGTCATTATGCGTCCCCGTAAGACTTACTATAAAGGCTGAAGCCGCCATACGGTCTCTGACCTGCATCCCGTGTCATGTCAGTATCCGCACAATATGACCTTTGACATTTTGCTGGACTGTCGGCGCTTACAAATAATGTCCACCATATCCGCCGGCCTAAAGCAACGGAATCGGGAGGCTGCAGGCCCGGTCTTGATTCTCACTGCAAGTCGATGTTCTGCACCATCCGAACTCAGAGACTGATCCACCACTAATTTGTCTCTAAGTTGACGAAATCGAAAGGTCCAGGACTCTACCAGTAAAAGAGCATGAGTATGGAGACCTGAGAGGTTGTTTTATCTAGATAACCTGTGTAGAATAGGCCCCGAAAAAGACAAGTCCTCTCGGAATAATGATAAATTATCCCGAAACCTACTAGCAAAGCCGAAGTATATTAACAAGTGGGCCTTCTCGATGTGATTAAGTTACCAACCCTTGGCTGTGGGGTTGAGGCAGAGATACATACTCGAGTGCTGAAGACCCCGGGAACCGACTAGATGTCGCAGTGTGATTTGCCCTTATTCACCTTGATTGCCTACGGGGTAGGGTCGGAAGTTGAATACAAGAGAGCGGAACCATAACGACGACTCCGTCTTGTATAGTCTCCAAAGCTTACGAAAGGATCAACATTTACCATATCTTTCTTCTAATCTGCGTTTGAGTCATAACGCAATCGACAAAATTCACTCATAGCTTAGTCACTCTCTCCTTCGAATGTGGTATTACCTGCGCAGCTAAAGGACGGCGAGTGGAATCGCATACTTTCCGAGAGACCTACCGTGAAGCATGTTCATTTTTTGGTAGCATCTCTTTGCTTCCATCATACTTTTCCCGTCATTCACCTGAAGGTGTGCTTCGCGAAATGCCTGAGCGCACTGGTGAAAATTAGCTGTCGGGAAAACTCTATTTACGATACCTCACTGGCTTCGCTCTTCGACCGAGCATTTGTGGCCAGAAGCCATTCATTGGCACGAGATATACCCATGGAGTGTAAGAAGTGAGTTGCGGATTCAAATTCGTGAGCCAGACTGAGCTGACTGCAAGATGTCTATAGACAAGACAACTCAGATGCTAACAGGATGCTGGCGACGGCTGGGAACAATGCTGCGCCTGCACCCCCGGCAGGTCCGTTCAACGCAACCACCAGCACTTTCTTATGCTTAATCATTGAGCAAGAGTTCCACAGCTGTGTAAAGCACATTAACCACTACCAAACAGGTGATAAGTGGGATGAACTCTCTATCACAGCATACCTCTCGCGAATCGGGCCATATATACAGTTTTCTTTGCAGTTTGGCTTTGCTATGATTGTGCAGACCGCTTCCCTTCCGCTGGAGATTGTGCACAACGTTACCCCGGTTCGTCTAGGATAACTCGTTGCCTCGAGAGGAGGACAGTGAGAACCACATACCTAGGACTTCTGCCCCACAGCCAAAGATCGCTCTTCCGCTGTGATGGTGAAAGTTGCATCGGCATGCTCATTCAGTACTCTCAGAGCAGTCAGAGTGCTAATCCCTAAGATTACCTCCAATCGAGTTCAGAGATTTAGGTCGATTGTATGGGTCTTTCATCAGGCTCTCGCTCTCGACGACATTCAAATTGCTGGCCTTCTTAGGAAGAAACCACGCCGCTGGGCTCACCTTGATTAGTCCAATCTGGCCCCTTATGCCGAACACTATGTCTGTGTATTTGTAGGCATTCGGTGTTTCATGATGCTCTGGAATAGGGACGGTGTGATCAATTTGAAAGAATTGCTTTGCCAGCGGAGAATCCGTCCAACATTCCATTAACGAATAGACCAAGGATTGGTGGTCGCAGAATCAAGCAATCAGCAAAGCAGTCAAGCGCACAAGCGCACAAGCGGTTACGCTAAAGACGTAGACCGTGAATGCCGAGCACGTATGGAAGCCAAGTCTATGTTCAGGAACTCAGATCACTTGCCGATGTCAACGTCCGAACACTCGGTCGCTCGGGGCTCCTGTCAAACTCAGCACTGTCATCTTGATTACGTAAATTGAACAGCATCAATCTGTCCGTCGAGGTGTCTGTCTATCTGTCCTTTTCAGCGAGTTCCTTCTGTTTTGATAGACATTTGGCCTGTGTCAAGCAGACCTGTCTGAAGTCTTTCCTGTCGCCGTCACCCTTGCAAACGTTGTCCTGCTACGGCGCTGTTGACCAAACAGCTGTTCATATATGTCACAGTAGCCTAGGTTAGACTAGTGCCTTGGCTTGGCTCCGCCACCTCATCAGCTCTACCGTAATAACTCGAAAGGGCAGACCCCGGTCAGCCGGGAGACGCTGAGGAGGGCCGAGGACAGTCTATTCCAGGGGTAGTTTAGCTTGGCCTTTGGCTCTCCCTCGTCAGCATCAGTGGGCTACAAGCTAACAGCTCCAGGCAAAGCCTAGGCAACTCCGCATTTCTCTCTCCCAGCCGCCCCCGCAGACGACGTCGCCGTTGAATTACTCGGGGTCGTACTGGGTAGAGTTCTACATACTCGCGTTGAAGCATGCTACCGGTTGATATTTCGTGCCGGCAGCAGTGATGGCCTCTCCGAATCTTGCTTGTCTGACCGCCGTCAGAACAGGCGAGACACCTACCACGAAGCCTCGGGGGAAACGGCTAAAATATACAGCCCGTGCCTGGTGAGTTTACACCTGTATGCCGACTGAGCCCGTCAAGAGGCTGTATGCTGACCGGATATTATCTAGCACGGAATGCCATCGCCGGAAAGTCAGAGTAGGCAAGCTGTGCGACAGATGTTCACAAGGCCCTAGCCTGACTTTTCCCATATAGTGCAATGGGATGGAGCCATGTTATAACTGCGTTTCTGCAACAGCCAAATGTGTATATCCCTCAGACCCCCCTCGACCAAGGGGGCGAGCTCGAAAGGGAGACCCAAAAAAGCAAGTGTCAGTGTCTGATCCTGCTGAAAACTGTTATAGTGAACAACTGGTACGCAGTGCCTCAGTCTGATGCCAATCCTAGGACAAATCGCGCAATCTCTTATGAGGCACAGTCTACAATCCCTTCAAATGCGGATACTCTACTTGAGCGCCTGATGCGCATAGAACGTGATGTTCAAGACCTTCGAGCAGTTCAACATACCGCGTAAGTCGAGCTCAGTTGCTATGGTTTCCCATTCTTTGACAATGCCAAAATGTATTTATCAGTGCTCTGAGCTTATCTACTATCAGTGAAGTCTCCCCGGCCAGGCTTTCGGACCAAGTTTCCGTTTCGATCGAGCCGGAACTTGTCGAAGAAGAGAGAATTGATTCCATACACTCTGGCCATCGTTATTACAACTCATTCGCTGTCCAGATAGAGACATTGAAGAATGCGGCATCGCGCGGCACGTCTGATACGTCTGGTGGAGAAGCTCTTCTTGGGATGGCGTCAAATACAAGTCCGTACGCCTCTGCTCAAAGATGCCGCTCTCAAGCCGCTCGAAACAGCATCAAGACTTTTATATCTTCATCTACCCGCCTGAAGTACCTCCTGAATCTCTTCTTCGAAGAGTATAACCTCCTCTACCCATGCATTGACCAAGATACCTTTAATATTCAGTTGCAGTGCCTCTTACAGCATTACTCGCCCGATCAGGACTGCTTGTGTCTGTCAGATGAGGATCCTGAAATGGTGGTCTTTGCGGCCCTGACATGCATGGTACTTACCATCGCAGAGCACATCGAAGCTGATGGCCACTCCCCGACGGACGGGAGTCCGCGTGAGCGGATTGTCCGTGGACAAGCTTGGTATCGAGAAAGCGTAAGGCTCCTGAGTCTCTCCTCGCGGCACGCGGACAAAATCATGGACACCGTCCGGCTCTTCATGCTCGAAACACTCTATATGTTGATGCGGGAAAATTTCAGAAGGTCATCACAAGCATTATGCAGGGCCGTGGAGCTGTCATTCTCTCTTGGGCTGAATGACGAGTCCACGTGGACGAGTTGCTCTTGCGCCGAAACTCGATCTCGTCGCGTTCTATGGTGGAGCGTATACTTTTTCGACCGAAGGATGGCGTACAAGCTTGGAAGGCCATATATGATTCGCGATGCTGAAGTATCCGTTGCTGATTTCACGGCTGACATACGGGCAATGGAAAGCTCGCGTCTTCATCTTCCGACTCTCCTCACTGGAGATTTGAACCCTTCTGGACCTATTGCGTTAATACCCCTCGACTCCGATTGGATCCACTACCTACAGTTCAATATTGGGTGGGGCCGCCTTTTCTCAAAGGCATGGGATTCTCTTTACAGTCTGACCAGTCCTAGAGCTGGGAGTATCGAAGAAATAGAGATCATGGAGGCTTTGTTGGCAAAGCTTAAGAGATCACTGCCGCCAGGGATGAAATGGCAGGATCCAGTGCGTTCAAGCAGCATGGAGGATGATGTACCAGATCGAAAAGTTCGCATGAGACTGGTGATTTATACGGTGAGTATTCAACCTTACTTCTCACCGCCATTCAATCGCCTCTGCAGCCTTCCAAAGGCGATCAAATCCTGTTAATGGCCTCACTAACAAAACAGCAGAGGGCAAATCTCTTGCAGATGTTGATACGGAACAATCTTCACCTGCGAGGTTGCGAGAAAGACGGCGAATGGGATGCTTCCCGGAGTGATCGGAGTTACACAACCCAAGTATGTCACAAGCTTGCCGCTTCCACCGTTCAGGCAGTTGTATCATACGTTCGGACCCGACGCCGTGAACGCTCGTTTGGCACATATGCCACGCTGTGTATCATTGAATCGCTCCACTACATGCTGTCTGTGCCCTCAGCTGAGGACGGCATCGCATCTTTTGATCTCGAGGCGACTAAGACCTTGTCACTAGAACAAGCCTGGGAATGTTTAAATGACCTGAGTCGTCGCCAGCTGACAATTGCTACCAATGCATTGAAACTACTGAAAGGAATTATTGAGAGCAGGATTGGCAATCAGTTGTCGCTTGGAGAGCGGGCAACCACGACTTCTTTGAACATACAGGACCATCACCCCTCCATTGGCCAGGCCATGATCAACAGCGTTGCGTCCCAGCGGGAAGCCAGTGCCGAAATCACGGGACGTCAGGATCTTGACTTCTCTATCGATCCTCAATTTGCACTGCCGGTCCTACCTGAGCCAGAAGTTGATGATGAATCGCTAATGGGGACTGATATGGGGGGAATATGGAGCACCGAGCATATGATGTATACTTAAAAAGGCCATCAGTGCATATTCTTTCCAGCCTGAAAATACTTTCCGGTATTCCAATAACAAGAGCACCTTTCAATATTCCCGGCCCTAATCAAAGTTTCGAGCCAGGTGCCCGCGGTTTCAGCCGCACATTGATTTTGTTGTGGTCGAGAACATCGTAGACAAGTTTCCCATCATCGGACACGATCTCGCCTCGAACAAGCACCACGGTCTGACCAATAGAAATGACTTTGCATCGGATTTTTACAGTAGTATCTATTTATTGGTAGGATCTCCATTAGCGAAAAAAATTCTTGAATTGAGCAAGAGGAGAGATGTCGTAGCTCACGTCCAGGTGGTGCACGAAGACATGTGACCGAAAGTGTTCGCGTTACGCCGCCAGTCCATCTATGCGCAATATCAGGAATGTATCGCGAAATACAGTCTCCTCGATAGATACTCACTCCCAATACCCAGGAGCAGCGTGCGGCGCTATCGACAGCGATGTGCACTGGTCTGTCCTAGGTCAATATGATGTTGATGAACGAAGCTTCCGAGAAAACCGATCATACCAAGAATGAGTGTTGCGGCTCCTCCATGTAACGAACCTGGGAATAGATATCAGCACTACATCGGAGAGAGGTCAAGCTGATCGGTCTCACCTCCAACGTGGAGAAACTCAGGACCCAGAAACAAGCTGAACACAACCGTGCCGTCCGCCTCAATGTCCTCAAAACGCAAATTATCCATGAGAGTCTTCTCGAACCCCTGTTACTAGTTCACTCGGATTAGTGCGATGCTCTGAACCGATCATGTTTCCATGAACTGCAGGAAGACTTGGGTACATGGAAGTTTCTTTCTCTCATGCGCTGGTGATAGCTACGCCAGTATTCAAATCAGCTTCAAGATCAGATCGTTGTTGGAAAAACCACCGATCCTCGTACGTTTGCATCAAATCTGTTATCGCATCGTGGGCTGCTTTGCCCGTCTTGGCTGCTCGGCCCATTTGGACGGTGGATTTGGGGGGTTAGGCCTTGTAGACACCGCGCCTGGACCAACTCAACCAGAGGGTTTGAGCGCAAGGGTGGTTTGATTAGGGAATGAATGCGATCAGATGTTGGCGGAGGCTTTGTACCAGCTAGGAAGACATAATGACTTGAAGAGAAAAAGGTGTTTGCTAAAGAAACTATGTTCCGAGGAATAGACTGCTTCCGAGCAACGGCGATACCGTGGATCATCTCTGCGTGAGGGGTCGGCATCAACTTGCTGTCCGCCGTACAATGAAGGCGATTGGCCGACGCTTTGGTCATCGCAGCGACCCGTACATTGGAGATCGAGCGCCTTTAAGCTCAAACTAAAAACACTATTTTACTCTTACCGAAAAGGGGAATTGTGTATATCGTTTGAGAATATTCTGTCTAATATAGAAGATATGTTACCTTCATTTCGGTCATTGTTTGGAGGTCACCAGGAATGATAGAGTGCAATTTAGTTTGACACCGGTATTGAACGAAATTTGATGACACTCTGCAAGTGAAGTCTTCCACTAAACGCGGCCTGCGTCAATGTCAACTACCTGGAAGATTCTTAGCTCGGATTCCTATAAAGGTTTGCTCGAATAGTGAGAGGCGTGCTGCTGAGGTTATAAAGGGGCTTTTCTCACTAAGGAGGAAAGGTATTACGTCGGCAATCTCGCTCCGATCGGCCAGTTTTCCCAAGGCATTCGACTTTCTTCAGATTTCACCGGTGTGTTCTGGGAGGCTGCTGGTCATGGGAGTATCCGTGACGCCGCTAGATAACTGCGGTTATTGGCTTTGGCTGACTGGGAGGAAGAGTTAGTTGAAAACATGCAGAGCAATCGCGTTGATCCTGTCTCCATAGCTGCCCATCTCCTGTGCAACTGATTTTGTAGGAGCAACAATTGCTGCTTTGCTAGTGCCATAGGCCGCATTGAAAGGCGCTCCTATTGTTGCTGAGATACTTGAGACGTTGACAATGGCGCATCCAATTGGATTCTAATGCTGTAAGTCGGTGCGGAAGCAGTGCTTGACGCCTCCCAAGTTGATCGCAAGGAAACGATCCCATTTCTCATCCGTGGTCTGCACAAGGGCACCTGTGTGAGTTTCGCTCCGTCAGCCAGAACCAATTACTCCAGCCAGGCTGGTAGCACTTACATTGATTTGGGATCTTTGAATAGTCACTTAATAGATGTTGTAATTCACTCAGACATTCAAATCAATCTACCATCCAGAAGTCCGTACATATTCTACCACTACCTTAATAGCAGCATCAACTTAAGCAGAAGAGCTGACATCCCATTTAATCGCCAGAGCTGTACCGCCTGATGATTTGATCTGTGCCTTGACATCGAATAGCCTTGAGTTCACATCGAGAAGAGCCAATATGGCCCTTTCGGAGGCAAGAACGATTACTTTGCCTCTTCCAATTCCATTTTTTCCCCGAGAGAGACGTTTTTAGACTTCGCGCAAATACCAAGCCTCCGCCAACATTGACTGACCTGGTAGGATTCAAAAGACAATTAAAGCGCAGTTTTTAGGGAATCTATATCCTGCCTGTCACTGGGTTCCGAGGTTTGCAAATAGATTGATGTCACCTAGCTATTCCGACCTTGCAGTATCGAGTTATGACACTATTCAGAACAGACTTTCTCAGAGGTGTTGCATCACAAACGTCTAAGATCAGGGCACGACTCAAAACCAACCCTATATCCATCTTCCTCCAGTGACCTCAATTGTCTGTCCATCCACATAGCTCATCAAAGGACTAACAACTGCTAGGACTGCCCCAGCGGCTTCGAAGGGTGTGGCCGCCCTCTGCAACGGGATATCAGCATAACGTTCGCCAGTCGCACACTTCTGCGTGGCGCCGGGAATGCCCAATGCCACTTGGGTCCCATCAGACAAAGTCATAGTATGGCCCTTTTCCTTCCCAGTTGTCAATCGGGTTTCTATGTGACCAAACGATACACTGGACATTCTCGCGTTGTCAGCATCAACCTACCGAGTTATCACAGGCACGTCAAACTCACGTATTGGCTCGGACGCCGAATCGAGGGCCCCATTCCTTTGCGTTCTGGTCAGCAAAAAGGATCGTTGAATGAGGGAGAGTGTCCTTCTAACCTTGCATATTGTCTTTGTAAGACCGACTAGGCCGGCTTTGGCCCATGCATAGTTCGCTTGTCCTCTGGTCTGGAGTGTTAAAGCTCTCTGCTCTGAAGTAGATCAAGATGCGCTCGCCACTTACGCTGCGCCATGTATTCCGCTTGCACTGCTGATGTTGACAATAGTTCGTGGTTCACCGTCTTTTACACGAAAATATGGCGCGGCTTCGCGAATAATTCTGAAAGGTGCATTGCCGTGGATGGCGACCATCGCATCCCACTGTTTATCACTTGTCTACAGAAAGTCAGTGATGTGATCGACAACTACATAGATACGATACTGCTTTACCTTATGAATCACTGCATCCCATGTATAGCCTGCATTATTCACAATAATATGAATTTTGCCGTTCCCAAATTTGGCAGCTTCCTGCACTAATTGCCTCGTGGTGCTGGCGTCAGTGATATCGCCCGGCACAGCCAACGATCTCCCGCCAATCGAGGCGTTGAGCCTGTCTGCCACCGCATTCGCCTTGGCTTTTCGACGGTTAGATCTATCGGTACGATTAAGGGAGGTAATTTACCAGCATCGATGTCTGAGATGACCACTTTTGCTCCTTCGTTGAAAAATAATTCAGCAACGGCAGCACTAATACCTTGGCTAGCGCTAGTGACGATAGCGGTTTGACTAGTGAGGTAACCGCGTGGAGGAATTAAATGTACAGCCAACTGTGAAACTCGATTTTCCGACATGGTTGGTACAGCAAATTGATGCCCTTCTTTGATTTACAGCAATTTTGAGGAAGTGAGGTCCTTGGAAACAACTAAACGCATTGTCGGAAACCAGGCTGGACGTTTCATTCCGAGGAGGAGGAGGAGGTAGGACTCGCGGCTTTTCAGGAGCCCCGCGCCGAGGAGCACTGAAAACCACCCTCCATATTCGAGAGAAGCAAAGCCAACATCCTGGCGTGGAGCCCAACAGGAGAATATGTTAACAGTCGAAGAGAGAAATCATCAGTAAGCTTGCGCCACCGTCGGTTCAAGAAGGCGGAAGGGGTTAGAGTATGATAGAGTCTCGAGGCGGCCGCAAAATCGTCTTGCGTTTTGCGACTGGCCCATGATCTTCTATTCAAAGTTTCTTGACTAGCTCGTACCTGAGAGAAATTTGATCTTGCTTTGCTTGGCTTCATAACTCAGTCGCCTCATAAGACGGCCAACTGGAGGTGTTGACTCCCGCCCACTGTGATACTTTCTTGCAGATATCTAGAAAGACTTCTCCATCTCTCGCGCTCACTCCTAGCTGCCGGAGTATTTTCATGTGAGTGACACTTGGTGACCCTCCAGCAGGCAGCACGCTAGCTAGGACAACAAATTCATTTTCGATTGGAGTGAGAACACTCAGATCGCCTAAAAAGTAGCCATAGACGACGTATCGTAATGTCCATTCTAGAAATGGTCAGCGGCAATTTGTCTAGTGACAGTTCCACGGACCCAGTTCACTATGGTAGCTGAAGCGAGAAAATATCTTCGGCTCCATGTCCTGAAAAGCTTGCTTAAACCAAGATTGTGATCGTTGAGAAGGGAGGCCCGGCTCGTTTATGAGTTTGGCTCTCCGGATGTTGCCAGCTTCATCATCTGTCTGATCTGCAGCTTGGAGGCTGTAAGACGCAGCGATGGCACGAGGCATGCCGATCAACGTCCAGGACTTTATGATGACTTCGCGCAGTCGAATCGAAAGATTCTGGCGATAAACCTCGTCGAATTTGGCCTGTGCTAGTGCATAGTGGTATAAATCCCCAAACATATCACCTTTACCAGCTGCTGCCAATGAGGTTGCCTAATTCATGTCAATGAGAGTCTAGATACTCGTGCTGTCCCATTAGCAGCACCAGGGAAAATACATGGGTGCTACACACCACCGTTATGTACCAGCTATTCTGCGGGAGATTTTGCGGCATCATCTGCTCTACCTCCTTTAAGAGCTCGGGGAACGACTTCGTGTTGGGAGCCATGATGTTATCCTACGATAAAGTCTCCTCAAGAGGCCCGAAACTGGCTTTGGACTGAAGTACAAATTTTGGCACTGACCAGAGGGGTGGCTTGTAGAGAGGCGGTTTCATGTGGATGCTTCCGTTCGGAAGAGATGGAAATTCATTCCGCGCACACCCTCGGGCACCATAGCTGACTGGATCTTCATATTCTCCAAATGATTTCAAAAGTCTAGAAATCAGGTGTAAACACCAGCGATCTTCACTCGCACCTCTAGTTCTTTGCAAATTATGGTTTTCAGTCCACAGGTCAATGTTTCGATCTCTGCGAAGGATATTGCATCCTTCGTTCTAGACAACCCAAAGTATGATGTCGACAAGCCAGTGAGCAATCGAGCCATTCCGCGCTGTATCTCGAAGAGCAGACTGGGCTGACATAGAATTCTCTCCTATATACGTAGATTTACATTGACGCGCTGGATCAGTCGCGATGGTACTCTGGGCGAAAAGCGCGTACCGCAGTGCGACAGCTCGTGGCAGGTTTCCATGCGTTGGGGTTAAAGCAAGGGGATTGTGTGCTTATAAACTCCATGGCTGACGTAAGTTTAGCACGCTATGATGCTTTGTAGCAGATATTGAGGAATAGATCGACTACTCGATCCTTTTTCTGAGCATCATCGCCGCCGGAGGAATCGTTTGTGGATCGAATCCATACTATAGTGAAGCCGAATCTCTTCACCAACTGAAGCGAGTCACGCCGAGATTTATTTTCACGGAGGCCGAATTCCTGGACAAGATGCAATCTTGTGCTGCGAAATGTGAAATTGGCTGCAATCGTATATTCATCTTCGACCATAGAGATCCTACCATTCCCGGAGGTTTTCGATCGTGGAGACGACTTCTCGAATATGGAGACAGCGATTGGGTTCGATTCACCGACGATAAAACTTCTAGGCATACCATTGCTGCGTACGTCATGAGCAGCGGTACTACTGGCCTTCCTAAAGCTGTTGTCCTATCTCACTGTAACATTGTGGCCGCATTGACTCTGGGTTATGATCAAGAGAGGAAAGATTTTGAGGTACACCGCAAAAGAGACTCAAAGTGTACCAGATCATAAACTAACGTTATAGGTTCGGCGAATCTTGTGTTTCCCTCAATTTGCTACTGCCGCCATATATTCCAATCACTTTTGTCCTTTGCGTCATGGAGAAGTCTGCTTTGTGATGCGTCGATATGAGACGACGGCATTCCTGCAGAATATTTCCAAATTCAACATCACTGAGATCAGTGTTCTGCCTCCAATCCTAGTGCAAATTCTTCAGAATTCGCTTGGGACAAAAGAAACACTGAGGAGTCTACGATATGTGCATGGGGGAGGTGCGGCAATGCCCAAACCCCTTGTGGACAGGTTGAGGTCTTTGCTTCCCGAAGGCACCCCTTGCACTTCCATCTGGGGGCTTTCCGAAGCGTCTGGGATTGGGACATGCTTCTTTTGGCCAGAGCACGATGATACAGGCAGTATTGGAAGGCTGTTACCCGGGTTATCTGCCAAGTGAGTACCGTGCAACTCCACGTCTTGGCTGAGCTAACATGAAATCTTAGGCTGATTGACAGGGAAGGAAATGATACGAGCAAGTTTAATAACAGAGGAGAGCTATGTATCAAAGGCCCGACAGTCATGCTTGGCTATCTGAATGACGCAGTGTCGACGAATGCGACAATAGATCCAGAAGAGTGGTTGAGGACGGGCGATATCTGTTATTGCGATGCGCGAACTAAAAAGTGGTACATTGTTGACCGTATAAAGGTGTGGAAATCCAAAGAGCTGTAATAGTGCCGTTGCGGATGAGCTAATATTTACTTGCAGGACTTGATCAAGGTCAATGCATTTCAGGTTGCACCTGCAGAACTTGAAGAAATCCTACTCCAACACCCGGATATCGCTGACGCGGCGGTGATTGGCATCGACGCCCCAGAAGCTGCAACAGAGCTTCCGCGAGCATACGTGGTGCCACGCCAACCCACAGGCGCTGGCTTGACCGAAGACATGGTGAAAGCATTCGTTGCCGCAAAGGTGGTCAAGTACAAACGGCTAGAGGGCGGTGTGAGGTTTGTTAGTAGCATACCAAAAGCCCTCAGTGGAAAGATCCTCAAAAATCCACTCCGCGATTTAGCCAGAAAAGAATCAAAGACCAAGCTATGATGGAGAAAAAAATGGAATGCTGGATGGTATTGTAACAAGGCAAGGTGGCTGTGCTGTGATGGGCTGTGCTGGGCTGGTAGAGCGGTGGCAAGGTGAAAAAGTTGTCTAGTCACATATCAAACCTAAATGGGCTGGCAGAGAGAAGGTGCGGAACAGTTTACAGTGCTAGCAGTGTGCCATTCATTTTTTACAGATTGAGCAGAGTATTATGAATTCCATAGCTTTTGATGCCGTCTACCTAAATCCTAAGAGTATTTTATCAGTCCTATCTTGTTCCTCGATGCTGCCGCTGTGCTAGGTGTTCGTAGCCCTAGTCGCTGCCTCTCTGGGTGGTGTTAGTGATGTTGTTATCAGTATCAATTAGAAACGCGTTCTCGATTCCCGATCTATTGAATAGGCCTCTATGCGTTGTTATACGTGTACGCTAAACCCTAAAGTGCACTATTACAGTTGGCGACCGCGGGAAGATGATCTATTCATCGAAGATTTGAGCTCTTTACGATAATATCTTAATAAGATACTATATTAAGAATTACTAAAGTTAATACTAAAGAGTAGAGAATACGACTAAATAGGAGTTCGAGATTAACGACTAAAATTTACGTAGGCATCGGTTTAATTCTAAAAGACGATGAGGCTACTCATAGAAGTAGAGTTCGCTGATTATTTAGAAAATCTTTTCTACGAAAGAGTTTAGAACCGAAATATTAAGAAGAATTTAAGATAAATGGCTCTTTTAAGAAGTAAATTAATTAGTCGCGGATAAAATACTATAGTAGAGATATTTTCGAAGAAGAGATACTCGATTAGTAGAATAAGACGCTATAATATTATAGCGTATAAAGCCTAACGCGGAACTCGAAGAGAAAGAAGATTATCTCTCTAAGATCTAGAAGTTCTCCTAGGCGAGTCGTCGAAAAAGTATACTTATCGAAGAACTAAGATATAAGAAGTAAGAAGATAGATACGCGGAATAACGAAGAAAAGAAGTAGAGAGACACGGAATACGAATAAGTTTTAAGATAGAGAAATATTTTAATAGAGAATTCGATATAAAGCTATAATAATAATTTTAGACTATTACGATTAGATAGATAAAGAAGATATTATCGACGGCTAGCTATTACTACGTCGAATATAATTCTCTTAGCTAATTAGTGTTCGAGGTGCGAACTTAGTCGGCGCTATAGAGATTACTCGCGTAATATTAAAGCTAATTAGAAAGGTTAATTCTCTCGTATACGGAGATTACTCATAGATCGGGAAGATTACGAACTAAGTATTAAAGGGCGAGATCTATCCGACTATTAAATTAAGTTCCGAGAAGAAGGCGCCTTACTAAAAGCGTAGCTAGTTTACTTATTAATTTAGCTACTACTTAAAGGAATCGGGGATATACGCGAGCTTCTAAACTAATTCTTTCGAAGTATAGAAGCGATAGCATCGGAGTAATCTAGAATATCGAGGTTTTAGAGACTAGCTACGAGTACTTCTTTAGCGTCTTTCGCTATATTCTTATCTTCTTCTAGAGATTCTTTATAGTCGTCTTCGTTAGAACTAATATAAATAATGACGACACCGGATTCGACGATAATAGCGTAGAATAAAAATAAGCTAATTACATTAAAGATATCGTAGAGAAGTAAGAAGAATTTCGAATATTTATTCTTTAAAGGCGTAAATACTACGGTATTCTTAGAGGATTTCGAGTATTTATCTTTATATAATCGATAGTTAGAAGAAGATCGTACTAAAGCGATTATTCGTTTTTATAACCGTTTCTATATAGTAATTATTCGTAATCTATCTAAATATAAATTACGAAATTAGAAAGATATTAAGCGAAAGATACTAAAGAAGTGAGAGAACGAAGATAAAGATTAGCTAGTGTTAACTCTTTTCTATTTATAATCGCTTAAGAATAAAAAGCGAGAGAGTAAAAAAGATATACGTATTTATCTACGCGAATTTAAAAGAATTAACGATACCTTACTTAAAGAAGAGAAAGTAATCTCTATTTAATTAGATAGATAGTTACTAAAAGAGTTATCGGAGCGAGATCGTAATAAAATTATCTTAGATCTAGGTATCGATTATAGAGATACTAAAATAATTAAGTACGATAAGATTTATAAAAAGACTATAGATCGCTCGTAAGCTTATTATAATACTAACCGTTTTGTAGACTCTTTAGGAGATTAAGCTTTAAATGATCTAGTGAAAGAACGTAAAGAAAAGTTCTCGATATTAAGATAGAAAAAGAGAAGTATAAAAGATAAGAAAAAGAATAAGAAAACTAAGAAAACGGTTAATGAAGTATCTTCTTAGACTTCTTAGATTAAATAAGGAATAGTGCTTTTCTCTATTAAGCTATTATTAGCGGAATATATTAATGAACTATCTAATCGTTTCTAAAGTGCGATGATACTAGAAATGAGAGGCTTAAAGAAATAAATATAAGTAGTAATAGAGATAATTAGTACCTTAGTAAACGTAACGATAGTGAATTTAGATTTATCTAGTCATATATTAAATCTAAATTTAGAGCTAAGATCGAGAGTATCCGCGACCGAGAGACCTAGCTATAGGGAAAATCGACGTAATATAATT